GGGGGGGGTACCCCTCGGTCTCATTTCTTGCTGGGTATATTTCCTCTGTACCCAAGACTTTCTTGATATTGCCTGAGTATACTGGAGATAGGTTGGAATGTGTTCCATTAGTAAAACAAAGAAACCAAAACTTTCAGATTTCAGTTAGTGGAGCTGGGAAAAAAAACGTAAGTTGCAGAAAATTCAGTTTAGAAATTCGACGTGCTCTAAAGTTGTTATTTTTGGTGAAATTTTATTTTTGGTGAAATTTTTTGAAAAAAAGGAAAGGAAAAGCTATTAAATTTTGCCTTGAACAGTTTTCATTAATTTAGCCGTAGAATGCTTTTAATGTTGCTCTGAGAAGAGGCAAAATTTTATGGAAAACTACAGAACATTGTTCAGAGATTGTTTCTTGCAAGTTTACCATAAATCCCATAGCAGAACCTTTGACGTGTTAATGTGCAAGTGATTATTGTAAGTGCATTTTCGGTTTGTTCACCCAAACTTAGGTCTTGTGATTGATGAATGGAACGCCACAACAAACGTTTAATGGGCACAGCATTTCTTCTCAAGCCAGTGATTATAAAGCTGATAACACTCTGGGGTTTGAGAGGTGGCCTCATGTGACCTGAGGACCACGCCGGCCCAATCACTTCAATGGGTGTTGAGTTGAAAGGTTTCAAGATTCTATTGATTATGTTGTAGTACATTAAGAAAGTGTATCTGAATGCTACTCATCAACCACGTGTTACTTGCAAGTTATTAAACGGGGCCACATTTCATAGAGGTGCTGTGCAAAGAATGTTATCGAGCAAAAAAACTCAGCCGAGAACCAGTGATAAGAGACACACATTGTGTGACATCTTGGCTGGCCACCAGCGTTTTGCTTCGCAAGTATTTACTTTGCTTAGCAACTCTACGAGATGGGCCCCCAAATTTTCCCCCCAAGTGCAGCTGCAGAAGCTGGTCCACAGAAACGCCAACTTTGCCAAACTGCTGGGAAGCGATGTGGGGTAAACATGGCCAGAAAAAAGGCTGGTCCATACTCGGGGGCAAAAAGGGATGGTGATTTCATGACGTCAGAAGCCGAACATGTTTTGACTCAAGCATGTTCTCGTTGTCAACTTTTTGTGACGACAACTTTGCTTCGCTTTTGCCTTTGCCTGAAGTACGAACCGGCCTCGACTATAAACCGTCAACACAGCGGGTGACGTTGTCAGATCCCCTTTTTGGGGGGCCATCTGTCCCACAATGCTTTGCCCCACACTGACATTTTGGCCAAGATGGCGGTATCTGTGGGATGGCTTCCTATAGGAGGGAGGGAAGTAAGGGTACCAGGGCATCCCTCAAAATCAAATCATCCAAACTACCCCTCATGCTGCCCCTTGGAATGACCATTCATAACCGATGAGCATTGCCAGTGCACATTCAACCACTGAGTCATCCGGACAAATTTAGATGAAGGACTGGATTACTGTATACACCCAACATCCGTGTACATCAAGCATCTTCATTCCTGTGTATCTGGAGTCATATCTGATTAATGCATGCCACCGTTGGTCAGTGCGTCCCACTCCAAGGTCTCGCGATGGGGATTCCATGCACAGAGTTGCTAGCTCCAGCTGGGTAAGAAAATTGCGGCTGTGACTTAGGACACTGCTTGCATCAGTGGAAGCCACTAGCTATAGAGGCTTAGGTTACTTTACATTATGTAGATGCACGTGCCATTGTGGATTGTACCCACGCCTTTGCTGTGAAAAGTTTTTTCTGCATATGCAAATCCTTGGATAACTTGAGCGCTGTACTGCGTATCATGTCCAGTGACTTGACACAAGATTTGCATCGTAATTTGAATGTACAGAGCACAGCCACAGAGCTGAGTCACATGATGAAAGTGCATTAATGCTCTTGTGTTAATAACCAGATGGTACGCATTTTCAAAACACGGGATGGCATTCAATTAGCCCGAGCTGTGCATGGAATTCCCACCAATGAAGACAACATTGCCGAACTGACATCATATTAGGTGTCACACTGCAAAAGTCAAGGTGCCATTACTCCATGCCACCTGTGAAAACATTATGAACACACACACACACGATACTCACTTCTGAACCTATTTCAGACTCGTTCTGCTATTTTTTTAAAGGGGCAGGTGGGTCATTATGACGACGGGTGGAGGGCGTGGAAAATAGAGGTTTGGGGGAGGAGAGATGACAGTGAAAAAAATGAATGGACAGTTAGTCGCTGGACACATGCTTCAATGAAATAAAAAGGTTTACCATGCATGTAGAACTGAAAAACTGAAAATCGTCTTGGCCAATATGGGTGTTTCACAACAGTGCGCCACCAAGAGTTTGCAACGCGTTGGCCAATTACAATGCGTGAAATCTGTCAACCCAATGCACGTTTGGAAACGGTCACCAGATTTCACACCTTCTGACTGGCCAAGGCGTTGCAAACTCTTAGTGGCGCACTATTGTGACTTTCCCATATTCATTTTGCAAATGATGCTTTACATAAAAGTGCCCTTTTCATACATATGAAGCACAGCTATTTTGTCTCATAATGCACTGAAAAGTATTAATATTGCAATCTCAAAAATTTATAAATTTTTTAAGGTCAGGCTTGCAAGACTTGCTTTTCTACAACTTTGAACAAGATACTTTGCATATGGCATGCACATATGAAAGTAGCCTGATGAATTAGGCCATTTCGTGCAGTTTTTTGCATTTTTAAAAACTGGTTATACGCCTTTGTTATAACCCATGATGTTATAAGCTGAGTTTTAAACAGCCAAACTTGATTTGACTTAGAAAATGAAAAACTCATGCTTTGAGAGTAACAGCCATGTAATGTATCACTTGTTGGATTTGCCAAGAATCAGACTTGACTGTCATCATCCTTGAGACAAGTGTGTGACTGGCTACTGTCAAAGAGGTGGCCATCTGGTTCATTACTTGTCGATTAGCCTCAGCATCAAGATGTTGCAAAGGCTCTGAGTCTATGGGCCTGTTTCACGTGGATCTGGATGGCGATCAGTGATCCAACGTTGCTTCACTGACATAAGAACCCACCTACTTAAAAGAGCAAACCAGCTTTGGGATCGCTGACCAAGATCCGGATCTATGTGAAACAAACTGGTCCAAAAGTTACCCATTACAAGCTCAAGCAGCCTTTATCCAAACATGTTTCTGACCTCAAAAAACGGGTATGCCATAGAACCATTTGCAAAAAAATCAAAGGCAGGAATGAAACTTCAAATCAATTTTTCAAGACTTCATGCTCCTGAGAACTTTTGAATGAAACTCTGAAATTCAAACAGACATTTTAAATTAGAATCAACACAAAAAACAATAAAGGGATAACCAGGAAACAGTAAAAACTTGATGCAATGGAAAAGACAAACATAGATGCATTCCTCAAAAAATCCCAACCAAATCTTATCTGAAAAGTCATTCAACTGAAATTGCTAACAACCAACATGAACAACCTCAACTGAAGAAAAAACCCCTGAATGAAACCCAGAAATCCTATCCAGCAAAAATCACATGGAACTAATGTTATTCTGACAGTCAGTCAGTTCAATAGTTCAACAGCCCTTGCTTAAAAGCGAAACATAGGTCATTTGAGATGAAGATGTGCACGCCAGGTCTGCCCCATCAACACACTCGTTCGGTAAAACTCACATTGCACTGGCATGACGTAAGCTGCTTTATTCTCGAATGACCTTGCTGTTCTGCAAAACTGAACTGGTTTATTCCTGATACTGGCCTTTCTCCGCAACAAGTTATCTCGCACAGCAGCATTTTTTACTAATTGAGTCACAAGAGGCCTGCCCCCTACAGTGCCATGCTTCCGTCACTGACTTAATCTGTGTACATGTATATCAACTCCCCGCTTTCATCATGCCATATTCCCATTTAACGATCAGCTCGTGTAATCCATGCCAAATTTGGGGTGTAGCATAAAGCCATAGCACCAAGTAACTTTGTTCACTGCACGGTGTGATGCTACACGACACTACGAAACATCTAACAAAAGAAGCACAGTGTAATGACAATGGATGCTCGCTGTTAGTGCGCTGTGTTTCTTTTGTTAGATGTTCGTAGCGTGAGTACTGGTCCTGAAACTGCTGCATGAACAAAACCTGTTATCACTACCACTCTACTGCCAAGCCTGCCTGCCTGCCCTGATCCGCCAATATCGTGCAAGTAGAGAGACCTGTACCTCTTTTTTTGCCACAAGAACGTGCCTAGCCTGGGATATGTTTGGGTGCAGTTGTGTGCGTGTGCCTGCCTGTCTTCCCAAGTGCCAAGTCGCAGACCTCAACCTTACAAGAACTGACGCCTTGGCTATTTCTACTTTCTGTACCCATCCCTAACTTTTTTGTTTTCAGCTTTCTCCGAAATGACCTTGTTGAATCTTACAAAATCGTGACGGATACAAGAATACCTCGAAACAAGTCAGCCTGCCCTACACTGTCCATTTTGTCCGTACACCTGTTACTCTCCTGTCTACCCTAGCTAGCTTACATCATTCTTAACACAGCAGCAAGTAAATTCCTCCTCTTCCTCGGTATCACCTCCTGCCTCTTTCCTATCCTTGGAGGTGGGTTTGTCCTTTTCCTTACTACCTGAGCCCTGAGATAGGAAAATATGCTGGTCAGGTGAAAACATAGCACGTACTTCACTCATTCCGGCATAAACAGCTACATCACCGTACGCACTGTTGCTGTGACCTTGGCTAAATTGCTTTCCAGTCCTTCATTTTGCTAAACTCCCCCAAAAAATTGTTTTTTTTCAGGGGAAATGCCACTGCAGGTCAACACGAAAAATAAACAGGTCCCTAAAAAAAGCGATTTCATCACGTCCTACATTAACATAATCTATTATGCTAACTGTTCAGTGACCCTCATAATTTTGACATTTTCCTTGCTAACTCATAACATTACTGTAGACAGTCTCAGTTCTTTCCTAATCCACAAAAAAATCTCTCTACCCAAAAAATGGGGAAAAGCTAATCTGAAATTTGAGTGAGGTAGCTAACCTCTGCAGCCACCATTAAAGGTTAACTCTAAGAGCATGGTGTGATTGAGAGTGACGCAGTCTGTGTATACCTCTTTGTCCGAGTCCGTGACCTGACCAAAGGCCAGTTTCTCCTGCTGTGCGTCCACCTCAGCCTGGTCGCGATAGTGGGGCAGCACGGTGAACCTGAAGTTGAGCTGGTCGATGGGGTAGTCGTACTTGCGGGCGTGGTTCTGCAGTGTGCCCGTCAGGAAGCCTTCAGATGCAACATGATATACATATACAGTGCAATTGTTACAGACTTGTCCTGCTGACCTGAATCAGAAGCCATTGTTGGTACAACCCCTGATCCCATGTCAAGACGGAATACAACGCATCACCCTCCATCTTATGCACCCATACATTTCATCAGTGAGGCATTGAAAGTTTGAAATGCGTTCGTCACACCAGATCAGCATGCGCCCCTCACTTTGGCCGGGAAATTACATTTAGCTACATTTTCTGCTCCATCTTCTCTCTCTTTTTTATTAAATATTATTGAAGAATGGTTTAGACCAAACCAAGATACCGCCGAAAGATGATATATGCACGTCTGAACACCTGCAAACCCTCACAACTCAGCTGTCTGCATTTACCGAATACCCACCATACGTAAAAATACGGATGTCTTGTAAATGGAGATCAATGGGTACAGCGCTTGTGCACATTGTATGCGATTTGATACATCTTGGACCAATCAGGTTTTAACAATTTGTCAACTTGCTTGTACGTCTCAAGTTAAGAATGCGAGTGACCTGCGCATGAGTGTGGTGCATGAGTGTAGTGTAGTGCAACTGCATTGAAGAGTTGCAGGGAGGATACCAGGGCTAAAAGGGATAAGCGTTTTGTCTCTGCAGTGTGCAGTTTACAGCCTTTACCTTGAGGGAAGAAGAACCCAGACAGCCAGTATGACTTGGGTTGGCCGTGTACGATCCAGTGCTGTAAGGTGAACCAAATAAAAACAGAGATTGACATTCATGCGAGTCAAGAACATGAATGCAAAATACAAAATATCCTGGTTGAAAATTTGGTGGTGAAGATAAAGTTGAAAACTTCTTGTGCACATTCAAATGAAAATAGGTTGTGCACATTCAAATGAAAATAGGTTGTGCACATTCAAATGAAAATTGGCTCTACACAATTCTGTTCCTGCTCACAAACCCATTGTGAATGCAATGTGTATGTTCTTGGGTCTCACAGAAACAGGTCACATGGTGCAACCAAAAGTTCTGACACCGAGATGATCGAAGACCTAATACTTACTCCAACGAAGGAGACCCTGAGCTGCAGGTCCCGCACCCAGGAGGCCAGCGGCTTGAGGGACGGGTAAGCCGCATTGCTCCACATGTTGGGCACTTGGTTGTTGAGGAAGCTGTGGTAGACCCGTTCCAGCTCTTCGGACATGACCACCAGGCCCTTGATGGCCTTCTGGATGGTCTGCATCGAGTTCTGCGTAAGAGCAGAAAGCAAACCATGCAATCATTTATTCACTTCACACTGTAAAAAGATGCCCATCTATGTTTATACAATGCTTTTGCTGAGTGTTAAGGAATACTGCATGAATGTTTTATTTTTTGGGAGGGGGTTGAGTCAACTGGTCAGTGGATCAGTCAATCAGTTTGTTGGTCGGTCAGTTAGTCAGTTGAGGCAGCCTCAGCCAAATATTAGCTACAGTCTTCTTTATGATCCAATTTCAGCAGCCCTATCAGCCCCAATGTCCCCAAAGCGCGCATGATGACAGGAGTACTGGAGGCACTTTACTACTCTTATTTTCTCATGGGTTTTATGGGAATCAATTCTTGAAATCCAACTGGTGGGTACACCATCACTGTGCAGTTTTCAGTGGTGAGCATTGATTTCCCTTTGATTATATGACGCAATGTGAACAGTGGAGAGAGTCAAGGGCAAGTTACATGCAGGACTCCTGCTCGGAGTCGGATTCTGCCTGATGTAGTTAATAAATGCAAAGTTGGTGATTGCGGTGGGTTTGTGTTCATGGGCAAGGTAATTTACTTCAAGTTTCTTTCGTCCATCTGTGAGGACACATTTTAAAGGTGACCTGGCCAAGCTCTGCTGTCCAGATGGACCAAGATGTGAATGAGTTAAAAAGGTAATCGAGTATTACTGATCTTGGTACAGCATTTTAGAACAAGCCAAACTACCAGCCAGTTATTAGAGCTAACTGGAAAGATGGATCTTAGATGGGAGGTAGTGACAGCAAAAGTACTTGAATTCTATAGCGTATGTAAGATAGACAACTAAATTATAAAGAGGGTGCTTTTCTGGTAATCTGTGAGACCATACCTTGATGACCTTCAGGAGAATGTTGAAGCGATCCACCTCTTGGCAGAGCACAGTGGTCAGTGAGTTGATGCGTCCCTTGTCATCCACCTTAAGACAACAAATTGTCAACAAATTAACATTGGTTCTGAATACTTAAAACTTGTTACATTTAACACAACAGGCTTTGTGTCCCCACTTGAGTCAATATTTTGCATTGTATCCTACTTAAGCTTGAGTAATCAGCTCATATCCTCAAATGAGTTCATACATTTTGTCGATAAATGCTGGTTTCTAAGTTACTTTTTATCTTACAAATTGTGGAGTGAATCTTCTTTGATGCCTTTTTAATTTTGTTTTTCGACTGGGCATCTAACTGAGCTTGCAACTGTATACGTGACCAGGAAAATATTGCCAGGCGGAAATGCAAAACGGGGTTTGAAAAATCAATTGGGTACTTTGTAAATGGGTCATGATGCCAAATTTGCCCGGCATTATTTGTGCTTGATGGAAATATAAACAAGGATGTACTGTTTGTTTATGCAAAGGCACCCGAGGTACGGGATCTGATGACAGATTCTGAATGTGTTGGTTTGGAATTTCAGTGCTTTGGGGTTGAAGTCCTGATCTTGGTGAAACCATCTCTGCTATTAGTAAGGATGAGAACAATTTCAATTAAAAAAACACATCAAACAAAACAAAATCTCTTGTCTTATACTTTGACTTCTCCTTCTTCTATCAAGTGTTAGTTTCTTGAGCCCTCTGACTGTTAGAAACATGTTTACCTTGAACATTTCCTGGTACGCCTCATCGATGTCCAAATTGTCGGGTAGCTTGGCCAGGATGCTGTCGGCCAGCTCGTAGACAATGTCGTCATTACTCATGCCGCTACCACCCGACGCCATGCGCGGCTGCACTTCCAGGATAGTATTGATCAACTGCTGGGTCTCTTGACGCTGTGGAGCAAGGAACCGAGAATACAACAGGTTAGTGAGGGCTAGAGTGGGGAATGCAAGGTACAAGTGAGTCATAACAGATCCTTACAAAAGTCTCGGAAGGCAATCATAAGTTGTATAGTCAATCCATCTCCAGCAGAAGCACCCCCTCAGTGGTTGAAAAAACTGCATTGGCCGGGAGTGTTCATTTTCTTGCTAGTGATGCGACAGTGATGCGTGCATTTCCTAGTCATTCTTAAACCAAAGAAGTTCAGTTCCGACCAAAGGAGCGTCCACTGCTAATAAAATAGCGCTCTCTCTTGGTCCAGCTCGAGGCCCTAGTGAAATCATTATCTATTCTGATGAACTGTTGCAACAGCCCTTTTTTTTGATATTAATGTCCTGACTAGACTTGCAAACTGACTTGTGACTAGACTTGTAGTAGACTTCCAGGCTTCAGGTTTTAACACCGTTTTATGCACTGGGAACAGCCCAGTTTAGAAATTGGGCATCAGATCTTTTAATGTGGTTTGTTCTGATGCCAAAACCCACCTGGAATGTGATGTTGGCGTTGTCAAACATAGCAAAGATCTCTGGCTCGTCAATGATCGGGAGATTCTCCACGTAGTTACGATACTCGCTCATGGTGTCCAGATCAGGACAGTAATAAATACCTACATGCCGAGCAAAAAGAAATTGCCATGACAACACGGACAGCTAATAGGTGCAGCAAATTTACTTTGATGTCACTAATATAAGGGGAGCTGATTGAGTCAGATGCTTCTTTCCACCAATCAGAGGTGTGAGCGAGTCACTGGTGTCTAGTCTGAGTCTTGAGTCACTCAGTTTGTGTCCATGTCACTTGAAAAATCATACGTAAACACATGGTGTGCCTGGAATTTAACAACAATATTATCCACAATACCACAGTAGCAAAAAGTGACACCACAGTCAAGATTCTTCAATGCCAACCCCAGTCAAGATAGCTGAGTCCAAATCTTTCCCCAGCGTGACTAAATTTGAGTGAGTGGCCAAAACTGTGACTTAAGGAAACTCCAGTCTGAGTCTTGCAATCGATTCATACAACTCTACCATCCAAGACCCAACTCTTTAACAATTGCTTTATCTCTGTGGCTGTAATATGTCAGTCACACCACGGAGTGGCATATATTGCTGCACCATGGAGTGACGTTACGTGCATTGGACTTTGTGCACATGATACATCAGTTTGTGAAGCGGCAACTACACAAGGCACATCACTTCGAGGTGGGCTAGATGGAATGTGAAAGCTCAAAGCTTGATGCCGACCCTCAAAGAGCTTGTCGACCAATAAATAAAAACCTGCAACTGCTCACCCGACTCGGAGTACTTGTAGTCTGGGGCCAGTGTTTCTGGAGAGAAGAACCGTCTCAAGATGGTGCGTAGACAACGTTGATCCCACGCATCGGTCACACGACCACCGTAGGTAATCTACAACACACAGGAGTAAGTAGGAACTGAGCAAAATCTTGGAAATCAGATTTGTACATGTAGCGCAGGCCAGGTTGGGTACCAGGCAGAAGTCTTTTTTCTCAATTATTAATGCTTGTTCTCTACTCTAAAAGCTGATCTTATCTTTTTCGAAAGTGTTTTGAATCATTTCAATCTTCTTTACTATTTAAAGCAATGTTTGCAGCATTTAATGCAATATGTGCAATTTTTAGTGAAATGATCTATTTTGCAGCACTTCGGAGAGGTAATCTTTCCCTGGCAAACAATTTTCAATGACTAAATGTTGTAGTGATGACCCAACAGGAGTAGGAACTCTGTGTAAAGGTTGATTCTAGGCACAAACCACTCATAGGGATAGATGGACTGACTGCTTACCTCCCCTGTGATATAGACAAGAGCGTCCCAGGGTATCTCGCCGTCAGCCAGGAACATGCGGAGATTCTCCAAGGCGCACTCACGATCACTGTCATTAAACTCGTACTGGACATCACAGAGAGAGAAAGGATCACAGCGCTCAGAGAGATTCTATAAATAACCCCTTCCAAGCAAATGAGGTCAGTCCTCAGTTGTGAAGGACTGCTTTTTTAAAAAGTCAACAAGGCAGCATTTACTGTTTGTGATTCTAACTACAACATCTGGTGAAACTGACAAAAAAAGTTAGCTAAATCGCACATTTTCACCATAAACTTTAAAAATTCACAGAGAACTGAATTCATTAACATTTTGAGTAAAAGAAAGAGAAACTGCATTAAGTTTTCTGCAGTGCAACTGTTGGCCATTATCAAAAACTTCCAGTGCACTGAAATCTGCAGCTTTATGGTTTGAAGTCATCTTTCTCTAGGAGCTTACCTTGATGTTCCAACCAAGGGGGCCGAACTTCTTACGTTCCTGAATAATGGCGTGGAACAGGCAGATGCCAAAGTTCAGCTTTCGCCATTTGATTCCAAGAACTGTGGAGTGGAAATGAAAAAGGAGGATTAGTCAGGCAGGAAAGGGCATCAAAATGGCACATGTGGGTCACGTAAAGAGGCTGCACTGTTTTCTTATTGCGCCGGTCTTCCCACCATACATCTCATCTCCATGAGTCTCCTTGACAGTTAAGCCATATATGCATCGAGTGTTGTTTGGCTAGGGCTTCAGTTTCCTACAATAACACAGTGGGGTGTACCAATCATTGACACAGCCTGGCATCTATTAAGATGGTAGTTAGAAGAGGTTCCCGGGAAATGTGTAATGTTAGTGAAAGGCTGGTTCATACGTGGTAGGAAAGCAAACGCAGACACTACATTGTGACGTCCGATCAAATATTCATGGTGCTAAAAATTATCAAAATATTACATGACGTCAAACTCTTTGCTTTTGCATTATAAAGTAAGAACCAGCCTTAAGCTGGCCTCAGCACATCGCACAACTCAAGGTTTTCCTTTCAGTATTTTTTAAACATACTTCCTTTTCTAATGTCCAAAGAATCCTGGTTATCAGAGCAAAATAAAACACAAGTTTCTTTTCCTTTTGAGGACTTACTGTGCTCTTCAAACTGCTGAGGGGTGATCTCGGAGAAGGCCCTACGGACGTTGGCCCTCAGCCCCTTGGGCGGCTCGTTGGTGACCTTGACGCTGTTTTGCAGGACGGAGACGGGGAACTTGGTAGTGGGCATGGAGCTGAGGAAGAGTCGGAAGTCCTCGTGCATCTCGTAGCTGGGCTCGCCCATCTCCTTAATCTTCTCCTCCATGGGCAACATCCAAGAGGCCGCCAAGTGGCAGTTCTGAGAACGGAGAGTGCGTAACAGAGGACACCACTCAATTAGGGGCACTTGGCGTGTCATCCTTAATCCCGGGTGCAAAAATTTGTCTTGCTTTTTTATTCTCACACTAGGGGTTCCAACTGTGGAGATCTGAATTTGCCAAGTAACGATCTGTGCTATCTTTGTAGATCAACAAAACTCGGACACCAAGACACTTATAATGTTACAGAGGGTGGGCTCTAAACCTATGAATCTATAAAGACGGTGTAACCTAGAAGTGAATATGAGAGAGTTGGAGCTTAAAGAGAAATTGCTTGGACAGTTTCCTGTATCTCTTTTGAGCCTCAGTACATTACGTTCCCTTCAGTTTAACTCGGTACCAAAGGCAAGCCAATGTGTGAGTATGGAAAGGCACTTGGTAGAGACACAATGACAAACAAATTTCAACTCACTATGATTTTTATTATTAAGTCCGTAAAACAAATACCAGTGTTAAGGAAAGTAAAGATTTATCAGCTGGACATGATCAAACTTATCACTGCTCTCCTTTTTAGAGGATAACAGAATGTGTAAAAAGTCAACGCCAGTATGAATTGTGAAAACACTCAGCCACAGGTTGTCCTGAAACTGCTCAAATCCACCCAACCTAACTCTAATCTAATGGCTGATGCCATGCAAAGCTGACGGCCTCACCCACCTGCAGGAAGACCCAATCTCCGCTCTTGGCGGCCGACTCCATCATCTTCTCGGCCACGGGGCCCTGGCCCTGCCCCAGGGAGATGGCCTGGATGCGCTCCATGAACCCCCGCTCCTTGGCAAAGCGCTGGAAGGCCCCCATGGGGTCTGAGCCCGTGCTCAAGATGAAGACCAAGGGGGTGGTGGGAGTCATGTCCTCGAACAGCGTGGCCAGGTCTACTGCGGGGCTCTCTACAAAGACCTTGCCCAGGTTCTCGTGGACGAAATCTGTCACGGCAAAGACGACCTGGGAAAAATTGAGAACAAGCAGCTTTGAAACAAGATTCCACAAAATTTCAGACTGGTGAAGTTTGAGAGGCTCAAACCCTCTTCTGAACATTCAGTTACAGAGGTCCATGCTGCACAAGATTGACCTCTAGGCTTAGGCCGTGTCGGATTTAATTGGCTATGGCTGGAAATTACACATGAGCCTATAGAGAATGCATGAAGCCACAAGCTGGCGGCTTCTAAAGATTCATGTGTTATTTTAAGCTGCAGTTTTGGACAGAGCCTAAACAGCACTTCTATCAATCACTGTAAAATTTGACATCACGAAGCATTCGCTGCGAAATAGTTTGAAAGACAGAAGCTGCAATCCATTCAAATTTTGCAAATTCACGGCACAAATACTTTCTGTGACATCACAAACCCACAAGTTCCTTTTCATGCCTTCAAGTCTACTGTAACCTACACCTTCAAACATTAGAGACATGATATCTACGGAGAAATGACAAAATAATCATATGCCAAACTTAATCCCAAATGACAGCGCTCTTGACGAATCAGGAGACTCTCCACAAAGGGATGCATGATGTGGGTGAAGCACCTAAGTCAGTAATGCACCGGTCGATGGTTCCAATCCAACGTTCAATTAAGAGTTGATTTGTTTGCATTGGACAATTTCACCACATTCCAACCTTTTCTTCCATGAAGCTCTTGACCATCATGAGCTTCTGGAAACTGCTCAGCCGCTGGTCCCAGTGACCCTTGACCTTTCCGTCGTCCTCTACCGGCGGAGCTTCCTCTCCCTCTGGAGGGGGCGGGGGAGGTTCGTAGGCCGGAGGGGGCGGGCCGTAGCCTTCCCAGGAGGCAGGGTTAGGAGCCACCTGCAAGTCAGAGTATTTAAAATTGTCATCACTCAGTCACATGAAAATGCTGATGTATTAAACTGCATGGAACAAACTGGCTACAGCTTGAAATTACATACAATTCTATGGGAACTGACTGCAGCCACTACCATAGACGTGTGCATAATTCCAGACAGCAACTAAGTCATTCGGACATGGCTAATATAGGTCAAACTCTTAACACTCCTTATAGAAATACATGTGATCTACAATAAACGTGCACGCTGGCTGGCAAATGGTTCGTAGAAGAAACATCAAGACATTCTCAACCTCTTCAAAATGCAAAAAGCGCAATGTTTTTCATGTACAAGCTGAGGATTCTTGATTTCCCGCCTGCACTTCAAAGACAAGAGCGAAGGAGCCCCCAAAAAACCCCCTCAAAATACTCAACTATGAAAATACACAAGTTGCACAAGTTGCAAAGTGATCTGGAATGGTACTTCTGCAGTGAAGTATTCTGCCAAAATGAAAAGTGCTTTGCCAGTTTACAGATTCGTGTGACTGAGAAACCTGAAAAGAACCCTTGAGCTGTTAATCCTAATTATGACTTCCATGGATAACTTCAGCTTGGGATCAAGAAAGCCCCGATGAAGTAGGCTGGTCCACAGTACAAGTTTTTCAACTGCACTTTGGGGGCATTTACCTCCAACCGACCAATCTTGCAGTGGACAGGGGTAGCCTGGAGGTCTCTCAGCAGACCCTTGAAGGAGGGCACCGAGTCATCCATATCAACAGTGTTGTTCCACATTTGGTCTGTCAGCCAGGGTATGTCCGGCTTGGGTGGGCGCTCCTGACAGATACACAAACACAGTGAAGAATACAGTAATGCAATGAATTCATGAATTAAATAGATAACATCCATTTTTAAGACAGGATTGGATATTAAAGAAGTTAATATATCGGTATTTGGTTGAGGGGTGATCTAAGAATTTGATTCCTTGCTACTGAATTTCAAAAATATGTTTCAAAGTCTATTTCAACGTCTATTTACTCAACAGCCCTAAGCTGGACCAGCTGGTGCAATTTCCAAGCAACAGAGGCTTCTTGGTGTGAACTGTACTTCGCTGGCTCACGAACAACTATGAAACGCATGCTTTATGGTCTCATTAATGGCAGCAAAATGAACAGTCCCCACTAACATTGTTATTTTCAACCGATGACAGGGTGTGTCTGTTCAAGAAAAACATCTGTTATGAACTGCTTTATTAAAAAAACAACGGGACACAGATGGAACTAAATGCAAGAATTAACAAGCATAGATTTTGCTCATGGGAAATAGACATATTTCAGGTACAAACACACTAGCCTGTTGACCACCATCAGCTTCGTTTGGATGACTCAACACATTTCTGATTGACACCTGAAGGGTATCTAAATGGAGCCCCATTTGTGGGTGAGCTGATTGGGGGTTGTTTTCTCTTTTCGTTACCTTGTCCATCCCGGCTGCACCACGCAGGAAGAAGTTCCACTCCGTCTGTCCAATCTTCTCCTCTTGTCGCATGATGTCAGCGCACAGCATGAAGGAATACACGAGCTTGTGCGCCTCAAACAAACCTCTGAACAGAAAGGAGATCTGGCGTTTAGTGCAAGGTCTGGGCTGCATCAAAATTTTAGGGCCATGACTGAAAATAGCACATGTGCTTATGGAAGCCACTAGCTGGCGGAGGTAGCTGCTAAGGCCGTGTCTGAAACGGACATCCAGAGCTACGACTAGGTCGATTGTCAGCGCATTTCCACATTATTTCCGATAGAGCGTAGACCTAGACCTAGACTCTAGGTTCGGGAGCAGCCTAAGCCGCTATCAAAACATGTGATTTTACAGTACAGTGCACCACCAAGAGTTGAAAGGCTATTTATGTAGTGCATTGAGGGAAGCAGTCAGTAAGTTTTAATTCCTAGCAAAACTGTTCCAGATTTTTTTTTTTGGGGGGGGGAAGATTTGTGAATGTATTTCGAGTATCAGTTTTAAGTTTCAAGATGGTGACTTTTGTGAGATGGCGGAATACTACGGAACTCAAAGCTCTGAGACTCATTAATATCAACAGATAAGAGCAATGTTTTTGTCGACCATAAATTTTGAAGAATATATTGCATTGGCAAACCTGTTGGTGGTACACAGTACTGTAAATCACCTGTTTGGGGTGTTAAAGGGAACTTCAAAGTGCCGGTTATTAGGGGTTCAACAGGGGTTCACAGCTTAATATGTCACCTGGATACGTTAGTGTAGACGGCAATTGTAGTCTGGCGCAGGAGGATCTTGAGTCTGGTGTCCAGATCATCACTCTTCTCACTGCTCTCAATGCACTGATTGAACAACTGTTGCCGAGAAGGGGGGAAAAAATGAGAAAAAAGTGGACTCAGATGGAGCTTAGCAAAAGTTGAGGGAAGTCAGGACCCTCATTAGCACAAACTGTCGGTGTGACTGAATTAACTTTCTGGACAGAACTGCATGGACACAGCCCAAATGAAGTGCAAACCAAAGTGCTGAAACATATTAATGCTTTTGCTGCAACAATATTCTACATTGTTACGGCAGGGAGAGAGGTTATGCAGACGTCCGACTCTGCAAGGAATTGAGACTTACATTTTTGAAGTACTTGAGCGAGAACTGATACATGGGATCAATCTCGGCCAAGGAGGCCACCACAAAGTACATGACAGAGCCCCTGGCTGCCACAGGACGGTACTTCTCACGAGCCGTGGTGATCTTCTCCTCGGTCTGCTCTGCCTCCTTGAGACGGGTGGTGATCACTCCAGACGTAACCTGCAGGATTGCAAAAGACAGGTTCTTGTATCTGAGCAAAGAAATCTGACTGGGTGGAATCTGAAACAACAACTTCCTGAGATACGAGGCTGGAAAGTCAAGTTGTAGAGTGCTGGTGATTACAAATATTTCATACTCTTGTGCTCAGTTAACAGAAGGCTTTGAGCTGCTTTGCTCCCTGATCACTTGCTTTGTTCAGTCAATCAGAGATTCTTTTGGTTTTTCCGGCACAGAGGAGTGTGAGAGGGGAAATTCAGGAGGTCAAAGGTGGTTTGGTTGTGTTTTGTACCTTGGACTTGTTCAGTGTGTCAATCAGCTCTTCATTGTCAAGGATGTTACCCTCCGATTCAAACAGCAGCTTGAGGATGCGATCTTCAATGGCCTTGAGCTGGTTCTTGTCGGCATTGATGCGGACGATCAGCTGGTTACGCTGCTCCTCAAGATCCGGCCGCTCAAGACGTACGACATCACTGTGCGACAAGCAACAAGAATTGTCATGAAGCTCCTCTAATGTGCGTTAAGTTTACAACATGTTTAAGTCTCTGGTTGATTCGACAAGCACAGCCCTGTTGGAAGTTTGAAGATATGAGAACTTCACCTTCTCAAAACCGCATTTGCCACTTTGAAGTGTGTAAAAGCTGACTGAACAAACAGCTTGCTCACTTTCAAGCCTGCCAGTACTGTGCCAAATTGCTAGCCCTGTTTGTTGGTAAAGTTTGAAAACTGCTCGTGGTTGGCAGGTCATGAGAGGCCCATCAAATGCACCCACCTGAGCAGCTGATCCTCCAGCCCGGACTTGGTGACGGTGAAGTTGATGATGGTGACCTTGATGCAGACCTCCGGCAGATAGTGGGGGTTGGACATCTTGGTGGTCATGTAGAAGCGGAAGTTCTTGTCGTAATCAATGTCGCTGTCTCCCAGACGGATCAGGAGTCGCCCGCCCTGATTTCACACAACACAAACAGGTGTTGGGGTGCATCAGAATGTTGGAATGGAATTTGGAATGTATGTGGAATTTTTACTTTTCTGCTGTTACCGGCACCTGAGCTAGAGTATGCGAATGGGACGGGCTGCTTCTGCGTGATCCTTCAAGTATTATAGACCTAATAGGCTGTTTGGGTGATGAAGGCGGTGGTCCAATTTGGAACTAGTTTTCTTCACTGACTCCATGTAGCAACAATAGATAGGTCTGTGTGACCTACTCATTTGATCAAATGTGTGAGTGGAACACAGTGCAATGCGATGCCGTTTTGTGTTCATGTGATACAAAGTACTTGAAATGAATTTTCATTTGAATGTGCACAACTACCCTCTCTTTTTTGCCACTGACAGGGACTTGAGCAAAAATATCCACAGAGAATAATAAAGATAATGACCAATTCGATTGAAGTAGTGGAATTTCAGAAAATATGAACAAGATTCAGGGTTTCAAATTACCTGGACAAATGTCTGCTTCAGTAGGATGGGTTCCAGCGCCGGGTCCAAAGTCTCTCCCACCTCCTCCAGCAACACTGGCATGCCGATACGAATGGCGTTCTCAAGGGTCCTCAGGAAGTTGGCATCCGTCAGCTTGATCACCTTCAAGCCGTTCTTGGCTTCCCGGCTGCGGATCCACCGATTGGCCTGGTGGACAGAGCGATCAACAAAGTACACGTGTGTTATTTCTGCTCGTATCGTTACAGGGACCTGCTCCAAAACCCGCTCAAAATCACCATCAGCAGTTTTGAAATCCAAAGTGTTGTACTGGAGACGTATCACGAGACCATTACAAGACCAGTCAGAGAAAAAAAACAGAGTAAGCCTAGCAATGACAAAGGAATGCTTTTCTTGCAGTTCATTTGAATGGCTTGTGATTTGAATTCAGATTCGAGGCCCTGCAATGGTCTTGTGGGGTCCTGCGATCATTGGAATGGTAGTATTGACTGCAACACTGGAAATCAAGTCCTCACACTCCGTCGTGGGTCATCCTGTCTCGAGTCGGGAGCTGTTCACTTGTACTGTGACAAAGGCCTTTTGTCATTGTGGTCAGTTTGTTTACTCGTGACAGAACTTGTGAAAGGAGTTGCAATGGATTTGACAACACTGGTCTGTACGTTACATACAGGCTTTCTTTCACAGTTTTCACAGATGAACAGAAAACCAGAGAACCTATTTATGTAGCTCCTGTTTTCTTTCAAAATGAGCAATGGTGCAGATTCAGGGGCAGATCCAAGAATTTTTCTTGGGGGTTCAGACTGGAGATATTTTTAATGTCTCATATTTGCTGACAAGCGGAAACGAAGATGAAACATTATACATGACATGCATTGTTTACAGTGGTATAAGTGCATTTACTTCAGTTATTTTTTTCCCAATTTTGTACGCTCTCCCAGATCTGTGCCTGAGATTCTAAATTGATCAAGAGGTGTATTAAACAGTCCTATGGTAAAACCTGCGATAAAACTGAGATGTTATTGTTGAACTGAGCTAGTGGTCCTGTGCCCCTCAGCAGGACACTTTATCTTAACTGCGGCATGAGTGACACAGTAGCCTACCTGGTCTTGAGGATCAATCATAAGGGGCCACCGACGTCCGCGAGTCACTAGGATGGCATTCTCCGTGGAGACGTTATCCCTCGGCAGCCCGTCGGCATTCCACTGCCGGATCTCGAAAGGGTCGGCCAAGACCTGAAAAACAAAAGGAACGATGTGGAAATTTCTGAACCTGAAATTTTCCCCAAATCCTGATTTGCAGATTCTGCAAAAAAAAACAAAAACACACAGTGTTGTTTACTGCCTTTCAGCGGAATGCACAAAACTGCAGAACAGAAATATCAGAGGAATAGTGAACACACACAGGTGAAAGGAGTTCGTGCTGAATAAACTATTCTAAGAAATTTTACAACATTACTCTGCAGGACTGTCTCGCAAGAAATTTAACAATGAGCAGATCGTTAAAACAGCAACACAAAAATACTTGAGTGATAAAATACAAAACAAATCTGACCATACCGACTGCCATATCTACTGCAGGACAGACGATAATAAATAACAGCTTTACAGATAAATAATAAATAAATCTGCATTCTGGGAGCCGTATTATTGCAAGCAGGCAGTCTTCTGGTAAAGACAACGGCAAGTTGGTTTACCTTCAGCAGGGTCAAGTCCTCAGTCACTGGTATCTCCAGCTCCTTACAATGATCTGTCCAATGTTTCACCAGCTCTACGCGGTAGGAGCTGGTGAACGCACCGAAGTAGGCCACGCAGGCTGCAGCCACAAAGACGTTGCCCACCACGTTGCCGATTTCCTTCTCAAACTCCTGCATTGAAGCAAAAGAACAAAAATACGTCCATCTCCATGTGCGTGTAACGTTCATAACACCCCATAATTATGCACAGTTTCCTGACGCAAAATAATTGCTCATTATTTACTTTTGGTGGAATTTTAATTTCTTTGGGACTTTTTGAGGATGCAACCTTTACTTTTAATCTATTAACCCCTTCACAGCGGAATTATTTTGACCGCGACTGCTGGGCTGTGGTATGCCCTGAATGGAGGGCTTTGTCCAGCAGCAGGCCCCATTGAACCAGCAGCTGCATGGTAAATGGACTGTATGTGTGGTATGCACTAATCCTCACACAATGGTGTGGTAGTAGCAGCCCTCCGTACTGCCATGCTTGTAATAATTCTGTCTGAATTTTTCATTTAATTTTATTTAATAATTTGGTACATTTTTGGATGTCCTTTTTTTTTCATTCAACGGCTTATTTTCCTTTTGAGTTCATGTATTATTACGCCTCACATAATTTGTTTTTCATTGTCAGATTTGTATTATAATTTACTTGGTTACGTGGCTTCTCATCCTTCTTTCCTTCAAATTTTGCATTTCTAGATTCTGTATGTGCTTCCTGCTTAAAGTTGACTGTGTCTGATATGTAGAAAACAGGGGGCCAAGTTATGCAGCCACAACTGCACAATCAAAAACTGAGAAGGAAACACCACAAGATACTATTAAAGTACCAAAGAGATATGTCAGCTGAAGTGATGTTTCTAAATGTCTAAAAACTGTGAAACTGTTGCCTTTTTGGAGCTCAATGATTTTCACTTGATGTGTGTCTCGCATGCTGTCCCATCTGAAGTAAGGTTTCCCGATTAAGCTACTGAATGCAATGGATGAGTCACTGTGGGATCTTCTCCCATCCCTACCTGGACACTCTCCTGCCATCGTCCCTGCTCATCCCCCAGTGCCGTGGTCAGCTTGCCGGCCCGCTTGAGCCGGCCGGCCGTCTGGGCCATGGTCTTGACCAGCGTCTCCTTCTCGTTGACGCTGGCGTCGTAGGAGGCCTGCAGCTCGGCGATTTGGGCCTCCACAGCCGCCAGCTTGTCCTGCTTCTCCTTCAGCACGCTCATGGTGGCTGCCAGTTCCTCCTCTGCTTCCTTTAGCCTGAGAGAAGGGGAGGGGGAAGAGGAAAGGCAAGGTTGTCACTGAGTCGTTTTTCCGAAGTTAAGTCCAAAGTCCGGAGTAAATTTTTTAAAGGCCTACTGATGCTGTAACTCACAGTGTGAAGCAGGACTTAATTTTACTTGGAGCTGGCTCTCGATTAAAAAAAATTAACAGTATTCTGCCATGAAGTGATGTTCCATGGCCCTTCTGGTTGGCTTGTTTTAGTTGTTTAAGTCTGTGCTTGTGATGATAAATAACCATTTCGAAAGACCTCAATAAAGTATGAGCTACAAAAATCTTATGCTATCGATTGCATCGGTGAAGATCTCACGGGTTAGGCTGTCAGTTCGGCATGCTCAAATGAACAAGGACTAGGAATGACACTAGGCACATAAAGTTCTTACATTGTGGAGCAAGAAGCGCGACCTTATTTGATGCTCCCTATCAAGGACTATTACTACCAACTGGGAAGCCAAGTGACACATAAAGACTGCTCAGTGGAAGTGATCTATTTTTAGCGGCCTTTATCTTTTGTATCCACTTCAATCTTGCATTTCACTATTGGAAGAAACTTTTTTTTTCCAAATACACAGAAATTATGAAGCTCTAAAGAGCAACGTGACTTACTTTTTCTTCTTTGGTTCGACGGTGCGGAACACTTTGGAGTAGAGATCCATGGCTCTCACCCACATGCACATAGACTTGCAGGCCTAGACGAAAGACGTGAAATATATCAGGTCGGTAGCAGAGGCACCTAGGACACCCTCAGGCAAGTTGTACCCAAGTATGCATCAAGTAATAACTCTTCAGTCAATACAGAGTTTACAACCTGCCAGAACATGGGTGAAAGCTGATGCAACAGGTGTTTTCTAATGGCTAAGTCCATGCTGAATAATTCCAAGTGTTGGCAAAGTTTCACTGTACTCAAAATCTCAAGTTAATCTAAGGCCGTGTCTGAAACAGGCTTGCAGAGCTACGGCTAAGTCTAATTTGAATGGAGGGGAGACCTAGACCTAGCTCTAGACAACAGATTCGGATGCAGTCTAAAGCTTACGGAGACACCCCTTGAGCCATATTAAACAAAGAGAACTCAGAGGTGAATGTTAAAAGACAACACATACACATTAACTTCTCCACAACAACAGAAGAGAAAAAAGAAGACAGGTTCCTTTACCTTTGAGGTTTTCTCAACAACCTCCGGCACAAACTTGGGGTTTTCAATGTACTTCTTTAACTTCTTCAGGGTGGAGTCTGGGACGTTGTCCTTGTCGTAGTCCAACAGCTTCTTCAGGAAGTTGGGGTCACTCAGGAGACCCTTAGCACTCGGCCAATCAGGCCTGCCATGAAGAAAAATCACGCAAAATACAAGGTCTTGCTATTTATCATGGTTGTGCATTTTCAAAAATTGTGGAAGAACATTTTTAAGAATTCCACGCACTAGGGATTAATTGCAGGTATAGTGTGTAGTTTGAATCTGAAATATTCTTCTGAGCTATAGAAATATCCTTGTTGACTTACAATTCAAAGCTATGCTTTCTCAAATACTGTCTCCGTTTGCAAGTTCCTGGCTGAATTTGAAACAAGGATAGACTTGACACTTGAATGCAACTGGGTCGTTCCACGAGGATGGGCCATAATTTGAGACGGTGTCCTCATTGGTAACTTTTACCATCTGTCATGACCTGTAGGGTAGGTCATCTCCTCTGTATTCAGCCTTGCAAGATGTATAACAATGTCAATTTGGAATCCACATGCAGGGAAATAGCTGTTCATTTTTACGGAACCCACCTAACAATTGACACCGTCACAAACTGTGCCCCAACCTCATGGAATGACCCAACTGTCACTGTGAAACAATGATAAAGTGTTTCTCCCAGATATGACAGACGGGGGTTGTGCACATTCGGACAAAAATCGTTTGTGCCTTCCAACTTACTTGACGCCCAAGAGGATGCAGATGGTCTCCATGACAGTCAACACCATGTCAGGCGGCTTGTTAAAGACCTTGATCTCGGAGATGTCGTTCTTGTCCAGGGCATCCAGGGCCTTCTGGGCTGACTCAAGAGCCGGCAGGGCCTCGTCAAGGTCTCGCTGGGCATCGTCAGCAATGGCCTGGGTTTCCTCCGCCTTGACCTTGGCAGTGGCCTCATCATCAAGCACAACTTTACGCACCTGTTAAAGAGTATTGTCAAACAATTATATTGCTAGCAATACACCAAACGTCACTTTTTGTGAGGAACCTTCTCGAATCCTCCAAAATCCTCCACTGTGCAGGAAACCAATGGAACACTTTCTTGTACTTAGCCATTCAAGAGACATCAATCCCTGCATAAGGTAATGGAGGCTGGGTTTAAACCTTCTCACTCCTGCAAATTCATCCAGAACTTCTTTTTGGATTTCGGTGGATCAAGAAGTTTTGGGGTCAGAAAAGAACACACTTAATAGCCTACATCCTTTGATTTCTAACTAGTTCATCCCTAACTCACTGAAGACTCCATGACCTGTGACTCATGACCAGCCTACTGATCTATAGCTAGTCATCACACTGTCCATAACGTCTGACCATGTGAACAACAACATTCTAACCCACTTACTTGTTATTCTAACTGACCTGTTCTTCAACGCAGACTTGCTACTAATGACCAGTGACCTTAAACCAATGACCATCTGACTTCAATGATCTTCAGCCTGCTGATCTACAGCAAATCTACCCATAAGCCTGTTCTCCAAAGCAGACTATCGCCTCTAACAAACCTGCCAGTGACCTTATCACCTCTTACCTTGTGACCTTACTATCTGTGACCTTCTGACCTACCTGATCAGCAGCCTCCTGGTCCACGGCAAGCCTCTCCATCAGCTTGTCGGTGTCGATGGACTTCTGCTTCAAGACAGGCTCCAGGGCAGTCAGAGAGACCTCCATGTCAGCCACCAGCTGGTTGGTCTCAAGCAGCTTGGTCAGTCCGTTCTTGACGCGGTCGCGGGCATTCACCAGTTGCCTAATACGAGGAGAGAAAAGCAACAAGGGGAAATGTTCAATTGATAACGGCTTGTAATGGTCGAACTCAGGAACAGCACGCTCAATGTGAAAGTTACACAAAGTATTTTGACAAAAAAGAGAGAGACTGGCGTTTGAATTGCTTTACAGTGTCAAGAACTAATGCTCTGCAAACAAATCTGCAGGAAATTATACTGCAAATCGGAAGAACCAGACTACAGGAATAAGTTACTGGAAAAAGCTATAAAATAGTATGAATCTTGTTGTGGATAAATATATCAGGGCTGGTTTAACTGCTGTTGCCTTTCTATATATTACCAGGGAATTAATGTGAAATTTGATTGGAACAGCTGGCTCATGGCCACTTTGGCAAAATATCCGGGATAAAGGACCTAACTGTTTGAGTCAGTTCAGCATATCAGGCCCAAGAAGATTTTTGTTCCTCACGTATGGATGTAAGTCCAATGCAGGATGCTCTCTAGGTAATTCTGGTATTGTACTCCTCAAGTGGGGCAGGCAAGAGGAAGGTAGACTGGCTTGCTCACATCAGCACCACGTGGCTAGTAGCTGGGTTTAAACAATCACCGACGTTTCCGCTCAGAGATTTACACCATTCACTCCAAGGTGAGATACAATGCTAGCTTTAACCCCAACACTCCTCAATCCTCCAACAGGTGAAGGATTGAGGAGGGTTAGGGTTAAATGGTACGAGTTCAGAGGACTTACTTTCTCTTCTCGGACAGCATGGAGAGGTACAGGTTGATCAGCTCGAGGTAGCTGGTGGGTGTGGTGTAGTACCGACGACGCAGCTCAGAGTAGAAGCGCTCCGCCATGGCGCTCACGCTGGTGTGGATCTCCACACACATCTCGGCAATCTTACTCTGGACGCATTACAAAAATGAGGAAAGAAACCCACTGAAAATGACTTCATCGATCCCCCGACCCCAACCGTAAGTGTAAAAGATGTCCATGAACGACAGGGAGTCGGAAAGAATGGAATTCTGTTGAGCAACAACTGACTCCATGCTGTGGCATTCATCAAGAGATGACTGTAATATTTAGGGGAGAACAAAAGACCTTCACCAGATCTTACACATGGACAGTCCAACCTGCTTAAGATATTCCACAGGCAAATTCCAAAGAGAAAAACAATAAGAAACTTCCAGTTTTTAGGCAAAGAAGAGAAACGCCAGAGGAAGAGTTCACTAGGAATAAGGGGGGTTATTCTGTGATTATTCTCCAAATCAATGAAACAGGCCACCTAGGGTCACCAAAGAACAGCAGGGTGCAAACCCTTTCTGTTTGACAACTCTCATTTGTCTTTAAAAGTATTTACTAAGCAAAAACTATTTGCCTAGCAAAAGCAGGTAACCAAGAGAAATGGCATGCCTTTTATACTTCGTGTACATGACTGGTTCTCGCTTGTTTTTTGCTAAGCACATAAATCTGCTCAGCAGTATTTGTCCATTTATGAAATTGGGTCCTGTCTCTAAAACAACGAGAAAGGCAATACCTTCATGGCTTCCTCGCCCAGATCCACCGTCTCAAAGAACGTCTCGGAGACGGAGAGCAGGGCCTCCCGGGGCCACTCGGTGAACCAGTCGATGGTGCAGCAGTTGACCAATGAAGGGAACATGCGGCAGCGGGAGCGGAAGGCATCGCCCACGGGGCTCATGCACAGCACAATGTGCAGGTTCTGCCGCACCCGGCCAATGAAGAAGTTGAAGATCTCATCCCGGTTGCCCTCAGGGATGCCCACCTCCTTGGCAGCCGGCCGGCAGCCGATGATGACCCGCTCGTACTCCTCCGCCTCAAAGAGGTTGGGCACCTCGCCAGAGTTAAGGATGTTGTTGATGTCCTCTAGGAACTCCTCCACTACAATCTGGGATTAGAAAAAGGGCCAATTACGAGCAATCCCGTACAGCAATTTCAAAACAGTACCAGTATTATTCATCCAACTTTATATTTCCAGTATATCTACCAGGTTGTTGGTTTTACGTAAAATTGTTATATGACTATAAATTCTGTCAGCCCACAGTGTTACCTTAAAACCACATCCACATCTTAGATTATCCTGATCTACAGAATATATAGAAACCTACGGTAGATTATCCCGATCTACTGTGCATTTCTGTATATATCAAAAGAAAAAGGAGAATTTCAATCATGACTTTTTTCCGTCTAAATTGTTAGGCCCCCAGGCTCTGCTCACTACAGGAGAACCAGGTGTAGTTCTAATTTTATGCACTCATTCCAAGGGAGTCCACGGCATTCACATCAAAAAGAAGCCAAAATATACACAAGAATCACTGAGAAATATCAAAAGCCCCAACATGACTGTGCGGTTTTAATGAAGCGCACGTTTGGTGGGTCCCTTATTCATGTTCATTACAGGGAACCGACCTGTGTGTCTGTGAACAGGAAGACTGTGTTTTGGTTCTGGACGCCAGCTAACTCGTACAGCTGCTTTAGGTCGTCGTGGAAGGAGGAATAGTCGTAGCCGCGAGACAGCTCAATCTGGAAGCACTTGTAGCTGCAGATGTGGGCGGCCAGCCTGGTCAAGGACTGCTTTCCTGTACCCCCGACGCCTACCAACAGGGCGTTACCCCGTTGCTGTCGAATGATTCGGATGATCCTGTGAGTTCAAAGAAAAAAAAGGTAGTTACAAGCCGATAACTCATAACGGCAGATCCGTTTACTAATGTCCTCTTCAATGGTGACACAGAGAGACGGAAAACGTGAACACCATCTGTGCCCTGTGTCCATGCAAGGACGTAGTGTGCTTGTGCACATTCTGACGAAAGCTGGTCTGTGCCATACACATGCGAATCAACTGAGGGCACACACTGTGCTCCAAACATCGCTGGGCCTTTAAGGCATACAGCTTGAACTGTTTCTGCACAAAGTCAATACTGACTATGGCTGTCTGTGGCTGAGAGGTAACACACTTGCCTGTGGGAAGTGACTACAGCCACTAGCTAATGGTGTCCACAGGGGCACATGGTACTCCACCCGCAGTCGCAACTTTCCGATTAGCCCCACTTGAGTCTAAATTGGCCCCTCAGGAAAGAGTTTTGGCGGATGGTGATGGAGGGGAGTCTGACCTACCTAGCAACATGCTGAATGGCATCCACAAAGAACACCAACTTCATCTCCTTGGAGGATGCCAGATTGCAGTCATCAAGGTACTGGAGAAGCCAAAAAGAGAAACATTCCACAAGTGAACTTCTGATCAAGTCAATATCAGAGCACCAATTCCGATGTTGAAAACCATGGGTCACAAGATATAAATAAAACCCTCCAACAGGTGAAATCTTTAATTTTTTTTTTTCTGGAGTAAGCATGGCTTCTGGAACAAACATTGACTTTTCGCTGGAGTGCATGGAGGTGTTCCTCTCCATATCTGCTAATACACTGAGACTATTGGCTGTGTAAGAGAATGCCCCATGAGGTCATATTTAATACTTGATAAGTATAGCGCCGAACTGTAATCTAGAGTTCTAAGGTTCATATCCATATTCCTATGGCTAACTTTTACATACAGGCGTGCAATTTGGAATCTGACAAAAAACGATGAAATTCTTTACAAGACTTTGTACAGTATTTTTCTATTTTCTATGTCGTGAGAGTGAACTGAAGAATGAGAAAATCAGCTGATCTGCAGAAAAGTTGCATGCCTGTGGGTAAAAATTTTCATGCAACCAGGGTGGGGGGTGTGGCGGTTAAAGAGGTAAGTGAAAGCACACACATCTTGCAGGACATTCTTGAGTTTGTTCAGGTCCATGATGTCCTCGTACAGCCGGTCGCTCTCGTCTGCGCCCATCTTCATGAAGTCGCCGAAGATGATGGGCTTCTTGATGAAGCTCTCGGGCTCCACCGTCTGGCTGAAGTGCTTGCTGGCCATCTCGGCCATGATCTCGTTGAAGAAGGCCTTGTCCTCCAGGTTGATGAGCCGGTCGTGGAAGACGCGCTGGCACTCGTGGCAGAAGAGGCGGAACATGCCGGCCTGGTCGCGGATCACGCCGGGGTCGGCCTGCAACACGCCTGTAGATGAAGGGGGTGAGATTACAGATTTGACATTGGACACCTCATGTCCCAGAGATTTTACTCTGGCTGATTGAAAAGCAACAACCTAAAAAACTCTTTTCAAAGATGATTATGAGTTCAAGCATATACACAAAGTTAATTGAACATGAATTACAGTGTAATGAAAGAAATTCTCTGCTCGAAAAGTATCACCTTATTTGCTAGTTCTTGAGATTGTATTGAACAATTAAGGTGTTTTGGAGAAGGTTCAAGGTGTAGATCTCTCAATGTAACATGACTAAAGAAGTAATATTTCTCACAAATCGACAAGTTAATACTAAATCCTTTCAGCAGTGCTACAGTCAAGCACTTTACGTTTACTACTCATCACATCACAAATACGGTCAACACTTTTCCAAGGAATAGTGGGTGAAGACAGGAATATCTTTGGTGCAATGCATTACATATAAACTGGCTTCCACTGAGAATGAGGTACCTCCTATGTACTTAAGAAGACATACATTTCTACGTAATTACTGAAGCAACAGTACTCATAGATTTTGCCACTCAAAACAGGAAGGCTTGTCATTTAAACGATTCCAAAGCCAACATATATCTGATAAACCAACCCCCTCCCCAAGGCACAATTATCCCTACTGGTGGTTTTACCTTGCACACATTTGGACAGATCTCGGAGGTTGAAGACGTAGTGGGACTTGGCCGGTGTGGGCAGCAGGTCCGTGCTCATGCGGCCGTAGATCTCCACTGCAGCGCCCACGATGGCTTCAGCGGTGCCTTTGACGGCCGGCGGGAAGTCATGTAGGAAACCACTGATGATGGACTGCGAAAATATAGAAAGGACATCACTCTTTCACTCTCTGCCAAAGCTAAAATGAAAAATTTGCTACGCTTTTGTTTTTTTTCCTAGTTCCCTGGAAGGTTTATTTTATTTTCAAATACATCCCACAGATAATAAAAGCTTTGCTTGGTCTACTTTGCCTAAATTTCCCAGGTCTTTTGAGGGTGAGCAATTTCTTTTCCTGATCATGTTGTTACAAATCATGTTGTTACATATCCTACTTAATTTGGTGACAGACCATTCAAATGTGACTCTGAAGACAGACTTTTTCAAGTCATAATTTTGGGTCTAAGTTGAAAAGTTTGGGTTGTGTGAGATATTTCGTCCTCACCTGCCGGTTGGTGTGAACTTACCATGAATATGTGCTTGAGGCTGTGGTCAGATGCGGTAGGCACGCATAGCATGCTGAAATGTCTCATGAGGCGTGGGGTCACGGGATTACGACCTCCACCGGGTGGGGCACACGCTGCTGACAATGTCACATCCTACCAAGATATAATAGCAACAGGGTGAGGTTGGGGGATGAAGAATATGCCACGAAACCTCTAGCAGAGAGGGTATATCAATGACACCTATAAAACATGGTTTGGGGGTTTTTAATTAGAGCTAACGAGGCATGTCTTATCTTGCAAATGGTTTGGTTGTGTGAATCTTGCTCTTGATTTTTTCATGGAGGGTACAGAAACGTAGCAAAACCTGACTAATGTAACTTTTAAAAATCAGAGACTCAGAGTCAAAGATTCAAAAGTCTAGACAAATCCTTTAACGCTGACAAACTCAAGAAATTCTGAAAAGGGATTACTTTCCAAAACCTTCCAACTCTGAATTCCAAATAACCCAACTTGCAGATTAGGAGATTGGTTTCTGCTCAATTCAAGAACTCATTTATTAATTAATTTATCATCACAGATTCCAAGCTTCAAGCACAGATCCGACATTAAAAGTTGGCAACAAGCCAAATTAAAGTCAGGTCAGTGGCAAGGGAGGGAACATGGGGCAAGGGGGGCCACATTGGAAAATGTTTGGCTTTGAAGGTGCAAACACTTTAGGCATGGTACCAGCACCTTCTTTTCAATGGGGAGGGTTCTTCCACAGATGAAAGAAAATCTGACAATCATTTCAGAAAAATCCCTGCCCATTTTCAGAAATTCTCTCTTTCAAAAAGAAAGCGTGACTACCTTTTAAAAATCTAAAACTTTCAAGCTAATCTCTGTGTCCAGAACTTACATGTATCTCTTTCCAGAAGAGCTTCTCCCTGTCGTAAAACCCACGGAAGTCTTGGTACTGCCTCAGTAGCTCGATGGGAGGCTGGGAACCGTAGGTATCCAGCTTGGGCATGTTCAGGTCATCAACAAAGATGATGACACGTTTGCCAGCAGGGGCACCTGGGTAGATGCAAATTTATGGCAAAATTTCAAAAGTGGAAGGATTAAATATGAAGGAACTACTGAGCAAGATTTGGCATCGAGTACCTTTCAACTTAAAAGAGAATGCCATCGCCATCTGATATACAACTCACCCTGAGCAGAATGTAATTCAGATTAATTAAAATATTCAACTAAGCAGACTTGATTTCAGCTTATAGCAGTGAGTAAAATGTTTACCAAAAGTCAAATATGCACGACTTTTGAATGAGCATAAGCAAACTTAGGTATTACAGTCTACTGTGGATGACCGTCCGACTCACCTAAGATTGTCTTGCGCTTCTTCTCGAGTTTACCCTCAATGATCTCCTGGGTGCGGATGCTGGTGGTCTGGGCAGAGAAGTTGATAAAGACAGGGGCGTAGCTTGCTTTCTCGCTGATGCCGTCCAGCAGCCCTCTGGCAATCACAGACTAATGAAGTCAAAAGAAACATATGGAAGAGCCGCAATATCATTTCAGCGCAGGACTAGCGCTCTGGCATCTTTGAGTTAGACGTCAAAACTTTCAAAATGAAAATCGGAGACATCAACCCTCAATGCTTCACAAAAAAAATCCATAACTGTGTGTAAAGCCAGTGTTGCTATTATTTTGGGTTTTTTACAGTCAAAATTCACGTTCAGGTCCCTTTTTTTTAAATCTGGTTTTTTTACAGATACCTTTCCAAGCACTCTTTGAGATCAATTTTTGTCATTAAATGTGCATTATACCTACCTGACTTTCAAGCAGGGCTACATGGCTTTACAATAAAAGTCAAATCACAGAGTCTTTTCTCATGCAAATGGTTTAACTCAATATAACTCTCCACTCTTTGAGTATTAAGTCTAGGAAAGGTGAACAAACCCGACACTGCAGTCAACTCCTAGAAAGCTCTCAGTAAGAAAGCTGGAGATTTTCATGAGCACCATACCTTCCCTACACCCGTGGTACCAGTGAAGAGAACCGAGCGGTTCACGCTCAACAGTTTCTCCATGAGGTAGCCGAAGCGCACCGTGTCCATGGTGGGCACGAGCATGTCGAAGAACGGCTGCTCGGGGTTGTACTTGAAGGCCGGGATAATCTTCTCCCACATGTCCATGCGCTTGGTGTCAAAGTCAATGTAGCAACTCCACAGGTCGCCACTGGTGTTCAGCTGTTGGTGAATCAGTCATGGAGTATTCAGTGATTAACCCTCCTTTGGTTTTACAAGCACAAATGTGCACAAATGCCCACAGTCACTGGAGAGCATGTAGTTTCTATATGAAACTCAAACATGCACAGGTTCAGTGTATACACAGTAGGTTGTCAGCACAAAATGACCCAGGGTCTTTTGTGCAGTCCTCTTCACTGCATTTGGTTTACTGCACAATTATGCACATGAAACAGTGTAGCATAGTTGTTGGGCAGCACAAAAGTGCAATCTGATATTCCTGTGAGGGACTGTTGGTGCTGTGCACAACACAACACAGCTGTGCTTCTTTGAGGTGTTCACCAAATGACCCAAAGAGTGACTTCAGCATAGGAGGGTTAATTGACTGTATTCATGTGTCAACCATGTTGAACTGAATGTGAGGTTAACTTTTCATTTTTGGAGCTTGAGAGTAAACGAGACAGCAAAGAAATAAATGTTCATTACAAATTCATGCCAGTTTTACATTTTTAATAATTTGAACTTTGTGATAAATTTTATCTATCTTATTTAAGCCACTTTAAAAAAACATGAAAGAGAGGTTTTGCACCCAAGATAGTCTGGCACCATCTCACTGACAAGGTTACATTGCATATGATAGATTTGGGAAACAGAATAAAAAATGGCTTCCCCATGAATATGGTTTATTGTACACTCTGCCCAGTGAAGATTCCTATGGGCTTCAAGTTTCCTTGCAGATTTAGTATGAGGTTAGATTTCAATGACAATTATGATGATTTTGTTCAAGATTCACAATTTAGGCAACTGAGTTCAAAACAAGGAATAAAGATGTTTGGAATAGACAATTCTTGAAAATATTTGGTATCTCCCTATATAGTCTAGAACAATGTACTTAATATGTCAGGCATTTACACCTGCACCACTGCAGTTTATGTAAATTAGTGTCTATAAGAAAACAATACCGATCCACTGAAAAATCAGCACCACCTTAAGAGCACTTTCATTTCACTAATTAAGGATCCACAGAAAGTAAGAGTGTTTATTTGTGACAAATGCTGACCAAGGAAAGCCGATTTAAGAGAGGAGGAACCAACAAGTACAATATACACTTTGCCATGGGAAGAACAGAGCAACACCCAGACTAGTCTTCACAGAATCTTGCTCAGGAAATTTCTGAGCAAAACTTTGCCAAGTACCAGTTAAGAGCACTATAAACAGTATGACTTTCCAGCTGGTAGCCTTTTTTTGCTAAGCAAATCCGTCGGTGCTAAGCAATTTTTAAACTTGGCAGTTTTCTGAAATGTGATCCTTTCATTCTGACGCATCATTTATCATTTTTTTCACCTTAGCATCTCCGTTGTCCTCAAACTGGTTCCTGACGAAGGTGTCAAACAGGTCCCAGCAGCTCTCCACCAGGTTGCCTCCCACTGACCACAGGTAACAGAAGACGAAGGTGGTGCAGATCAGCGAGTGCAAGCGGTTGACCTCCATCTTGAAATCTAAGGTGCCCTTGAAGACCAGGGCTTCCAGAAGGCAGCACAGGGTGTTGACCTTGCTGATGTCAACCTGCGAGGGGGTATAGGCAAGCCACAAAAAAGGTTGTGCAAAATGAGATTTCGCTACAGGGCAGGCCGGTGTCACTGCTCTAGGCGACTGGTTCCAGGAAAATGAATAATTATGGGCTAGTTGAAGTTGAGTTGCAAGCTTTGCAAAGGGCTATGTCTAAAACAGGCACTGTTGCATGTGGCTGAGGATGTAGGCCCCTTGCAGTTGGTATTCGGTAATAGTTCCTTTAACATGACAAGGAATCATGGAAAAACATGAAGTACAATCCCTCTATTCATCAATGTTTGCAAATAAGAAAAAGCAAAGCGGTTATCAAAAATGCTTATTTTCACTTGTCTTTTATTTGGCCAAAACTTGAACAACCAGCAGATTGTGATATTTTCGAAACAAAAACCTTATCACTCTCTCGTGAATTGAAATAAAAACCCCAAACAATGGCACAAAGACATTAATTCACTGGTTTTCATAACCAGACCCACTATCCCTTATGCAGGGGACCACAGTTATCTGCCGTGAAAACAACTATTGCATCAAAGAGCAAAGTTCCAAATGGAACAAAAAATCTTGGAGGTTTTGAACAGAATTGGCTGTCTCTGTGCTCGGCTCCACCCAACTTTTACCACCAAACATGTGAGCTTGATACAAAGTTGTGCTTTACAGAGGAAGATTGAAAAATGTACACTACAGACTAAGAGAAGGGAGCCCTTTCATTAATTTTCATATCGGGGGTCTAAGAACAGTTTTGCCATCAGAAGAAAATCCTGATATAAAAATGATGTCGAGATTTTGAACACCACACTGCCATAATACCTTAGTATCCTAAGATATTTGTTACACCATTTCTCTGTAACGACCAAACTTACTACTTCCTTGGTGAGAATTCCAAGGCTGAGCCCCTACCTGATTTATGGCCTGGATGCACTTCTTGTTGACAAAGCGCAGTCCATCCTCCACGTAAGTCTGGAACAGCTCCAGGATGTAGGCGTAGGTCTCCTCCTTGACCTTGCCCTTGAACTGGGTCATCCAGGTCAGGACATAGGGCATCCACTTCAGCTCGCCGGGGTCGATGTAAACCATGCCGCATCTGGTGGAGGAGGGACGAAGAGTCAAGAATCAATCAAAGCCGGTCACAGATAAACCTTTTTCAGATTTCGCGCTGAAATCTGTGAACTAAATTCCAGGACTTTCCAGACTCAAAGATGCCACGTTTCACGACATTTTGCAGAGCAAAGTTGGTTGGTAATATGAACTGCAAGACTGCCATAGCTAGTACTACAGTCTAGCAAGGATAGCTTGTAAATTTCTCAGTATTCTGTTATAACACACTGGATTCTCTTGAGAGCTCTGAGTCAGGGCTGCAGAGCTGTTGCCTTGACCTCAATGTGATTTTAAGCTGGAAATAATAGTATTTGGAACTCCGAGGGGGGTACTAGAAGTTGTGGACATTCTACAATGGAGTGGATATAAATCAAAAATGAAAAAACACACCAAAAAAAAACCGCAACGGTCGACGACACGATCAGTTGACATGTCAGAGAACTTAATTTGGTTTTAATTATTAAAATGGAAATTGCGAATACCTCTGCCAGAGGGCAAATTTCATCAACCTAAATTCCCTATGTTGAGGTACAAAGTTCATGGGATACTGCGGGATTCGGTGCAGTTGAGGCTATGACAATTACTATCTACTTGAAAAACTGTACGCTAAAGTTAAAACTAACGATATTAGTGTCCGTAAAAATAAACTTGTTGATTGCCGATGAACCGACACACAGAAGCTATGAAACTACATTCAATGCTCTTTTTTAGCTTTGAAAAACAAAGTTTGATTCAATCCCCAAGAACTACTGCAAACTCATTGTTTTTTGGAGTCAAATCACAAACATAAGGTACATTTCAACACTGATAACTGTTGCAGCAGCTATCTTTAATCTACCTCATGTATTTATCTTAGGAAACCAGTACCTGCTGACAGTGGCTGGGGAGGCCACGGCCAAGTCCTGGACCTCAAAGACCATGTGGATGGAGTTGGACAGCTTGATACGCTCGCTGTTGGCCAGACACAGCATCTTATTGTCGTCCAGTACGGTGTTCATGTTCTCAATCCACAGTGCGTCCACGGGACCGTCGCAAATGACCCACTTGTGGTCGTCAGTGGTTTCCTTTGGCATGAAAGGAAACAATTGCTTTATACACGGATGATGGTTTATATTGGATGTTGCGAGGCACTACGTAGATCTTCTGTGTAGTTCCCGAAATGAAAGATTAAACACGTCTGTGCTGTGTAGCAAAACTTGCCATACGAGTGCCATGTACTGCCCTTCACAAGCCTTTAATGGAAGCAACTGAGTGTTAGATGAAGCTCTTCTTCACTGATGGCCCATTAGACTTCCTGTGCAATTCAGAGAATAAGTATTACGGCATGTTCTTTTAGAACTGAAGCTGCAGGCTACACTTAAGCACTCAGAAACTCACCTGTAATGTCAAGTGACAAAAACGTAGCAGTGATATAGCTCAGTTCCCCCTGGAATTTCTCTCTATAAACTACCAAAATACTTCGCTAAGAAGCAACTGAAGTAACATTCCTAACACCATAACTTTTAAGGTGAATCAAACCTATAAAGGGCTGCACTCCAACTTCCTCAATCCTGCAAAATCCTCACAAAAAAAGCTCCCAGCGAAATCTGAAAGGATTCTCCGAGATCTTCCAAAAAAGGCCAAACTTACGGCGGAGGTGACACGGACAATGGTGGCCATCAGTCCGTCCTGCCACTCCAGGGTCAGCTTGTTGACCTCTCCATAAAGCTCACCCATGGACACCGCCTTGGGGTTCAGCACGTAGGTGTGGACTGGCTGGTAATAGGGGCTCTCCTCACCGGCTTTGTGGAGCTCAGTTAACGAACTCTGCAAAATCTGGTTACAGAGAAAAACACAGTGCACTGAGAACCAAACAACGGTGTAAGACTGTGAGCGAATCACTCCGCTGAGGCTTCAAGTCCTACATGACACAGCCAGTACCATAGAATTGTGCATCATTTCAAGCAGCAGCCAAGCAATTCGGCCATGGCCTGAGGTCAATAAGTAGCATGCCCACAGAGGCACATCCTTTAAGAGACAGGAACACTGTCCATTGACCCATCTAGGATTTCAGATTTTCCTTTCAATTTTGAAAGTTGAAGAGGTTAGGAAACAGTAGTCAACAGCTACGACACAACAGATAACGCAGGTTCAGAGCTGGCAGTATGGGATACTTCAACAAGTTGAGATACCTTTTTCTAAATTGAAAGTTTCATGTTATATTTCCACATCAAAATTAAGTAATCGACTAAAATTCCACATTATAATATTCTAAAATTGCAAAGCAATTTAGAACAAAAAGTTCACTGACAATTTTCTTTTGCGGTTGTGTACACTGAAATTTAACATTTAGAAATTTTGACGGGAGAAGTGCAAGGATTGTAAAAGTAAACTCTTTGATGTTCCACAAAACATGTACCCAACAGCTGCATAAAATTTCCACCCACAAGCTGTCACTGCCAACCTACCTCATAGGTGGTGGTCTTGCCACCGCCCGTCGGCCCAACCAACATGACACCATGACGGACGATCATGGTCTCATACAGCTGGATGACCTTCTTGACGATGCACTCCTCGGGCTGCAGGCCCTTGTCCACCAAGGCCTGAACGATGAAGGTCTGCAGGGTGCCATAATCGTGCTCGGGTAGGACGCAGCCGGGGAACAAATCAGACAAGATGCCCTGGGGGAAGAGGGGGATAGCAGGCATGGTTACTTACTTCCTGCGCAAGGTCAGAGGTGGAAATAAAGCCGAGTGACCCGTGGTCAAGCATTTGTGTATTTGGCTGCTGAGCAGGAACTACAGCTACAAAGTGGACCAAGGAATGACTCCAATGTAACAGAGACTCAGTAAGCAGCAAGGTATTCCATTGAAATGCTAGCTAATCCACCATCGTTGCTTAGCACAAGATACTCCTCTATGCACACCGCCATGCTGAAGGTGTGCATAGTGAAGAGTTAACTCTTCTTCAATATCAGGCTCTGCTACATACCAGATGCAATGTCAAATAGCAAGGACTGGGAAACTACTTAACGTATTCAATTTCCTAGCTAACTTATTTTTAACCAAACTTCTGGTGTTCTTGAAAAATTCATACATGCTAGCTTTCCTGAAATCCAAGCACTGCCATTTAGACATAGATATACAAATTTTCAAAGTTGAAAAATGGCAAATCTCTCTGCTTTACACAAAAGTGATACTCCTCAGGTGTCAGGTGGCTTTTTCTGAGCGTGTCCTGCACAGTTCAGCTTCATTACCAAAGAATCCACAATAACTACGAATTTCCTTTCCTTTCCAAATAACTTTCTCTTAGATTTGCTCTGGATCCCTCCATGCAGCTTACCCCAAAGAGAACGGCATCATCAGCCAGGAACTTGGGCAGGTTGCTGTCACGGAGCGCCCTGATCAGCACAATGTCCTCGCCCAGGTCCGGGTTGCCTCGTTTCAGGGCCCCCGCCATGACCAAGACCGACTTGACGGCCCGCATGCCAAAGTCATAGTGGTCCTGCTGGGAGAGCTGCTCACTGCACAGCTTGTACATCTGGGTCATCTTGCGGGCCAGGTTCTTGGAGGACTCAAAGCCCTCCGAGTACAGAATGACTTCTGCAATCAGTGCTGAAGGGGAATTTTAAAATTCGATTTGACGTCTAAACTTAGAATTAAACAATCCCTTTATAAACACCTAGCAACAACTGTACACTGTTGCTCATAACCTTCTTATTCACAGATGAACAGATCTCACTTATCACAGAGAATTCAAACCTGCAAAAATCCCCATCACCTGATTGGTGGTTTGTTGATCACATGTCACTGAATTATTGTTCTATTCAACCGGTAAAACAGAACTTCATTTCACTTGCCTGGTTCCCGCCCCCTTCTCCAAACATGTATTTCATTCACCGTAAACAGGGAAGAAGAAAAATAATGTAGGGATGGGAACCGGTCTAACATTATACAAAACTCACAGTGGGTGGTGCTTCAGACACGACGCGTGCCTCAACACATAGCGGACGTAAACCGTGAGAACAGTTTCATTTTTTTTCTCCAAACAGAAGAGGATTTCACATGCAGGTATTGCACACAATGAATGTTTCGCATTCCTGCACTGGTGTGAATAAATTTCATGAAGAGAGAAATGAAAGGTTCCATTCCACTCAACTCTGCCTTGTAGAATGGAATATTTCATCTGTTCTTACCACTGCACTCATAAACACTCATTATTTGTATACTAAACATATCTATCCATCTTTGATAGATACAGATGAAGTGTCGAGCAAAGTCCTTACTCCAAATGACTTTTTAGTGAATTTTACAGCAAACTGAATCTTGTACGGTATGACAGCAAATGCTATCTGACATGAAATTTACTTTGCTTTCATTTTGGTGTAGTACGAACGGACCATTTCAAAAGCAGATTCACAGCACTATAAATAGCCTTGTGTCTTTATCATATAGTTGGATGGTACTAACATTGCCAGAGCTGGCAAAAATGTGGGACAAACGACTGTTCGGTTACCAGATTAGCTGACAGCATTTTTCCCTTGTTAAAAACACTAGAATGTTAGCCCATAGAAATGCTTGTAGTAAAAGAGTTCAAATGTACTAATTCAATGTATGCTTTCTGGAGGCAAATGTGAAAGCCTCCGCACAAAGTTCTTCATAAAAAGGGGGAGCGATACACTCTCGATATTAAAAAAACTCACCGTAATCAGGTACCATCATGGCGATCGGTCTAAAGAGAGCTTTGAGGTTATCAGGTAGCTCGGTACGGCCAGCGTAGCCGGGATTCATGGTGATGAACGCGGCGCAGGATGGCACCAGCTTGATCTCGCGTCCCTCAAACATGAACCGCGACAGCTGGAGACGAAGGTCACATCAGTTCAAATTAAGAGAGGAATTCGGGAAATGCTTGTCAAAAGAAATTCTGCAACTGCAGTTTTTAAGGAATCATATGCCTACAAATCAGGTAGAGATGACAGTAATCTCAAAATTAGGGAAAGCATTTGATAACCATTATGTCAACAGAAACAATATTTCGTTCACTACAGGTGGAACTTTGCACCAGCGAGATGTGAATTTATGTATCTAGTTTGCTCTTTGCTGATCCCATTCATTAGGCAATTTAAAAAGTTTGGTGAATTCATAGAGCTTGTGGGAGACGAAAAGATGTAACTTGGACCCACAACTTCCTGCTTCTTGGTTTAGATGTCTGAACAATTTGACCACCAAGCTTCTGGTGATCAGCTGCCATTCAATAAACCCAATACAGCATTACATATCGCAATTATACCAACTTTTAGTTTTTTTAGTAGGGGAATTTGATATTGTGTTGATGGAAGGTGGAGCCAACAAGTTCAATATGTTGTTCACAGGAAATCTTTGGGAAAAAACAAGATGCTAAAACAAAAATACCTTGGCAGCCTTTGCATTCCTGATTGTGATGAGCTGCTGGGCAATGACAGACAACACCTCGATATCGATGCGGTTGAACTCGTCAAAGCAGCACCAGGCACCGGATTGGGCAAGGCCGGAGAAGAACCGGCCCATCATCTTATAGTCCAGGCCGTCTGAGCAGTTGAAGACCACACACTGCTTGGCCAGGCCCTTGGCCAGGTCCTTGGTGGTCTCTGTCTTGCCTGTGCCGGCGGGGCCGGCTGGGGCCCCGCCCAGGTCCAGCTGGAGGGCGCCCATTAGGCACAGGTAGCAACGATCCTGAAGTAGGGGGGAAGGACCAACTGAGATGAACATATGCTCTTGCCAAACCACACAACCTTCATGGGGAAACACCTGTTGTTACCTTTGCTGATTAACCAATGGGTCAAGTGGACAGCATTTTGCTTGCTTTACTCAGAAATGGTACCATCCCGTCAAGAAACCGTGAATTTCCAAAGAAAACTTAAACTGTTCCATGAAGGAAACCTGCAGGGGGCACAGAACCATTCTGACCTTTTCGAGAAATTCTCTAACCTCACAAGTATCTCAAGAGCACTTACCGTCAGGGGCGTGATGACCAGACGTGGTGAGGCCCCCAAGTACTCGTAGCCGTACACGTACTGCGAGGTGGACATACGCACCACACAGTTGTCCAGCTCCAGGTCCCAGTAGTAGCGCATCTGCTTGACCCACTCAAAGTTATTGGTGTTGTCCACCCCGTTCTTGACCATGCTGGTGATGATGTCGCGGGCGTGCACACTGATGGTGATCAGGGCACACAGGATATTGCGCACCAGCTTGGTCAGGTTGCCGCGCACCATGGCCGCCAGCCGGTTCAGACTCTGCAGGAAGGAAAAAACACAGAAGGGTGAGATTTGCTTACAACACGTGAGGGTCATTCCTAGCAAGTCTAATCTAATCAATATGCCTATATACCGATGATGTCACACTCCATGTTACAGTGCACATTCTTATGGTGGCAAGATGGGGACGATAAGATTTGATAACACCATTGAAAAGTACACATGTAAACAAAGTGTGATATTATCAGTACACAGGCCTACAGACGAATCAAGCACACACCACTACACCCTCCTCTGTAAACCATGGGAGTGTCTCACAATTCAGAACAGTTGGAACGTTCAATTCGGAATGCCTTATTCTCGTTACAGAACAGGCATTAAAAACACAGCATTCTGATCAGAGAGCTGCCACAGACTGGTTTATGCACAAAGTGGACCATTCCCAACTTTCGGGGCTATTCTTCACAAATCTGACTGTATTCCTGTTTGTTTTTTCCCCACACACATTCAGATTCTCAGCTATAAACGAGTTCAGATAGGCAGATAGTCTGACTAACATCACTCAACTGCAGATTAATTGAACAACTCCAGGCAACAAGTTTTACTTGAAAGGGAAGCAACAGTGTGAAATGACAGCAGCTCAGACAGCAGCGAGATAGGCAACTGATGGGAAATCTGAGTGACGATGTGAATTTGTCAACAATAGTTCAATTTGGGATGCGGTGTGTAGAGTACAATGTAACAATTGATAACAGAGCTACTGTCCAGTCAGTTGCAAGTCCATCACAAGTCCTGTCAGAAGGAGGGTAACAGACCTGGTTACAGACATGCCCTAGTCACAAGAAGCAGAATGAGCAATGACAAGGGAATGTTTCTGTCACAGCTTATCTGGAACGGCTTGTTACTTAGCTTTGACTGGATGACTTGTGAGGAGTTCAGGGGCCTGACTACAGACCCAATGACTTCTGCCGCATGTAGAACAATCAAGGCAACTTCTAGACAGCAAAACCTCACCTCAAAGTTCTTGACCTCAAACTCCTTCATAGCCTCAGCCCGGTCGCAATCCCCCTCCAAGATCTCCGTCACATCCCGGCACCACATGGTCTGGGCCACGGTCAGCACCACCTGGGAGGCATGGCGGGTCACCCACTCCTCCAGGGGCCGCTGCTCAAAGTCGCCCAGGGCCGCCTTGGTCAGGCGGCGCAGTGAGACCACCATGGCCTCCTCCACTTTGCCCAGCCAGTCCTCCACGTTGCCCCGGGCCTTCAACCCTTTGCCCAGGCCCACCTTCTCGTTCTCGGGTGAGATCATGGCCAGGATATCGTTGGTGGACGTTTTCACAGCTTCCCCCTCTGCAAGTACGCAATCAGTAATGCAACATTCAAGTTTTTTACAAGCTTTGACCACTACGGCTTAGGCATTGTGTAAAAATATAAACAGAAATACCTACAGCAGAAAGACGCTAACTAGCGTTGAAAGATGTTACTTATTGTATTCCTGAATGAAAGAGTTTTCATTTTGAGGTCACAGACTCCCAACAGCTAAACTCTCTCAAGAATGAAATACTTGTGCCACGATGCTCAATAATATTCTGATAAGTTGGAACCAGATTGCAATGAGAATTCTTGAGAAAGCCATGTTGTTTTTGCCATATGCCTAATGATACCATGCTTAGAAAGCCAGTAATGTACGTTGAGCCACTTTATTGCTGTGGCTTTTCAAAAGCTGGGAAATCTTGACTTTGCCAAAGTTCACAAAATGCTTGTTAATATTTGTATCGGTGAGGAGTCAAAGAGTCAATACACCCTACCCTTTTCCCCTGAGGGGGACGTCTTGCCATCGACGGCTCCGGTGGTACCAAACTCCAACTTGGCAATAGCATCGAAGCACTTCCTGAGGTGGGGCTGCACAGCGTGAGGATTGCGCGTCTGGGACAAGATCTCCAGCAGCTCGTCATTGGACAAGAAGTAAAATCTAGTCCCAGAAAGAAAGTGTTACTCTTAAAACTTGTGAACATTTTGGTTCAATACCAACTTTTTCTCATTTTTTCGGGGGGGGGAGGTTAATGGTATCATGGATTTTTGGTAAATGTGCAAGTTCTCATATATTCAATGTAGCATGTTAAGGATGTAGAATGGTCACCCAAAAGGGACCTTCTGTCCATGAGCAAGACACTTTGCTGCAATAACTTTTGCCACCCCAGACAAAATGACTAAATGTTTAGGTAGAGCTGGTCGTCATTACTTCTGACACCGTGACTAGGCTATGTATATTCAGCAGGAGGTCAAATGAGGTTTCAGTCCTCATCATAACCTCGGGAAAGTATATGCAGCAAGCACTGCCTTGTGTCTGCAGTTTCAAAAGTAGGGCAGAGAAAGCAATACAAATTTTATTTTCCTGCTCAAGGCAAAATAAAATAAAGAAGGAAAAGGAAGGCACTGATGAAGCAATCCATGTCTTGGGCCATTTCCTGTTTTAAGACTTAAATGATTGAAGAGGAGACTGAAAATCTAGAATAAGACAGGAGAACAAATTGAGCTGACCTAGGGAAGATGCATCGCTTGGACTCCAGGTAAGCCTCCAGGCACTTCTGGATCTGGTCTAGGAGGGCGTTGTTGTTCTTGAAGGTCTCCAGGAGGCCAGGCTGAGTGGCCGCGCGCATGGCCAGCGGCAGGCGGTTGGCTTTGCGCATGATCTCCTTCCAAGACTTGTCAACCTAAGCATAGGAACAGCGAAGCCAGTTAACGTGGTCAAGGCTCTGATAGAACTAGAACTGTATACTCTACACCCATTAGCATCCATACTACATTGTAATGCATTGCATTTCTAGAAAGCCATGGAGTGCTCAGATGGTTTGGGGCAGTACAAGGACTCACAGGCTGGATGGTTTGAGGCAGTACAGTTACTTACGAGTTGACTCTTGCACACACTAAGAAATAATGATTCAAATCTGCACCCAGATACCTCACCCAGTACTTCAGATGCACCATGTCTCTCTTAGAGAATTAACTGCCCTAATATGGTGGCTTCCCCTCTGTTATTGCTCATCTCTGTATATCGGCATGAAGTCTACAGTTGGTTGACAACAGGTTTTACCTCAAAAGGTACATTTACTCCCTGAGTGTCAAAGAGGGAAGTATTACTCAGCAGTAGTATGTGGCATTTGGAGTATTGATAGCTCACTCACTCTACTGCAAAGATGTTAAAGTCCGTCGCGCTGATGTGATATTTGAAATACTTTAGGAATTACTAGTTTGTGCTGACGGCCAGTCAAGGCTTATCGACCACTGGTAGGGCCGAACCACAACCAGGGCGCAGTGCAAGAGAAAGGGGGTCCTTACCTGCATGAACATCTTGGCCTCGGCCGGGAGCTGACGCTGGATGTCCGGGGCACTGAAGATGCTCTCCAGGTACAGCCAGTTGCGCTGGCAGGTCAGCCACTCGTCCAGCGTCTCACCGAAGAGGCTGAGGTTGCGCACCCACTCCTCCACCCGGGTCTTGATAGGCCCCACGTGCCGGGAGCTGGCGATGGTGGAGATGTTGACCTGGCTGTCATCCAGCAGCACCTGGATCTCGTCGGTGCCACCCAGGATGAAGACGTCCTTGGAGTCGCGGTGGGGGAGCACCACAAACTCGGTGGTCTTCCAGGCATCTTCCACCTATTAATTCCGTTAAACATTTCAATCGGTCACACATCAACACCAGGGACAGTTTGACTGTTCCTACTGGTCAAAAGGCCATTGCGTGGTTGGGTTCAAACCACAAAAAGAACACTCTGAAGCACCGCTACACTCTGAGCCACATCATGCAGTGATCTTCATATGAAGAGGTTTAATAGCACTACATATCCAAGGCAAATACCATGGTCTAGGCCGAGTGGGTCTCACAAGACATGAAACAAAATGGTAGCACAAAACTGTTAGCAATTTGTAAATTCCGAACTTGTTTTGACTTTGGACAGAAAAAAGCATGAATAGAAGTATTAGTGCGCTCAGTTTTAGATGAGATGTTTTAATAATACCGTCAGGAAGTCTGGTTGTAAATAACATCCCTCACCTTTGACTTGGGCCATAGTCTGTATCAGACCAAATACAGGTTTTAAACCAAATCTCGAAAGTTATTTCAGCACATTATTATCCACCTTTTAAAATCCTATTTTACCAAATACCCCTGTATTACATTCCTCTTTGAAAGTCCTATTCAGCTCTCAAAGAAATGGCAAACTTTAAGATTTTGAACAACACAAAGCTTAAATGTGAAGGCAGCAGGGAACAGAACACACTGAATTTAACATTTCTGCTTTTCATCAAAGTCCTTCCTCGGCCCTTTTTTTTTTTGGTGGATCCTGATTCATCGATACACAGGGTTATTAAACAACCTTTACCTTCTTCAGCAGGGTCTCCAGGGCAGCCTCACTGGAGGCCTGGCCAGACACCTCCTCGATTTCCTCGGTGTGACTGAAGGCATCCAGCTTGGTCAGCAAGCCCAGGCTCAGGGGCTCCTCCTCCGATTTGAGGCTGAATTCCAGGATGCTCTCGATGGTCTCCCAGTGGCGGGGTTTCAGGGAGGGGTTGCGCAGGTTGGTGATCACCGGCAACTGGAGGGGAATAGAACAGACCAAATGCCAATCAAGTGATGCATTGAGAGGAGTAAGTAACAGGTTTGGTCGTGTACAGCCACTTTGGACACTCTGGAGAAATGTCAAGTTGGTTCCAAGTACACTACAAGTGAACGGCACACTGAGCGCACACAATGGTTCAGGTACTGTAAATTTTCAACACACTGTGCACAAAACCAAACTGATCTTCAAGTGAGATCTAATTGTTTACTTCATCAGTTATACATGCACTGTAAGTTTAAAGTAGATATTACTACAGAAAGGGTCGTACATACGGAAACCAGTAACAAGCACAATCAGAAAGTATGGTAATCTATGGTTCAACTTTCAATCAAATGCATGTGAGCTTAATTTAGCTGGACTAATCTAGGAACATCTATAGAAGCATCAAGTGCTTAGGAATGAGGCAGCTTATCACAATTTTACACCAGACTCAGAGAAATGGAGAGGCAGCAGTTTGTACACAAAGAGGATTTATCAAGGCATTTGAACAAATGAATATTAAACTGGAGTTACAGATGGCATGTTGAATTCACCTTGTGGAATGGTACACTCTGTACATCTCCTGAAGTACTCTTAACTCTGCACTCATAAACAATCATTCCTGGTATAAGAATGCACAGTTACAAGGTGAATCACACGTTCAGTATCAGGTAATGATGGGCCTTGACAGCGCTTGCTGGACCACAATACCAGGCCTACCCTACCTTCTCTCTCATTCCCTCGACTCTCTCCTTCAGCTTGGGGACGACGTGGTTGGGTGGCAGTCCCTTTTCAAGCTGATGGACAGACTTGGCATAGCGGGCGACTGTTGCAGACAATTCTTCAGGGTCCAGACTGTCGAATTCACACTGAGAAAAGGAGAAAACTCGTCAAAAGCATTGAAAGAGTCTTCTAACACTACTTTTTTTATCAGACACATTTGTGCGGAAAGCTTCAAAACTTCATAAAACTCTTTCACTGCAACATGTTTGGTGTTGTTGTCGAGACCACTTAAGACCTTCAAAAGACCACACAAGACCAACACAAGACCAACACAAGACCAACACAAGACCAACCCAAGACCTCCAGTCTGAATTCAAGCCACAATCTATACAAATGAACTGCAACAAAAGCATTCCTTTGTCATTGTTCACCCCGTTACTTGTGACTGGTCTTGTGCATGGTCTTGTGTCTGGTATTGTGCATGGGCTTGTGTCTGGGCTTGTGTCTGGTCTTGTGATGGTCTCGACTACAACACTGAACATCTTCCAGTTAGTTGAGACTGGTCCGTGACAACCGCAGTGTGAACAAATCTTGATGTCCAAACTACATGATCAACCACATCTGGAAATCAGCTTTTAATATTTGTCCTTGTGCAAGAGATATTTTGTGCCCTCTAAGAGCAGCCACATGTATATGATTGTGGATAAAGTGGTCTTTGTAAAGAAAGTAAACCGTGACGTCAGACGACTACAACACGTCACTAGTTCAGAATCATTGGCTCAAACCCAGAGTTGCCTTTGGTGTTCGTGGCATCTCGTAGAATCTCTAACCAACCTCGGTCCACTGCGCGGCGATTTGGTCCCATTCCTCCAGCGACTGCCACAGTAGCTGCTTCAACTTCAGCTCAGCGTGCGTCTCCTCCAACTCCTCGTACTTGAAGACTTCCACCTAAACAAATTCACAACAGTCGCATAAAATGGGAGCTGCTCATTGTCAATATCTTACACTCTCTGTAGACAGTGGTCCTACGCCGGGGCAGTCTCACAGAAAAAGGAGATTCCGAACCAAAAAATGAAAAAATGCAAGCACCTAGCATGATGCTGTCATGGTGCGAGGTCCAAGACTTGGTTAAATGGAAGTGGTAAACAGCCTATTGTGATAGTTGCATTTGCAAGTCAAACATTTGATAAACTTTTAAATTAATCTGAAGCTGTTTATCATCTCCTGCCACTAGCAAGCTAACTTAGTTTCAAACTAAGCTTAATGGTAATGTTAAACTTCAATTACTAATTCCAATAAGCGACTTTGTGTTTTTTTCCTAAACAGGGCATTACTGCAATTGTTGCATATTCCTATCCACTATCACCTGGTGAGCAGTTTTCAGCCGGGCTCATGCACGTACTCCACATGCACGCAAAGACCGTAGATTCAAACAGAAGTTAGACCCGTGTGCTCAGCACATCCCCCTTCAAGACGCATGAACTTCAGTGACTTCCCACCAAAGGGACCGCTGTTGCTATTGTGAAAACTTGTCCTCTTGTTCCCGCTCGGACTGAATACACTGTGCGCACTATCGACTTAGACAAGAACTTTAAAACTGGCTGCAGATGTTTTTACCTTGAAGTTCTTCTGATAGGACTTGTAAAGGAAGGCCGTCTTCTGCAGCTGCTCCAGTCTACCACCCAACTTGTTGAGGAGAGCCGTGACCTTGAGCTGATCGGCGTTGACATCGAGGATCATTGGGTTCTGGCAGAGAAAAGACAAACAAATCACGAGTTGACCAGTCTTCGAAGAGCCACTGCAATATGCCGTAATGTTAGCACGGTACAAGTGTTGGCTGGGTAAGGTCAGAAATGATTGTGCCCATGCAGTGAAGGTTTCCAATTCCAGTTGTTGATCTACGCTACAGCAGAAACGAATGCTCACGCTTGTTTCATGGTATATGCATGCCAGAAGCTGAACCCAAATGAAGATCTTTATTATCGCATCACTGATTTAGGTGAATTTTTCTTCTGGGGTTGAGCTTTCTTTCACTGAACTTTACTGCTTAACAGTCTCTGTGATATAGACCAAGGCTCTGTGGGCACAAACATCGTGTGTTTAAGCAGTGAAGTGAAATGGGGCCTGCTTATTCATACTATTGTTGGCCCAAGTACAAATGCTAAACAAGGCCACTTATACTGACATCACTGTTTAAAGCTTACCTGTGATTCCTGCTTGATACTCTTGACGTCCTTGTTCAGCTCGGCGATGTCCTTGTCCAGATGGTTGCAGAACTTGTCCACGTTGGCGTCCCGCTCTCCCACCGCCTTGTCAATGGCGTTGCGGACGGCGATGACCGAGGGGGACAGGGTCTGGTAGACGGCAAAGTCCTCGGGCGGAGTGGGGACGTGGTACTGGTCCACCAGGTCGTACATGTCCTTGATGACCAGCGCTTCTGCCTCCAGGGGATCAATCTGGGAGGGAGAAACAATTGATTGGATTCAGTTGGGTACAAATCTGATAGCGGTATTGCCTTCAAGTCCACAATATGTCCATGAACGTATTCATTTGGCGCGACCTCCTACAGTACATGTTCAAATTCAGTGTAAAATCAAATGGACTATGGTCAAATCACAAACATCTAAGAGGGTACCTCCGGCATCCGACAAAAAGGCCCACATCTGCCCACAGAGCGCAGCCTGAGATTGTATGTGTTGATTGATGTGGAGGGAGGACAACCAGGGAACCTAAAAAAACCCTCATGGAACCGGAGTGAGCTAACAGCTCTGCTCACATATGACAAAGCCCAAAAATCGAACCAAGGACCAAGGTCACGAAAGGTGAGCATTTTACACACAAAGCCACAGTCAACTGCTACAGACTCAGACTTCTTACTGGTTACTCTCAGTCATATACTAGAAATGCTTACATGTTTCTTTCGAACCAATCCAGTGATAATTACATGATATTTGACCTCGTGCAAAAACACTTTCTGTGGCTTTGGCAAAAGAGTAACCGTTGTGGGTGACTTCAAGCTATCACATCACACTGGCGTGGACCACAGGGACAGGCGGCCAACTCACCCTTTCCTGTATCTCATCCAGGAAGGTCAGGGCCTCCACAAACTCTTTGGTGGTGCTGGGAATAATCTCCAGCTTGTACTGAGCATCTTGGGCCTCCGCGATCAGCTTATCCACGCGTCGCTTGGCCAGTTTAGGCAGCATATCATGGATGACCTAAAAGAGATGGTCCACAATAAATTGGGTGTTATAAAATCAGGTTGCTCTTCACACTGAGGTTTCAAAAAAAAGGACTGAAAATAAGTGGGAAATTCTTGATGATCTGTGCCAAATTTTACTAAGCTGCGCAAGACAGTAATTTTTTGGGTAAAGACAAATTTTGTCTGGTGAAAACAGAACACAGATTTGCTCATAGTAACTGAGCTTTAAGCTTTAAGTTCCTTCGAGAATATTTTAAATTGTATGGACAGTTTTTATAGTTACTGGTACTCACATCGAGACATCTCAGCGGTGACGGGATGAGTTTGTTCCTCATCTTCACAGCGTCTACCATCAACATCCCGATGGAGCGCCTCAGGGCAATTGCCTCGGCACCAGCGTGCTGTCTGTTGTACCTCTCCAAGGCCTCAGAAAAGAACTCCACATCTGACAACACAAGACAAAGAAATAGAACAAACAATACTGACAGACGTGGGATTTGAGGCCACACTGGTACTCGACAATCCTTCAACTTGTCAAAAACTTACAAGGTGTCTTTGCAAAGAGGAAAGGGATTATCTTTGGAAAAATACACATATCAGTTCCTCAAGGCCATCAAAAACTGTTTAAAACCCTTTTGGGATTTTCGCAACATGAGTCATTAAACTCACACAAGTAAGAAGCAAAAAACATACACACAATTTGCTGGGGTGGTTTTGACAAACAGGAGGTGAATCACTGAACTTTATAAACAGCTTTGCAATGACTGATCTCCAACTGTCCGCTACTGTTTATAAAGTAAACGACTATCAACATGTGACCTAAAGGCCCCTACAGCACTAAAAGGCTCATTCTCTCAATGTAAATGCCAATATACAGCTTAGATACGAAAAATATGCTCAGGAACACATGAGCCCAAATGTGTGTAAACTGGACGGCAGAGATTGTACTGAATTTAATAGTTCTGCTTACCATGTTCCAGCTCTCTCATGGCTTCCACATCCAAGCTCTCGTTCTCACGGTAGAATTCTCGGAATGGCTCAAATGTGTCTCCGTACTGGCTGGCTGCTTCAAATGCTTTAGTGATGCAATCCTGTCAAATAAGTAAAAGTAACTCTCTAAATTGTGAAAATATGATTCGTTGCTCAGGTCACATGATGGCATTACAAGTTGCAATGCTGATTAAATTACTTGCAGAATCATTTGACCTTTCACTGCTTACAGTCTGTCTTTGCGAGATATGCCAATTGTGCTATGCATCTCCATTGTGATAATGTGTCATGCTTAGTGACACAAATATGGACTCAAGCCAGCAGAGGGATGATCACTGTTCTGTCTTCTAGGAAAAAACTGTTTTCCCACATTTGCTAAACGTAGATGGAAAAATATTAAGACTTTCAGGTTAAAAGTTGGTTACTGAGTATAGTTAATTTGAGAAGTTGCTTCAGATGCCCACGCTCAAAAAAGCACTTTGATGCTCCATGAAAAACTTACAACTACAACTTGTAAAAAAGGAAACAAAACTTCTCAGGCAAAAAAATGGGTTTTTCCTCTTTTTCTATTTCCATGTTTGAAAACCAACTTAAGACAAAATTCGTTTACAAAAATGTGTTGGCAGTTAAATTTTATCTTCTGCCCAGCAAAAAAGCAACACTACGAGTCATATGTGTGTGTTGTGAATTTTGCGGAAAAAAAATTACCAAATATCCTCTTGCCAATTAGAAATGCCAACGTACGAGCATTGATGAGACATTGAACAGCCACAACAAGAACCTCCTCAGGCTGGTGCCATTCTTTTTTTTCAAGCAAGCTGATTTTGATCAGTGTTGGAGGGGTTCATGATGCATGAGGGTATAGATAAGCCGTCCTTTTCAACATACATGCTTATCAAAAATTACCAAAGACAACACTAATGGCATTAAACCACGAACAAACAAATTCTAATCTACTTAATATCTATGGGGATACACCAACTCTTTCCAAATCCAGCTGCGGTCAAGTTAAAGAGGAGACTGCTAGATTAAAGTGGTGGTAAATCAAGGTTTACCTCGAGGTTTGGGTTTACCAGGGCATGTACTAGGTAAAACCAAAGATTGTTTAACTTCCAAAATAGTTCTCTAATGGTTTTGCAAACAACAGGATTGTGAGATGAGATTAGAGAAAAATTTTAGTGCATGGTTTATACATTCCTGTCCATGCTGATGAGCACAAGATAATGCTTGCACACTTTGGCACTGCACAATTCTACAGTATGAAATCTGCTTAGTAAGAAATATTCTGATGCAAATATGTGCTTAATAACCATACTGATCCTTTAAGTTTGGACAATGCCCTTTAAAGCACACACATTGTAGTAACAGCAAAAGTGACTAAAGTAAACAATACAAGTTTGAGTCTGCTGTGAACTTGTTGTGGAAAAACAGGATCTACCCTTGAACCTAAGTCCCTGCAGGAACTGTACATGGTGGCGAATGGTCTGCTCACAGGAACCAATGAAGGAGACTTTGCATGCACTTGATTGGCGCAATGGGAATGACAGGTGACCAATTTTCATCAGAATGTGTACAACTGGTAAAATCTTTATGCGAGAGTGGGAGGAGTATAAAACGAATATCCTTCAAAAGCAAGAATGCGCTTTTACCATTGACTGAGGCATAGAGTCAACATTTCTTCGGTCTGTACCCACTCATTATATCCAACTTTGCAGCTAAAACTTTATCAGTAATTCCTTGGCAACTTCCATTTGAAAAAAGGGATCAACACCAACAAAAATAATGCACGACTGACCCTGAGGCTCTGTATGACACCGTGCAGATGCTTGTCATCTTCAAACATGGCGGTGAGACTCGGACCGTCTCCGGCAGTCTTCTCTTCAAACTTGCCGTTGATGATCGGTCTGAGTAAGCAAACAAAGAACATACACGAAGTGCCTGCTAATGAGACTCGCTGATGGGCCAGTTGTAATGGGATTGACCTATTCAAGTTGATTATCTGATAAAGTGGGAAGTGATACTAGATCTTGCTTTGTTATGAGACGCTTTGGTACATGGAACATGAACATAATGCTTTGCTGTTTGACACAGGTATGAAAACTCCAGGTGTTTTTTTTTTAAACAAGCTTAGAAAAATCTCCAATGTGCTTGGGTAAAACCAACTGTTTGATTTCACTGCAATTTTCTCTTAAAATGCAAACATCCGCATTAAAAATATGAGCATACTCAGACTAAAGTACAGACTAAAATAATGCTCTGAAACAAACTTCATGGTTCGAATTGTTTTCAGGCTTGAACTCATTTTAACAAAATCAAATGGGCCATTTTCACAATGCAAAGCCAGAAATGTACAATTAAGACTGTCCCACCTTCTGTAACTTTATAATTTGTTTTTTTAGATTTGTTTAAAAAAAGAAAGGTCATTCAGTTTATCAACAGGTATGATGAATTTTAAGACATCATCTTTTAAGGTAAACTTGATCTAAGTGATTGTCCAACTGTGCACAGAGACACTGATTAAATAGCACCAATGCTCCTACCTTGTGAAAGCATCAAAGTAGTTGTCAGGGACCAAGTTAACCACACCCAGGACGCAGTTCTGGAACTCGGTGATGACCTCGGCTATGCCGTCCTGGTACTCGTCCAGGTCCGGCGAGAAGAGGATCTGGTTGGGCTCCAGGACAAATTCTGTCAGGAAGAGAGGGGTCAGGGAGTGGTCTACGGCATCGTCCTGGAAACCCACGGTGTTGGTGCCGGCCAGTGACGCAGCAGCCAGGGTAGTGGTCCCCTGCTCGCAGGAACGAGAAACAGATTGAAGACCGTAAGTTTCACGGAGCTGAGAAAAGCACTCAGCAAGTTTACTGGCTAAGCCGACGTCGGTGCAGAGAACCGCTTACAAGCAGCTAATACATCACCTGACTTTTGGCTGGTGAACTATTTTTGCTATTAGCAAATGTTTCATGCGTTCAGGAAGTTTCTCTACTTAAGAGCTCCACAAAATTGGCCACTTGGAACCAAATTTGGAGCCAACGTCCTGGGCCCTCCCTGGCATTGCTCCTTCTCCTACCTTGTCTTCAGTCTCTTCTGTCTTCTCCTCCTTGCCTTGTATCTGGGCCAGAGAGGGCGTGTTCTGCAGTTGCTCCTTCAAGTAGTTCAGCAAGGTGGTGACCGAGTTGACGGCCAGCACGTGCATGGTGTTCACTATCAGGTAGTCTGCTAATCGGATGAAACTACAAGAAAACAGGCCGCAGTTAAAACTGATAAGTCATGAGCACAAATCCTAAATGGTCTTCCCAAGCAATTGTCATTATTATTATTAAGGATTTCTGGTTATGAAACAAGGATTTTTCAAAGCATCCCATGTACTGTAGCCCGTAAGTCGGAAGAAACCGTGAAGAGGTGACAATGAGAAACACTTACAATTTAAGCGTTGGGAGGAAAACCCCAGAGGACTATGCTGGTTAAAAAAACCTATGAAATCAGGCAGGGACTGAAAACCCAACCCACACGTTGACCAAGCCAGGAATTGAACAAGGGCTACAGAGGTGAAAGATGAGGAAAGAACCACTACACCAAACTGACTCCCCATTGTGATAAGGTTGCTGAGGAGTATAGCTTTATCTGTCTTTCTTGTGATCTGTAATTTTTATCCAAGTATTATTAACCAGAGAGTAACCAGAGCTGAGTTCATCGAGTTGATTAACCGAGTCTTCAATTACCCCGACCCCGAACCTACCATGTCAGGCGTCTGCAGTGACTGCGCTTGTTGGCCTGCTCCGTGTAGGTCATCTTGTCCGGCGCATCTCCGTAGATGTCCATGTCGAAGTTGCTCTGCATCAGGTAGCTGGAGGCTGCAGTGCCTGGTGGACCTCCCTCCTCTGGGAAACACAACCAAAAATAGTCAGACAATTGTGAGCTGACTATTTGTGCAGCCTTTCGCTTCTCAGTTTCCTTCATTGCTATGGCGACGTAACAACGGAAAACTCCATGTCTGCACAAGTTTTGGCAGAAGACTGGCGCAGTTCTGCTGAGGTGATAAACACCTGTCTCAAGAGAACTCTTGAGGTTCAGTGAGAGACCGATTCACAGAAATTGCCAGTCACCATAATTTTTTTCGAGAAAACACTGCTTGGATGTTCAGAAAAACTACATGGAAAATTGTCATTTAAAGTAGCCAATTGTCATAGATAAATTGTGAGACAATCAAAGCTTGTCCCTTGCCAGATAAATATGAATGTACGAGAATGCCAATGATATCAGAAAGTCTGTTTGTTTGTCTCTCTTTTCATCATTTCGTACCTCCTCCAGGGCTTTCTGCATCCAGGAAGTAGTCATCAGGGGTGAAGCCGGCTTCCAGCAGGGCCGTGCGACAGGCACTACGGACCACTTCCTTCACCAGCTCACGGAATTCAGCCAGCCTGCCAGCAACCTGCAGCAAACAACATTTATACCAGTGTCCTCAATGCAGGAGTCCGTCACTCCATAAAAAGCAGGATTCCAAAAAAAAATCAGCATGGCTGAAGATTGAGACTTTGAGAAAAAATTGGCATCTGAGTACCAATGAGGTCTCTGAACTTTTTGAAAGTTTTTGCTTTGGTTGAAACAACTGGAGTTTGAACTGAAACTTAAAGAGATTAAAACATCAAACTCTGGATAATATTCTAAGACTATGTAGTTTGAGTGTTTATATCACGAAGAAGTTTTATTATTTGGTATTGTAACAGTAATTAGAATTGGGCTAAAATTTTCTGAAAACTGCAACTAGAGCACAGTAAAGCAATATTAAACAATTGGTTTAACCCTTACCCCCGCGGGTGTATGGAAAATCATATTGAAATCGGAGGATTTGCGACTGTTAGGATTAACATACTGACTCTCCTAGGCATAACAAATACATTGGGAACAATATTGTAAGTTTCCCAAGTGATCTTCTGTGGCAAGCATCTTAGTTCTTACCTCATTCAGCTGTGCAAACTGTGCCACGCTGAAGTCCGCCAGCGTGTACGTACGTCCTTTCTCAACCTTACACAGACCCATGTCACTGATGCGGTAGCACATCTCGCGCACATTCAGAAGGGCCGGCCGCAGAGACTGTGAAAAAAACCCACAGAGACAGAGGGACGAGATGTTACCAACCAATCATTTCCCCAAACCTGGTTCAAAAAGACAGCCATGTAGAAAGAACACAACGATAAAGCACTACAGGTTACATGACAAGTAAAAACACTTTGGAGGATTTGGAAATTTTCAAAGTTTTGTTCAAAATCAATTACCACAAAGCTGTCATCTTGAATAAATTTCCATTTCATATCTGAAATCTTCACATGTAAAATATCAAGGATGTTGAAGAATCCAATGATAACATTTCTTAATTAAACATTCTGTAAAACCAACCGTTAATTAAACATTCCATGAAACAAACCATAGAGTTGCAAAATAACCCCAACAAAATATCTGTTTGGTTTAATAGAGCTGAAACACACCTGGACAGCTTTTGTATTATTAGTAAATCACTGACCTTAATTTCATATTTGAAAACAAAGCTACAAAGAAAAAATGCATCAAGCAATGTTTCACTGACCCTTTAGCAAAAATGACTAAATTGAAAAAACAGCTATAAACATGGCACAGGCGGCAATCAGCTATTTTGGGCCCTCTCCTTAGTGAATGAAGAGGGCAGGGCTAGTGATCTGTGGGTAGGAAGAGGGTTGACCAACACGAGCCAGTCACCACTCACCGGGTTGACGATAAACAGGTTCTCCTGCAGCTGCTTCTTGCAGCTGGCGACCTTGCGCGAGGAGACGTTCTTGCGCCAGGTGGTGAAGGCCTTCCACTTACGGAAGAGGGCAAAGGTCGGGATCCGGACCAGCCGCGTGTAATACCGGTACTCCTGCTCCCACCGGTCAAGGTCAGTGAAGACCGTCTCGTTGGGCTGCATGTGAGTCACCCCCTTGCGACTGATGGTGTAGTAGTCACTGTGGCTGATGCCGTTGTGGTTGACGATTCTGTGTAGACATTCCAACAAACATGCGTAATCTATGCTTTCATATTTGATGAATTGCCTTCCATTCTCAGCTGGATATTTGATATACATATACATGTATTTATACATATTGGTATAGTGAATGTAGGAGTTTAATTAGAAAGATGACATTTTTTATTTTTTTACACAGGATTTAGTTGAATTTTGATGTAAAGATATTCATTTTTATGTTTAGAGCCTGAATGCTTGATACTGGGTATTTACAAACGTTTGCTGAGCGATTTTTGACTTTCAGTTTAAGATTTGATATTCCAGATTCAAGTAAGACTTGTTAAGAATGTATCTAGTCTGCAGGTTTATATTTCCACGTCTCTACACAAGCATGAATGCTTTCAAAGTCTCACGTATCGTGTATGATTTCACAGAGTAGCAAATCTTAATAACTCAAAACCAAAGATTTGAGGAAATCATCTGAAATTAATTACTTTTTAAATTCTTTGTTTTGTCTGTTATCTGCAGAAAATGGAGGATTGTTCAATTTACACAAGTCAGCAGGCATGCTTGTGACAAGATCCAATGTTTACTGCTTAACTAACTAGTAATTACAAATGTTTTCCAACACCTCAGTAAAAGTGGTTCCTATACTAAGATTTTAAAATACATGTATATTCCCAAGTATGCCTTTGAAGTTTTCCGTACCATGCTGTGGTGTTCCAGTAAATTTTGCTTCCCCTTTTGCATTTATCTGAGCTCTCCATAAGTAAGAACGTGACTCCTTATACTTGCTATCAATGGCCTAGTTACCAGCTAAGGGGTCACATCACAAGAGTAATAAATAATCTGATGCTTATGGTTTAGGCAGATGGGGGGAGGGGCAGCTACTCGAAGGGGTTGGGGGTCCTTTGGCAATGGGCTTGGTAGTCTTGCTACAAAAGTTATATAAAAGCACAGATGTTGAAGAACGGCTCTTATTTTAGTTCAATGACAATATGATGTTCAGGGGAGGTGTGTGCTATGAGGTCATAGTCTCTGGTCACATTCAGTGTGGGACAGATTTGGTCAAGTTTTGGCTCAGGTCTCTGATTGAGATAAGTCTGACCAAATAGTTTGGAGCATCCTAAGGGCCTGATGATATCTGCCTATCATTCCCATGACCAATGCTACCAAGCATAGCTTTCAGTATCAAGTTAGGCACCATGGGATGGAACTAGTAATCTGTATGAGGTATCTTATATTTATGTTTTTGGATGTTTTAAACTAAATTGTCTTCAATCCCACTGACAGAATCTAGGCCAACTTGTTAAAGTCACTGACAGAACATGTAAAACTGATTATAACAAAATTAAAGTTTGTGCTAAAATATTCTATTGTTTCAAATGAATTCCTTAGTAAAAACAAAAAAAAGATGCATTCCAACGGGGGCACTTATTTCCTGTTTATGATCATTTGATTTCTTTTCGTGACTTACTTCAGATTGTATGGGTGATACAGCACAGAGGCCTTGGGCACTGCAGGGGACATGTACAGGAATCCTAGCTTGGGTCTCTCCCTAACATTGCGGATGATCTCGCTGATGTCCCGCAGCCCTTCCAACTCCTCCGGGCCCTGTAAGACTGGGAGGTTGACCGTGGTGGCCCGGGCATGCCCCTGCCGGGGGCTGGCTGGCTTGGGCTCCTTGGGTGGGGTCGGGGATCGGAGGGGTCCTCCGGCAAAAGAACTCTGCGGTTAGAGGAAATTATGACGCTCACCATCTGTGCAATACCACAGTCCTTGCATGATTGCCAGGAAAAGACCTGAAACCTCCTGAGCTAGCTCTTGCTCATAGTCCATTTCTACCCCATGACTGTTATGAAATTCTCATCCATGGAAACTATAGAAATGGTCCCACTGACGGGCAGAGTTTGGACTCAGCAAATAAATGAATTCAAAGCTCTATTTACTGTCCAATTACATATCATTCATCATGTCTACATATATATATATAAACATCAATCAGAACAACCCCACAAAAGATACCTTGTCAGATCACACTTTGGTTCAAATGTCTATTTAAAAGACAAATGTTCCATTAAAGCCATTTGAATGGAACTGTATTGTGTGTGCAGCTATGCAGAGCAGTTAGAAGTAACTGACCAATTTTTTTCGCAAACAAGAAAACTGGTGCAGCATTCTGCAGGTTGCAACTTCTCATTTCTTGTCAATTTTTTCGCTTAGTCTCTTTTCCTAAAAAAAGCTTGAGTGTTGGATAACACAAGAAAATCCACACCCAAGTTTGATATCAGTACCTGTTTCTGCTTGAGTTCATCCGGAAGCTCCGGTAGGGGCGTGGCGCTGGGGGGTCTCTCCAGTGGTTCCACAGACCCAGGCCGTCGGGGCTTCTTTTCATCCGGCTCCCCCAGGGATTTACTCACAACCAGCCCCCTGGCTGCCTGTTCCTCGGCAGCTTTTCGCCGGATATACTCAGGCTGGTTGCATTCCTGGAACCTGGCTAGGCCAGGCTGCAATGGAATGGGGGGTTAAGATTAAAATTTGCTCTGACAATTCTTTGACCAAAAGCTTATTGGGCACAGATCTTTTTATAAAAGTACGGTATTTCTTTATGATTTTGCTAACTTTTCTTCATATTGGATTGTTCCCATTCAGGAATTAAAATTCTGATCTATCTGCGCTACATGTATATAAGGACTATCATTTTATTATAATTGTGTACATAAAACAAGTTTACCCAGTGATCTTAACAACCCCCGTTCATTTTTGTTATGAAACAAAATCATCAAAATCTTTTCCTAAAAATTGGACTACAAAAAAACTTACCAGTGGTTCCAACTTGGTAGCTGTGGGTTTTGACCTTGTAATTTTCTGCGCTGGAGTTATCCGCTTGAACTTAAGAGCCTTGGTGTTTTCCGGGACCTGTTTTGGAGCGTAGGAGTACAGCCGGCTCTTGAGCTGCTCCTGGTCGACTCCCGGAAGCCCAAAGGAATGGCCATTCATGCTGCCATTCAGGCTTGCATTGGCACTGTGCTGGTGGGCAGCTGTGCTGTTCATTTGCTGTGACATGGCTTCTTGCACTTGGACGGATCTAAAAAAAGAATACACAATATGTTATACATGTAATTGTACTCGGAAGCAGGCCAACTCTTGCCTTGGACAACTCATTCCTTCTCAATAATGTTACACCAACTCGTACCTTGACCAAGTCGTACCCTCAATTAAGACAACTTGTGATGCTATGCTCAAGTCAACTTATACCATCATTATACAAATTTGTGTACATAAAGTGCCATTTCATATAGGGATCCCAATTACTATAAGGATTTCCACCCTGAAAAAACTGTTTAAAAACCATGATGTCTGTTTTAATCTTTAGCATAAAAAGTTGAAAAGGGACACATGGAAGAAAACAGAAAGTTTTTAAACATATTTTTGTGTTTGTACATCATCCCTTGCCCTAGAGATAGAAAGCAAAATGAACTTTGAAGGACAGATCATTGATAAAGAAAAAAAACTTTTCTTAAAAACTCTTGAATGGAAAAACATGTATTCAAATGTATCTTCAAAATATACATTTTGGCAGAAGAGTTTCCCTGCATATTTTCGTAAACCCACAAATACGTATAATCAGAAAAAGGGACCATCTAACATGCATGAGTTTCAGAGATCAATGATTCTTATATCCACTAGATCCAGAAATCAGACACCTGGGAAGAACAAACAGGAGACAATGTTTAAAACAGTAACTTCATTGTTGGGAGATGTCAGATCAAAGAAGTTAAATACGAAAATACATGTGACATAAAAATGAATTTCAATAGCACTCTTGTTGTGGAAGGTAGGTACAAGTTGTCTACACTGAAGGGACAAGTTGTCTAATATGTATGAGAGTTATCTGGGGTACGAGCTGGCCAAGGTACATGTATGAGCTGGCCGAAGTATTCTCATGGTCGGACATCTGGAAATTCTGTTCATTATTGAATACCACAAATGGTAAATTTTCCCCTTTGCTTCATGTTAAAGGCCCGTATAGTGACGTTATGTCAACTACAAGAATAAGTTGGCCAAGGTACATGTATGAGTTGACTCAAAAGCTTCGCCAATAAATTAACTTTCAGATTACGTAAACAAGTAAACACAGTAAAGAGAAGTGCTCCCTTATATTACATCAGCACTGTGTGGTGCAATCAAAATGTTAGGATTGACCTAATACTAATAGGCTACATCATTACATGTACTGTACAAGGGGAAAAATACAATCAGACATGTCAAACTGTTCTTCCACAGTTCATACACACACACAGTACGCCATAGGGATTTGGACAGTTTATACTCGAAAGAAACATAAATTTTAAACATTAATTATGAGTAGGCCCTGACAGTACCACACAAAAGTTAAAATCAAAAGAACTTAGGCCTAGGCCTATAAAAAAATGCATCCTCAAACATGTCAAGGATAGGGCCTAGGCCTACATCATACATGTATATCAATATCCTGCATATTCTGACCAAATCTTGTATTTTTTTATAATTTCAGAAAACGCCTACTTCTTAGAAAAAAATGACAAATCCTACGCAATTCAACATCATGGTCGACTCCTTTCATTTGTCAAGCCACCCCGTCATACCTGTGTACCAAACGAATAGACCATAGATGCGCACGCTTCACCGTTGACGTTGGTCATGTTGCATGTTGGTTAATGACAAACAGCGGAGCACGAAAGCGTAACACACAACTTCGTCAATTCCCTACAGCTGTAAAATAATTCCTTCCCTAATTTATCACTACATAAAGAGTAGCACTTACTTTTGATGTTTAAATGGGTTTTTTATGGATTAGTCGTTACATATTTAAACACTTTTAGCTGACAACTGGAATACGACATTCTTCCGATGGCCGCCATGTTGATTTACCCCTGGAGCTCCCAGGCAACGGAGCTTCGTTGGTAACCATCATCGGTTTGCAATACTTGCAGTAGTCTCTGAAAGAGTTTCGCTGATACCCATGGTGGATCACATATACATTATGACCACTTGTTGACTTCAGGCTGCGCCTGGGTTTACTCACTGCTGCTCAGAGAAATACGAAGGGCTGCGTAGCACCGTGATCAGAATATCGACAAGAATATAATATCAAATCAGTGCTCTGAATATGTGATTACCACAATATGCTCTGAAATATGAGCGTAACACAGCTTCGTCAATTCCCCACAGCTGTAAAATAATTCCTTATCTAATTTATCACTACATAAAGATCGAGTAGCACTTATGCAATGTGCTCTGAAATATGTAATGGGCAATCACATATTTCAGAGCACTGATTTGATATATATTTCTAGCCATAGCCATAAATTTCGTGCGCAATCATAAAGAATTCATTCAAAAGCGAACAGGATTGACAGTTGAAAATTGCAGTGTTGTTTTTTGAACCGGATGTCAAAGAAGCGACCAAATTATTATTGATCAGTTATACACTGGAATCTTTGAGCATATTTTAGGGTCGATCACAGCTTAAAAAGAACATACATGCGGTCTTTGTAATAGAAAATATTTATCAAGAATGAAAACATGTATCCAATCCTCCAATTTAAAATAGAGTTTCTGGTGGGGGCCACAACTATTTGAGCCCCCCTCAAAAATCTGTCTCACGGTGAAAGACTCCAGTTTCAAAACTGATTCGTTCCTTTATCATCGACTGGGACTTACTCCTCCTATTTTGTTTATTATTACTGTAAAATTGAGTTTAAACTTTACATGTATTAGCGACGAAAATTATTGAAGTTGTGTTTTGAAAAGTAATTTAGGCGTCGTCAGCGTCTGTGATTTAAACGATAATGCCACCGGGTTGAGGTTATGCGAAGAACTGTAATGCTTATGTGCTTATTTTGTAGCCAGTCAAACTGGAATATGAATAATTTCCCATCCATTCCTTGAAACGCTGATTTATGAATGGCGTCTGTTCATTGCCATGGAAACATTAAGAGAGAGAAAAAAAAATCGAAAACTTTAGCGTCCTCGTAACAAGCACACTCACACACACACATACACAAAATGAAAGAAGACCCATTTTTAACCACTGCATCAGTCAAATCCTACTGAGAGAGACAATGTGGGCTATTTGGACATGCGGTTATATTTAAGGAGCGGTGGTTATTCATGATCTTCACACATGATGGCACGGGGGCTCTACTTTTTGTCTGCACTGGTGTAACACCCTGTTGATCACTATGGAAGCGTTTAACATAAACAGGCAGTAATAAGCATGCCTAAACGCAGGCCAACCCAAATGAAAAGGATCAGGTCACACCCCCCCCCAAGGAAAAAAAAAGTTCGACACTGAGGACTCATGAATGCGAAACCACACACCAACATTACTGGATGTGGACACGTGCAATGTGGTTTTAGTGCAGCTCTTGTAAATGCTCCCTTTTGCTCCATTAATCCAGATTGTCAATTTTTGTTGTGCCATTTTGTGGGTATTGATGCCTTTAAAAGATTTTTAGCTAGTGCATTTGCATCTCGTGATGTCACCCGAGGTATTTTGCCGAAGTTTTATTTTGTTTTTTTTGCCGATTGTAAAATCGGTGATTAATTGTCGTTTCGGCTCTTGACAATAGGCTGGTAACCAATATATTCTCACAGATATTTTCAGAGAGCAATTTTTGGAATTGCATATTGAACCATTTGTCTTCCTAGAATGACATCACAGCAACAGGCCTTCATTTTGTCATTGGCAAGAAAAGTGTGGAAGTTCACATAGGCCTAGGGCCTACATGTGCACTTTTAAAAAAGTGGAATTTTATCGAGATTAACCAAAGAGAGAAATCATATTGTTTTCTGATATTAAGAGCAGAAGTAAATTCCCAAATGAACTCTTTAATAAAAAAACTATACAATACACAGCACATCTAGCCCGTTATATTCGGCTTGCCAATGGCATACGCGAGGTTGGCCTCGGTTTGCTTAGGCTGCGACGGCCTGCATCATTAGTGATCTCCGCATGCGTAGCGCATGTCTCATTATTATCCAACTCTCCTGAGCGGGACCGCAGCGCAGACAAGCACATTGGGTTAATACAGGAAAGAGGGGGAAAGATTCTTAACAATAAACTGACTCATCATAGGGAGGCCACCACCGGCGCGGAGTGCACCGCATCATCAGGGAAAAAAAGACGGACATCGCCGAGGAAGAAAGCCTCACACAAGACTGGAGATTTGCCGACCATTTTCCGTCTGCTCGGAACAAAATCTTGAATTCGTTTGTTCAGCGTATTGCACTGACGGCAAGAGATTTCTTTCCCTTCAGACTCTACCTTGTGTCGATGTCACCGGTATCTCCTCAGCCACCATGCCTCGTGCAGTGTCTCGGAAACACACCGCTGTTGTGTATTCGCCATCTTCTTATGTCAAACAGAAAAGTAAGCCTCATTTCGGGTCCGTTCCGTCATAGTCATTTTTCCGCTCATGATTAAGTTTCGTGACATTCGAATCGTTACGATTTATTCTTAATGTCCCATTCACCATGTTGTTGCTAGGTAGTTGAAATCTGTGCAGGCGTATATAATAGCTTTCCCACGTATTCATGCTGTACAAAATAAGTAATGAGGGACTGACAGCAATTCTGCTAATAAACCTGCGTTAGATTTACCTTGTATATAAATTTATGCTTGGGTGTAATGTATTGCATAGATTTACATCCGCCTTAGTTTGCCTGTTAAGTTTTTGAATAGACGTGGAATTAAATACATGTATGGAATAATAAAACAGACATCGCGCCTCGTGGAATTTTAATTACAGTAGCAGTTATTATCTGCACAAGAACATTTTACCTTTAATGGCATATCATTCGAGCATCTGATTTTGAAAACAATGATTCCTAATAGTTCGTGACAATGAAGGTTTTCTTACAAAATATATTTTCTAATATCACGCGAAAAAATGTAGGATGAATATTGGACTTCAACCATTACGAACATGCCTAAAATTTCGAATGGAATTGAAGTCTTGCGCAGGGGAGAAACAAAAGGTGTTTCCTACGCGCACGATGAAGATTCATTGCTGTGGCCGCTCAGAGATTAGTGGTAATGATATTTTCTGTCCTAGAGGAGATATTGAAGATATCGATGTGTGTCTCGTACGATGTAGAATGATGTGTCTCTTTAAAGGATATTACATAACGGAAGCGAGAACTAACAACAAAAGTATAGTAATATTCAGTTCGTAAATCGACACATTGGTGCCGACACTTCGATATTACTCTTCCATATCGGACTATTCATGCTCTGTTTTTGTGGGTTTTTTCTTTCATTTTCCAAGCCTTGGCGCTGTACACCTTACCTGAGAATTTGTAAAATGCAAAACCAATGTTTTAAAATAACTTTTAAACATTAAAGACTGATCTGGAGATCGTCGGGGGAAACACAGATTCACTGACTTCGCACTAAAACGCAAGACGACGGGGAACGCATGCGTGCATAAAATAATATTTCAGAAATGCACCCCTGCATACAGTGACGCACCTGTAGGGACGCAGGACCCGGGCTGCCCACCAGGCGCGGTTCCGTGGGGGGGGGGTTGCCCCCCCTTAAAATGGAAAAAAAAACAAAAACAAAACAGTAGCACAAGTCAAAAGGTGACGTCGTCATGTGTGAAGTGTCTAACCCCTTCACCCGCCCCCCGCAAAAAAGGCTCTAGAACCGCTCCTGCCGCCGACATTGGAACTTGACTACATTTTGTCACCTTTAAAAGGTCGAATATCTTAAAAAAAATAGAAATCATGAGTGAACCTATGGAGCGACCCTCCATCTAGCAAAATCCCACCCTTTTTCTACCAAAGGACCAGAAAAAAGAACTGCGGATGCAGGAGAACCCTTCACCTCACAAACATATCACAGTTAGATATCTGATGTGCCAGAGAGGTTAAGAATGCCTCCGTGGCGTATATGCATGTTTCAATTTGGGGGAAGGGGCAACTTGTGATTTTTCGGATACAATAATAGTGTCCATTCTTTTCTTTCATGCCTAAAGAAGAATGCTCTCCGGGGAGGTATAGAACCGTTGCGTGCTAGCGTTTTCAATTCCGTGCGAGGCAACATGTCTGCAAACCCTCTCTCTACCCCTTACCGGTAGATCATAGTCATGTGACTGACTCATCTAGTACGAAGTAACTGACCTCATTAATTAACAGGCATCGTCATTTGTTTTCTGCTGACAAAATGAACTTGTCTGATTCCTCCTCACGATTATGTGCAGTATTGGCCTAGTTCCTTAGAGGCGTCTGAACCAAGGAAACGACATGGCTGCAACTGCGGTGACACTAAGAAATGCCATCTCTCTGTCTCTCTTCGAAAACATGAGGATAGAAAGCATTTTGAAATTTGGTGGGGATGTATTGCAAGATTCTGTCTCAGAGCCATCATCAACGGCAACCCGCAAGCTTTGCGCGCTCCATTCAGATTTGACAGAAAATGTAAATTTTGAACGTACACTTAGGCTTGTCTTTTGAGTGGCGGACATGCCAAAGAGCTGATCGATCAGGGAAGCCTTCCCTTCGGGCACATCAAGTCATTTACCACAGCTGCTGCGACGGATGTCTCCTTTGCAATGCACCTCGCGCATAAAATTACCTTTTCACAGTCAATTGCAAACCACTGCAGAGCAGTAGGCCTATTATAAAATATAAGTCATCTGTAAGACAGAATACTCTTATTTTCTTATAATACGGTGGCTCTTGGAGGAGCCACCGTATCTGTTTGTCATGGCCGGATGGAGTGCACGGAATCAGAGAAATCATCATTGATGTTTGAACTTGACAGATATATATACCACTTTCCCACACTCGCCACTCCTGTGATTTCGTTGACGGAAACACACGGCACTTGACGCTAAAAGACGCCCGCCTTAGCATGTATTATAGTGAATCCAGATTTCTATTCGCGGGAGACAACAGATTTAATCGAGCGCAAAGGCGAAACGGAAGGGTCAACGGTGATCACATAATGCACACACGACCCCTACTGCACAGAGCCTGTATGATTAGTCCTCCGGCCTACCTGTGTTCCATCTTCACCGCACAGAATTAATATTACTGTGATTACATGCACGGCTTGATATCGTGACGCCGCCGTATTCATAAATTGAAACGCATCGTAACGCGATTGAGCACTTGAATTTTCAAGAACACGGAGATCTGAAAGCGTCTGCAAATTCAACCCTAGTTACACCACTGTCAGATCACTCAATAAATTACTGTCCTTGTGGTTGGTTTGTTTCGATTTATCAATCTGTTACCCGACACAACTCTTTTAAAAAATCTCATGTACTAAATGCATTCAAGTATAAGTGTCAGCTTGTCGTTCAAAAGATCATCGAACCATACGCCTACAATTCATGTTTCCCTCAGTCATCCTGGATACCTTCTACCACGCTATGTTAGGTGAACCAAAGGCCTTAAAACGTCGGGTTGATCTTTAACAGCCAGTACGTTTGTCACTTTGTTTCTCAAATGTTTACCGACCACATTGAGATTTGACTGACCGTAAACACACATTAGTGCATTAAGATGTATTCATTAAGAAGTAAAAAGATCACAATCATAATATTACCATTTCTAGCGTTCCCATAGCAACACCATGTAGGATTTAAGGCATGTATTGTGCAAATGGTAAATACGACTGACTCACTGGGTAAACTGTAATCAGCACAAAAGTCGCCGAGTTGATTCGCGTAGATTGAATGTGCAAATATTCACCTTGCCAGCAATTCGACGGCTTGTTAAAGGGTCAGGCGATAATGTTTTCTATTGGGTGCACTTTTTTGTGCAATCTTGTGCTCTACTTCAAACTACAGAATTTCTCAATATCCTTTGTGGTTAAGTGTATTGAGAAGTACACGTTTTAAATTTATAAAACCGTTCTTGTTTTTCCATAGAGCAGAGGGCTCTGTTGCTTTGATGCCATGCAAGGAAGGCACTCTTCAGTTGATGGGTTTTGCTACACGAATTTTGATCCAAAAATTTATGGGAAAGGGTTGCCCATTTGTGCTTAGAAAAACATGATTCGCCAAAGAGAAGGAAATTTACAACAACTGAATATCAAACTTTCCATTAATTCTTTGCTTTGACAAGTCAATGCAGTACGGAGGTTTTTTCCCTCAACATTACAATTGACATAATTAAAGGTTTTCCAAGAATATGGAGATTTGCATCTGCGTAAAAGCCCGATGAGACATGAAAAACTCAAATTGAAAAATCGGTTAATTAATACACAAAGGTACACTGCAGGGGTTGTTGTAAAACAAAAATGCATGACACAGTTCAAGGGACTTTTTGCGCGTTCTCAACCAGCAGAATTATGCAGGTGGCGTAAGAAACATTTCCGAGGTTTATATAAAGCACTAAAAATGTATAAATTTGGCTATATTCACTTTGATCCGGTTGAGGAACGTAAGCAAAGATAGTGATGAGTTTTCTCCCTGTTTTTTACGGTATCGCGTAAGATCGTGACTAACAAAATGGGCAATTCTGCTAAGGCCTTTGTAAACACCTAACTTAAAGGTGAATAACCCTATCTCTGCTGTGCAAAGATCATGCTCGTTTTACGTTTCATTGAATAAGATAATTATTTTGTTTGTCTTTAATATGAGAAATAAAACTGAATAAAAAAAATAAAAAATCACCTCAGTCACTTCGTATCGTTTTTAGAAGTATTTTAATTCCACAAGAATATGTCGTGTGCATCACAGAACCGTGCTTTTGGAAGGCCATTGTATATAAATGCAGCAACTAGGTTTGGGTTTAAAATAAAGCCCTCTCTGCCTGTCGGGGAAAAATTCATTCAGTAGGGTTTTTCTGGAGATAATGAATTATTTTAAGATCTACCGTTCTCCGAAGTATCATACTATTTCATGGGAGCATATGAGTCGTGCTTATTTATCAAAGCATTGATTACATCCATTGGTACAGTTGTGGACGTGAAGCAATAGGCCCTAATTGAAATCTGTACAATGTAAAGGTTTGGAAAGATGTGTTGAAAGATAGTTGTAACGCCAGCTGCGACCCAAGGAGTACACGTTGGAGATTTATCTTCTAGTCATCACGTGAATGTGTGCGTCAGAAAGCCTCGTGATGTCCTTCCGCACGTGTGTATACCTAATAAGTTAATTTAAGTTACTTCAAGCTACAACCCTGGGAATACACGTGTGTTAAGAACTTCGTGTCCTTCCGCACGGGTTACGTTTTAAACCGAAACTGCAATCTGCAAGCACGCTGAAAATGTACATTCAACTTACAGATACGTACTTATAATCAATCCCTCTCAAAGATGCATGGAAATAGCGGAACAGCAACGTTGGGATAAACATCTTCCCTCATGTCATGTCCGGCCGATCACAGGCAGATTGCCGGAGGGATGATTACTCCCAAGCAAACGTGAGTTGACGTTCACATGGACTTCAAATTTGTACGGAATCCCGTTAGTTCCAATTTGAACTATACAAAATATGTTTTATTGCGAAATAACACAATAGCATTCCGAAATAACGCGATAGTTCTCCGGACATTTGGGGCACGTTCGCGCGGAGAGTATACTCTCGCTGACCCACGGGTCTTCCTGCAGCCGTTCGAACGCTATCGTGTTCAAACGCATTCCTACGTCTGCTTCAGTATGAAAAGAGCAACATCAACAGTCAATAACTTGTCCTTTTTCCTGGACATTCCGTGATAGGCCAAACGTCGTTTTAGGGCCCTTAAACTTACGATGATAGGCCTACTATGTATGGAGGACGAAAAGTGGCCATCTGCTTTTCTGTCCTCAATGGGCCGTGAATGGGGTCGTGAACCTGTAGGTTACCACCATTTCCGTTCTGGAGGGAGTGAAGACGTATAGAAACCAATACTTAACCATGCTTTCTGCGGACCAATCCCATACGGCAGTATCACTGTCCCTGTGAGGCAGAAAACACAGCATCTCAAAGGAAATACAGTTTTACAACTATCATCCAATAGACACACAAGCTTGCTTGGTCCAAGGAGAACATGTGAACTTTTCATTATTAAAGATAGGGTGGACTATAATTATTGGTTTACATGTCTTCAATCCCCAAGAAAGGAAACGGTCGTATCCTGAGGTTCACGACCCTTGGAAGGCAGAAAAGCAGACGGCCACTTTTTGGCCCTCTATGTAAAATTGCTCCTCTGGGATCAAAAAGTAGAATTTACGGTTGTTGTCAAAACGTTCGATCCTGACATTCTGCCAGCAAATAAAGAAAAAGTTCAATCTGCTTTTTTCTTGAAGCAAAAAAACAATAAAATTCATAATCAAACAATGTTCGTTCTGCTTTTTCAGGTGGCAGAAAAGTAGAAAAGTCGAAATAGCATGTTACCAGAGCATAAAGTCTGTTTTTCTACTATTTTGATAGCAGAAACGCAGATGGCCACTTTTCGTCCTCCATAACCATGATTTGCTGCCAAAAACCACAATATGTTCTCATAACTCAAACCAAGAGAGAAGTAGAAGCTCACGAGATTGCATAATGTCATGCTTAGCTTTCCTCGATAGCTGTTTCACGGGAAATCACATGCACTGCCCACTCAAAGTTGTGTTCGCCCAGCTGGAGTGCGACCCGCTGGTCAGCGAGAGTATGCTCTTGCTAACGGGGTAGTACACTCCTGCACCCGGGTATAATGCGCGCGCATCCTACTCTTGTTAACCGGAGTAACCGCATGTATGTGCCCCAAATGTCCGTAGAACTAATGCGTTATTTCGCAATGTTATTGCATTATTTCGCAATACTTTATACTGCGTTATTTCGCAATGCTATTGCGTTATTTCGCAATAAAAATATTTTTGCATAGTTCAATTTGGCACTAACGGGCTTCCGTACGACGCTGATTTTATCGCAGTCCTTTTATAAGGTTTTTTGAAGTTGATGCGTCTCATAAGTGGCTTAGCGAGTCGGTTGGCGTGGGAGAGGATACGCTGAAAGTGCTCTCACCAGCCCGCCTCTCCCTCGACGCGGAGCTGATGAACACGATGGGAGGCAAGAGGAAGTTCATCACATCACATGCTAGGTGCAGGCCGAATCCCGAAGACTGGAGAACGAATGGTGAGATGGTGGAAAGCAGTCATTCAGATCGATGTTTTTCCGGAGAGGCGATGGGTTTCCTTTTGTTTGCAGGGAAGACGGATCTCTTTACATGTATAGCCTTAGCTATTGCCTGTCACTTCTCCGTTTGCGTGTATTTTGGAGAACGATTCATGAGAACTTTGCAGCATCGGCTTTCCAGCTTTCAGTGAAATCGGACTTACGCCGTCCACGCTGACATTATAAGCCGTGTTGTGGGGGAAATGCGAGTCTTGTGAAGTGCAAGTCCTGTGAAGTCCACGGAGACTCGAGCCACAGACTGTTTTCCCAAGCGGTCCGTGTCCAGAGAATGCTGGACATTCAACTGCCAGATTGGTCCACAACTCTTTAAAAAAATAAAACAAAAAACAGCGAGCACTTACAACATGGCTGTGACTGCTGACTGAATGAGATGCTGGTTAAGCTGGGGAGCAGGCTCCATTATCTTTTCTCACGAGTGGGCCGACGCAAACACTTTTTTTCTTCCCAGAAGACAAATTTTTGTGGTGCGGTGTTTGAAGGGTGGTGCGTTGCGTTTTGGTACCATGCGTTCATGCATTTTACTTTCACAGACACAGAAATCGACGTCATTAACTTAACACACGTGTGCGTTGCGTTCGGCCGTCAAAATCGCCCTGGGAGCGATGTTGACGGACACGCAGCACTTGGAGAAAGTGTTGGTGCACATATGGAAAGGCACCTTAAGTCATTTTAAAAAAGTGTCGTGTCAGTGACTGTTGGTGATAAATGAAGTCTTTCATTGTTTCAACTGCTTGCACATCTAAGTTCTTCGACTGTTGGCTGGTATCGCTCGCGGAACGCAAGCAAGAAAAATTTATTCTGCCTTGTAAAACCTTGTCTGCGAAACATCCTTGCGCTGACTGACTTGTTTATTTGAGAGCAATCATGCATTGTGACAAAATATTTATGCACGCACTAACGTTGGAACAATTTCCTCTGAAACACGGTTATTATGGGTAGCTATCTCCCTCTTTCTTTGCAGTTTCCAGAGCGGCCAGGTCGGCTTTTTCGTTACTGCGTCGGGCCTCGATCACACTGGGAGCTTTCATCGTTTGGCTGTTCAGTCTGATCGCGTACCTCAACGTCCTGCCGATCATATCCCGCTGTATGAAACCCCGCCGTCAAGTGAGGAAAAGATCCTACGAAGCCACAGAGAGCGTCACATATGTATCTGGTTTACGAGATCGTCTTATCGCGTTCATCAGCACAGGTAAACGTGCAGGAAAAATATGAAGAGGCAAATTTAGAAACAAATGCAGAAAAAAATACTTTTATTGGAAGGTACACCGTGTAATCATTAGAAATGCGTTTTCATTTTTTTAGCTGCTTTGGCTTCACTGCCTTTCGTTACTACTTTCGTTATAAAGTTGTTAAAGATGCGAAAAAGCCCTCTGTTCTGTTGGCCAACAAACATATGACCTCTCGTTGGCTTTTTCGCAATTTGCGACAAAGGCATTATTTTCTTCTTCTTTTTGTTTTGTACACGTTTTTCTACTTATTACTAGTAAACGAGTAGTCCTTTAAATCGCCTCAAGATTACTATAAGAACGAAAGAGAAATCGAGTACTTTACGCTTTATAATCTGATTTCAAATATGCCTAAGAGTCCAAATATGAAGCAATATTTAAAAAAAAAATGTTCAGTTTAAGCGGAATCAGGTGACATGATTCTGCAAAAGACTTTATGGCCCATTGCCTTTTGTACACGTTTTCGAGCCACAATTTTGGTAACTTTGAGATATTTGATCGCAAACAAAAGACGCTGATGCAAGGTTTCTTGCAAATGAATGACGCCATGATGACGTCATCACCCCATTTTATATTGATTTTTGAATATTTTATTTTTCCCCATAGGTTTTGTACACGTTTTTCTTCTTAACACTTGTGAACAAGTAGTCCTCATTCGGCTCAAGATTACTACATGTAGTTTGTACACGTTTTCTTGTCCTATAGGAGTTCGATAGTTTTATACCCTTGATCAGCTTCAAACTTGGCAGACCTTCAGACAATCATCCAAGGATGATCCTTGAACAAATTCATCATGATGACGTCGTCACCCCATTTACTGTTGCATTTGGAATATTTAAAATTTTGCCCTAGGGTTTGTACACATTTGTTTATTACACACTATTATAGAGCTTAAAATTAATACGTGAGTAGTCCTCAACTTCGACCAAGAATAACTACCAGAACGAAAGAGAAAAATTCAGACTAAATCAGAATAAATTTTCCCTGATTACAAATATACCCAGGAGTAAAAATATCAAATAATATTTCATAAAAATTTTTCAGTGTAAACATAAATCACGTGACATCAACTTAAAGGAGCAGTTCTCTGCATATGTGTTTTAGCCCATTGACTTTGTACATTTTTTCAGGCCACCATGATGGTAACTTCGCGATGTTTGATTGCTATCAAAGTGATACCCAACAAAGACCCTGATACAACAATTATTCTAAATGGATGACGTCATCATCTGATTTATTATTGATTTTTCAATATTTATATTAGTCCATTGACTTTGTTCATGTTGTCAAGTCACCATTTTGATAAATTCGCGGCGTTCGGCCGTTATCGAAGTTACAGCCAACAAAGACCCTGAACTAAGAATTATGGCAGACTGATGACGTCATAATGACGTCATCTTGTGATTTTTGTACAATTACAGCCATAGTGTTTGTATTTTTGCAGATTCAATTCATCTAAAACCATGATACTGTTTATATTAGCCAAAATTACTTGCTTTGACAAACTACATGTTATTTAACCACGCTCCGCAATTCTTTGTAAAACTGCCGCAATCGAACTGCTTCATTGGAAAGGAGTAAACCTGGACTAACCACGTATATCATTTTCCACCAATCAGAATCAGCCAATCAGAAACGTCTGCTGCGGTGGGTCAAGGAGCAAGCGCCAAGTCTCCAACACGTGACCGACCTATCCAGCCAATGGTGTGACGGGATTGAGCTCTGTGTTCTCATCAATACCGTTGTGCAGGGCACGTGTCCTCGCCACGACCTGCTCCGACGGGAGCACGCCGTCAATAACTGCAGGCTGGCTATGCGGCTTGTCCAACGGAACTTGGGAATACGAGAGGTAGGACGTCGTAGAATTTTTTTTAAGTGCATGCACTTCCATTGCACATTTCAAAGCCAGTGGCATTATTCAAATGCAAAACAGTTAACGAAGTAGACTTAAATGCGAACGAAGGGAATTTGAAGCATATGTATTGTTTTGTTGGCCCAGGCAATGACATATGACCGCTTTCTGCTGCAGATGAGAAGTACTGAGCAAATAGTTAGCAAGCTAGAATCCCGCAAAAAGCTTGAAAAGTGTGCAGTAACATCAAATTCTTAGAAAGCAGGGGCTGATTTCTAACGCGTCTTCCAGCAACAGGAATCCAAAACGACTCAAATGCATCTTCTCAATACTACCAAGTCATTTCAAATACTGCAACACTCGGTAAAACCTTTTTTTTTAATTTTCAGCCAATGACACCCGAAGAGATGGCCGATTGCAAGCGAATCAATGAGGTCAAAATGATGCAGTACTTAAACAACATCAAGAACGCCAGTTTCATTCCCGTCGAGGAGCCGGAGACATCCGTCAAGCCGGCCGAGGGCGGGACCACCATTGACCCGTCCATCGAGAAGGAGTGCAGCGCCAGTGGCAGCGGGCTGGTCGTGGCAGTGGTCGACAAGAGGGCCCGGTTCACCATAACCACCCAGACGTACAAGTACAAGAACCTGTACGTGGAGATCACAGGACCAAACCGAGAGAAGGTCCGAAGGAAGATCAAAACTACCAAAGTGAATAGAGGGTGTCTGATCAATGGTGGTTCTAGCCAGTCCAGTAGGGACGAACAACACCCCGAAGACGAGGGTCCACCCGAGCCAATACCGCTGGACTATCAAATCATCAAGCCAGGGTCGTACCAGGTGAACTACATTCCGAGAAGTTTGGGGTCGTATCAGGTGGCGATAACGTGGGGTGGGGAACACATCAAGAACAGCCCCTTCAAGGTGCGTTCAACCATGGCCAAGAACATCGAGCAGACTACGGTCCGGGCCACGCCAGGCGTCGTCAAGGCAGTGTCGTTTCAGGACGAGCAGGATTCAGCAGCGGACCAAGACGGAGGGTCCGAGCCGCCAGTGCCGTCGGACACCGAGAGCAACTCCACCAGGTCGCGTCGCCAGTCCCTGGTCAGGCAGGCGCACATCTCCCAGCTACGAGACTCTTACGAGAGCACCAGTACTTCCCCATTCAGTAGCATGTGCAGTAGTATGGTCAGCAGTATGGACCACAGCATTGATAACACATCCGACGTGTTTCTGCCCAATCACCACGCTCATCCTTCCGGAGCCCATCCGTTCTTGTCTCGCCACAGCTCGTCGGTGAGCACGGCCTCTTCCCGTAGCGGTTCTATACTGAGCAGGAGTAGCTCCATCATGCATAGCACCGACCGGCCACCAGCAGTCAAGACTCGGAGGAAAGTCATCCGTAGAATCATCAAAGGTGCTGGTGGTACAGAGGAGGTGACCTACCCCAACGTGCGCAGTTCCTCAATCTTATCCTCCTCTCAGATGTCGAGTATGACAAGTACTCCTTCGATATCCACCTCCATGAGCATTGATGACCGCTCTCCAAAGTTTAGTACATCTTCTTCTTCATCCGTAGCAAGTGCCTCCTTCATGCACTCACGAGGCGCCAAAAACGATGACCAGTCTGAAAGATACGCCGATCGCATGTCCAAGATTCTCATCGGCAAAGCGCTGAACGAAATCTCAAAGCAGGTGGCTACAAATCTGATGGCGAAATCCCAGGCTAACGACGACAGAGAAAGTAAGGATGTTCACCTCTCAACAGACAAGAAAACTCCTTGTGGACAAATCGTCAACAGGGGTATTTCGTGTAAGGCGCAGTCGATCGCTATCGATCACAAAATCCATTCTTCTCAGCCTGATGTGACTTTAAATGCAAACACAGCCAATAAAATTGAAGCCCAAACGCCCTGTGATACCTCAGGACAGCCTCAACTATCCTCGAAGCAAACTCGGGATCCGGCAGGTTTGGATCAGTATCTTAAGTACCGAAATGAGTTCCTGCGGAGTTTCGATACGAAAAGTCCTTCGAGGGAACCAAAACCCCGGAAGGTGAACAGCAACGTGGAACAATCGGTAGTGACAACATCGAGGAGTGGGAATCAAAGGCAGGTAACCAGTACAAAACCCAATGACGCGCCAGGACACGTCCGACGAGCACACAAGAAGAGAAAGGAGGACAAGGCGACACAGTGTACGGCCCAGGACATCAAATCAGCCACCGGCTGGATAAGCAGACGCAGCGTGTACAGAAACGCTCACGCAAACAACCGGCAGAAAGACAGTAACGGCGACAGTGCACTGGGTGAAAGCGAAGGTTCTTTGCCCAACTCGTCCAGCGACAGAGATAAATCACGGTCTGCAACCAATAAGGTTTTCCGCAGACCGGCTCAGCCACTGGGATCTGAGAGCAGCACAAGGCCGGCGGACTTAGACCGCAGCAGTGCAGCCGCCGGTTCTCCGGTGCAGCACCGGAGAGGGCGATCCGGAACCCAGAGCTCTACCCAGGGCAGGCAGTCCACATTCGACAGTGGTTTTTCGGACGAAAACGGCTACATTGTTGGTCAAGAACATCGGCGGAACACAGATGAAGTCAGAGGTCGACGCTCCGGTCTCTTGGCAAACGACAAACCACAGACCAAGACTCCTTCTGTCTCGGGAGCTGAGACTGTACAAAGTCGAAAAGAACCACGAGGGGAAACAACAAACTCAAATATCGTTGAGCACCAGTCAGAGAGGGGGAAAGAAAGAGCAGAGCAACAGTCTGCCGTCCAAAGCGTTCCCATACAAATAGTACCACCGTCACCCATCACCCCCAAGACTGACCATTTCGCAACAGAGTCAGAGAACCAAAAATCAAATTTAGAGGAGATTATGAAATTTTCGTCCGACAACGAGACCGACAAAGAAGAGTTCTTATCTGGGCATCACTTAACAGTCGAGACACCATGTCAAGATAGCTCGACTGCCCCCACTCCAGGAGATTCGTCCGTGGGAAACATATCCTCTCCTGAGGAAGACGTTGCCTCCACAGAATGCAAGTCAAACGTCAGCGGTGACATACCTGGGGGAAAATCCCCCTTGGCTCTTCTCGATGACCTCGACGGCGAGCCATCTTCGAGAGCAAGCGAGATGGGGAGGGAAATGTCTCTGGAGGTCATGCTGCAAAGTCTTGAGAACGATCCCGACTACTCCACCAGGGAGTTTTTGCGCAAGTACCGGCCGATGATGGAGGACGATTTAGGGATACTTGCCCAACTGTCACCTGCGGAGCCCAAGGAAAACCAGCCAGAGGATCGCAAAGAGAAACCCAACGTGTCAAGTTTCCATGAAAACAGAACAACGTCGAAAGATGGCAGTGTGACAACACCGAGCCAACCGATACCGGAAAGATGCCACGCGTATGGAGTGGGACTTTACCATGGCATTGTGGGAGCCAAGAACAATTTTCAGGTGAGGTTTTAGAACCAGAAAACCATATCGCATCAAACACTTTCAAATGTAAGATACTGGGAACAGGTGAGTAGCTCTTAACAAGGATATTGACCGCATTTGTACTTTGATGATGGTACATGTACATAACATAGTATCGTTAACATTATTGTTAAACATGCAAAATACATGTACTACCACACACTAAATTTCACGTACATCTATTCTGCAAGGTGCCCCCACAACATCTACTCAAGTGTAACATTTAATTTCTTCTAAACTAATCGTCAGAAATTGATGTCTTGGGTATCAAATCAAAGCTCAGAATACTATCTTTAAAAACCTGAGGACGTTGTTCAAATCTCATTATGCGTTGCGGAGATAATTTCATTACGCAAGACACTGCTTTTTGTCACCTCCAGTGAGATTTACCACAGGAGTTGCACATGGTTACGCTGTTGGAAAAGCTCAAAGAATGAGATGCTGAACTGAACAGGTTTTTGGTTTGTTAAAACCTTTTAAATATTTCGCAACAAACAAACAACCAGACACCCCAACAAAGAGCAAACATGATCCTAAAATGGTTCAGAGTGGTTAAAGTTGTAGAATTAAATGAGATCAGCACCCTTTTATTTTATAAATTGGCAGATAAACGGTTCAAGTTCAACGGAGGTTGATCCTCTGAAATAAACTCATTAAACTCTGAAACTAAAAACACTGCGACTCCACATTTCAAAACAACCATTTCCTTCTCAAAAGGCATCATTTTAATCGAGCTTATGACTAGAAAGAAATTCCGAAAAGAATTATGGAGCTCAAAAGTGTGTAATAATTTAGGATTCGGATAGTGAATGAATACTATACACTTGCAAGATAATCAGTGGAAACTTTTAATGGACAAAAAAGGGGTTGTGCTTACAATATCTTCGTAATGCAACATCGGCTTCAAACGAATGTTCAGTTCGAGCAAGAACACTGTAAAATGTAATTTGATACTAAAATTAACAATTTCTTAAAATTTCTTAACAATAAATGCTCCTTTTGGATTTTTATTGCACGGGACGTCCTGTATATTTGAGGGTTGGGTGCCGAGGTGATGCACCGTCAGGAAGGTGGATGGAGATAAATATACCATAATCCGTCACATACACAGCTTTACTGTCTGTGGATCTTGACCTAGGGGGGTGTAAGAAACAAAACAATTTCTTGTGGATCTCACGAGGTTTGTAAGTGCGCATGTTCTTCTTTTGGCAGTAGTTGCAGATCAGGTAGGGCAGTCAAGGGTGCAGCAAAGCGGCATGCGACGTGCTGGAAACCTTACCAGTGGAAATCGGGAGGACGGAAATCGTGAATGCCAATTTATAAACCTGTATGGTAACAACAGATTGTCAAAAACTTGATTATTGTGTTGCCAAAATGTTTTAAATGAACTCTTGTGACCTTTATGTATCTTCAGTGCCTGTTTTGGAGTCCTGATGGGACATCAATTTTATTTTGCAATTAAAAAACCTACTTTTTTGTGGGATGAGAAGCACTTATTTTTAAGAAACCTGTCAGTAAAAAAAATCACACGGTGGTGGCAAAACTCCACTCCATTTAACTTAACACGCAGAGGTAACATTTATGATCCCGCCCTTTCCCAATAAACACACACAAAAAAACATGAGTCTTGAAAATTGTTCTCTGGTGCAAGTAGATTTCAAAAGAGAAAAACAAAATCATCCGACACTCGACATTACCCCTAACACCTGAGGGCCCACTGAGCATGTTCTCTTTGTGACAAAAATCACAGAATATTTTTCGGATTTGGAAAGAGGGATCGCTGTTTTTATTTTTTTTTAACGGGGAAGGTTCAGAGATTACATGCAGACTTAAACCAGCATCCATCACTCCCGTTAATATTAATCTGGCAATTCTAATCTCCTACAGCGTGCTGTAGATTGCGAAATAGAAGGAAATAATTGCTGTCTTAGGATATTACTTCTTATACACAACACATAATGTTTGGGGAGACCAGACGCTACGTGCACACGCTCACTCGTTGAGCATGATTTTTATAATGCGGTGATTTAGGAGCGCATGCATAATGCATTTGACTCCTCGCACACTGATTAAATTCGCCGAAGGCAAGGCGTTGCTATAGTTACGGCAAGAGAAGGATATACATGTACATGTACATGGCCATTGGCTTTGCATGCAGCACTAACCATTTTAGCCAATAAATGCAGGGATTCAATATTATTGTCATTATAGCTCCTTGGGGTATTGCTCTGTCCCTGAGTGTTCTCTAAAATTATTTACTTTTACGATGTTTGAAAATACTGCAGTTATCTCCCTTCTTGATGGCATTTCGTCAATTTCTGATCAAAACATAGGGATATGTACGTCAGTATATACGTCAACAATACTAGGCCTTTACTTGTTTAATGCAATATTCGTTTAGTGCACGAGGTACATGTGTCTGAGGGGCGAACAACAACAATCTCTGGGCAATGTAAACAAATGCGAATTCTGAATAATGGCCATTTTTCACCTGGATTCCAACCTGTGAGCTCCGTGTATCCAAAGAACACACAAAGTTTGCTCCTTTTAATGGGATTTAAAACAGAGTAACGTTTTTAACTATGCTTAATTTAAGTTATAAGTCCTGAAGATTCATCTATGGGATCTGGTGGCGTATGGTGTTACTGTAGCGTTAGTATGCGTGTGCGTAATTTAGCTAATGTACCATTTAACCGAGGCCCAGCCTCGGGTTCTTATTCCTCAGGCCCGTAGGGGCACTTTTTTCTTCCCTGAAGTGTTCACGAAGGAATGGATGGCTCCCTGATACAACTCCTTGCTAACTGAATGAAGTTCTTTATGTCATTTTAGTCGAGTGAAAGTGATCAATCAGGCCCGTAAATGCGGGGGGGTGCAGGAGTGCATCAGCACCCCTCCCTTACGCGACTAAAAGGTCCGCTTTTGAGGCAAGAAAGGATTTTGAGCTATAGCAGAACATTTGCCCCCAACCCCCACGGCGCGCGCTTCAGTATTTTTCGCCTCCGTCAATCCCCTCTTTGGGAGTTCTTGTAATCCTAAAAAAACAATTGGTACGACCTCACGAATCCTGCGGTTTTCAAAATAAAAAAGCAAAATATCTATGCTTCGTCCGCTTTGCCAAGCATAGCGAGTTCCTGTTATTGGGCTAAGAAAAATCTGGACAAAATGCGTCCATAATAATATTATAGTCAGAATGTTATCAAAACTGATGGTCAACGACTCAACCGTCCTTAAAAATAAATAATTTACTCCATAAAACAGTCCTTAGATAGATTTTGCAATCAGTATGCAATAAGGCCCATGATCATTATTTCAGCTACATTTTGTTACCCGGGTGAGTGGAGGGGGGGGTCTAAATTCATTCATGTTTCTGGGTATGGTTATTTTCATTATATCAGTAGCACTGCTTGAAAACAAAATCGTTTCTGTGGAAATGCTCTACAGATGCAGAGGAATCGTTCCTGTCTTGATTTGGACGTGAGTTCGAGTATAATATGAGATTAGGACTTGGATTTGGGGCTGAGGATTATTAAGGTTGCCTGTTGTGACAGGATTGAGTGTTCGAAGTTGATCGTTGACAGGTTATGATTGGCTTTAGGTTTTCACTTCGCATTTGTGATGCATTACAGATTGAACATTTCCTCCCATTTTTGCATTATGAGTTCTAGGTTGACGTCATATCTCGGCATGATGTGCAGTTTTGCTATTTATTTTCCAGTGAGATGGAGCGGTCCCTAATGATGAAAGGGATCCTTTGTACAACCGTTTTCATTGGTCCCTATATTCTGAATGACTTCAAATACTGTCGTTTTCATTTCACAGTTTGACATTTTTTTCTGTTCCACTATCGGTCATTGGGCCTTTGAAGTGGATTGAAAATCCTCAATTTTTGCGACAAAAGGGTGTAACCCCGGAGAGGAAGCGATGCTAAACCCAGACATTAATTATGGATAAACGATGACTTTTAAAGTCATTTCTAGAAAATTTAAATGAAGTTTGATTTTACCCCCAACAGGTTCGAACTATAACAGCCGGGGACGGCTCTCTCAGCGTCACAATCCGCGGACCACAACCCCACACGGTCAACGAGACCAATGTCATCTACACGGGCGACGATCTGTACGAGATCATCTACGACGTCAGTCTGGCAGGGTTCTACGTCATCTCGGTCAAGTGGGGTGACAAACACGTCCCAGACAGTCCGTTCATCGTCAAGGTCACATTTTAGAAAGAGACAGGGGTGGAGTTAAGTGCGTGGGCATACGCATGGGGAATAATGGAAGAAACACATGTGGGAAGTGGGAAGGTTGATGAAAAACACTGGCATGCTTGATCATGCCCGGAAATTCTCCCCTTCTACTGTAAACGGTCGGTCAGTTTGTTGCAGGTGAGTGCTTTGCACTCCCACCGACGAAGTGGTGGGCTGCCTTGGCTAGGGGTGGATCATTGGCAGCAATTATGGTTCTGTGTGCAACATTAAGGGGGGGACAAGCGTTCACAATTAAACAACTTTTTATATTTTTTAATATTCTATTTTACCAATCTTTAATGATCCGTAGTCTTCGAAAAACATGGACCAGCCAATTAAGCTGAGAAAGTTTGGGAAAGCCAGCCAGTGTGAACAAAAACATATTGTTTATACTGTGTACATTATTCAATATACAGGCAAACACATCAATGCAAGCAAATCCAAAATTTACCCCATGTTTTTAGCACTCAGAGAGTGCGTATTAGTTAGATGCATATTTTTCCAATGCATTGCCTTTACGAGGGAAATATTTTTTGCTTGCCATAGTCTTGAAAAGAGCATTTTCAAAAGAAGTGGACATCCTTGAATAATTATTTTGAGCAAAACCCTCACTAAATACGGGCGTTTCACAATAGTGCGCCTTCAAGAGTTTGCAAGATGTTGGCCAATCACAATGCGCGAAATTTGTCGACCCAATGCGCGTTTGGAGAGGGTCGACAAATTTCGCGCGTTGTGATTGGCCAACGCGTTGCAAACTCTTGGAGGCGCACTATGTGAATCGCCCGTATTGCACATATGGCATACTTTCGATCAATGTCCGCCTACTTTCTTACCTTTTTTGGAAACATGCGCCTCTAGACAACAATTAAGGCATTTCGATCAAAAGTCAGAAGTGCTCGTAGAGAAATATTTATGGTCTTCTAGTGCACCACAAATGAAACTAAAAGTTATTTAAGCACTTGCATGGTGGTTATACCATCATTTTTTATATCCTGTAAACCAGAGTATGCACTAATTATATATTCACAAAAGGGCTATTGTGAACAGAGTATATTCTTCTGCGTGCAAAAAGATTGCAGCAAAATAATTAAGGATGATTTTTATAATCTTATATAAATACTTTGTAGTTCAATGGTATATGATCAAACATCAGCACCACTTTTTGATGAGCTCTAACAATACCTGGTTAAAATGATACTTTTATAATCGTACCGTGTGATCTCTTTGAAGTGTCAAATAATTGTGTTTTACAATTAGTTGTACGAATTCATACCTATGCGTAATTCGAAAAAGTCTTGTTCGAATTACGCATAAAGTAATCCTAAGCGATTGTATATGAATTAGGTGTGGGTCTTCTTTGCGAAATTCTTAAGTGTGAAAAGTGGATCAAATAACAACCATACAGTGTTTGTGATTCACCGACATGTATATTTTTAAATGAAGTTATGTGATTTTTTGCATTTTTGAATAAATCGTTAGTAGCATTCAAGTTATTTTCGACAAGTTGATGCTTTATGCAGTCGTCTGTCTCGTTCAAAAGCCATTGGCAGATCGGGGATCCGGGGGCAGAAATTATGGATCTCCCCTTAATTAGGCCAACATTATAATTTCTGGAGCAACGGTAGTAATGTGTGGCTTGGGATTTGCTTAATTAGAATTTGCTTGAATCCAATTTGCGTAAATGTGACTGCGGAAAACAGGATTTGGATCCTGGAATTTTCCGGGGGGGATCACAGCTGTCAGATTGTTTTTGGAGATTGTCCCGGACTGCTAGAGGACCCGTAAAGGCAACGCATTACATCGTCACTGATATACAAATAATAACTCTCACAGGATGTCATCGTTTTATTATTACTATAATTATTTCTTTTGTGTTTAATTATTTCAATGTCAGAGCAGGGGGAAGTGTTACATGCCCCCGGGTGCGCTGTTTTATTAAACAGCACATAATAATACACGTGCCTCAAGTGTCTGCTGGAACCGATAGAGGGCGCTGTGTCCTACCGCAAAGCTAGCCGTTAGCAGAGACGACTAACCTTTGAGGGGTGCACTGAACTAATTCAAGCCCCATTGAAAACAATGTAAAACCAATCACGTCCACAGCACCGGTGCAGGCAATCAAAGTCCTTCAGGCATCTAAAAAAGCGAAACAAAATCTATGTGCTTTGGGTCATTCAGCTTTCAATTGATTTTCAGTTTTTAGTAGGCTAACCTATGAAATTTTTAATTATCCACCAAAAACAAGCCCACCCCCAAAAGGTGAACGTTCCCAAGTCTGTTTCTACAAACTTTTTCAAATGACATCTCTCGACTTTTACAGGCTCTTGGGACCATTTTTCAAGAGCAATTTTCCCTGCGTTACCCTGGGTTGGAAGCCCTTGAATCTAGAGGATTTATTCTCGGTCATTCTTACACGACCCCACAATTTGTTGGACCACACAACCTCCTCTATTTAAATAAATTGTAGGGGTACTTTCTTGAGAGCTTCGTCCTGGCGGAGAATTTCCCTTGAATTGGGCAGTGCACTATTACCAGCTAGAGATGTCTTGGCCAAAAGTTGTATTGTTCGGCGATTCTATAACTCAGGTAGCCTAAATTCAATCATTATGCCACTTCATGTACTGCAACTGAATCCTTCTCTTCAGGATTAGCAAAGGAGTAAATGCCGAATATTGGCTCAGATTTTGAAACTTCCCTGAATCTGCAGGCTAATATTAATAATGTCCCGCGTCTATATGCTTGGTCTGCCGCAGGGTGACCAGTGCAGTTGTACAAGGGGGACGTGAATGGGGGGGGGGGGCATGTTGGGAGTCCTTCCCCTCCAGATTCCTCCACCCATTTAAAATTTGGTAGTTCACGCCACAGTTTATTTACTTGCAGCCCCCTGTAAAAAAATGTGCACACCCCCTTAAAAAATGTGTACAGCATTGAAGATATATTGTTCTTGTAGTTAATTTATAGGCCTAGCTACCCCAATGAGAAATTTCACCCTCTCTCTGTTAGTTTTAGGTCACCGTGAATATGCTTATCAATGACTGAGGCACCTTGTTCCGGGAGAGGTGGAACAAGGAGCCTAGGCTGTAGTAATGATAGAGAGCAAAGATGGTGGTGTTCATCAGCATCAGACATCATGGAGGTCATCTTCGCCGCATTCATGGGGCTGATCAACAGTCATGACAGTTACTCTGTTATTCCTGAGCAGGTTCATCGTTCATTATTATCTGATCTCTTTTTTATCTGGGAGACAGTTTTCGTTCAGTCAAGGAGGATGGGGCGCTGCTGTAGCAGATGCATTACAAAGGTGAGAGACTTGTTCAACTAACGTTAGACTTGTAATTTTCTCCGTCAGTGCACTGACGCTGCAATGTATTTTATTCTGTTAAGTGTGTTGTATCATGGAGGAAGGATAAAATCTTTATCTTATCCTGGTTGTATCAACATTTTTTATTTTACGGGACAGCTTGGTTGATTTTTACACTTTGTCTGGGTTTTCATTTGTGAACATTCGCTTGCTTGTTTGTTACCCATTCCACTCCTGGAATAAAAGGGGAGGAGCAGTTTGATTGTCCCCTCATATTTCTTTTTATCAAACACAAAAATGCTACTCCTGACTTTGTCATTACTAAGCACAAGCACCAATATATAACTTACATTTGATGTCCCTAAAAGTGGACGAGTTTTGGGGCTCGCCCAATGGTGCTGTTGATCAATAATATAAACTTTGAAACTCTCTGCTATAGGCCCGAAGCTGGATCTAGAGAGGGTGCTATTTTCTCAGCAACGGAGGCTCCTTCAGTCGGAACTGGACTTCGTTGGTCCATGAATGACTAGGAAATGCATGCGTCACGGTCAGATCGCTACTAACAAAGTTAACACTCCTGACCAACGTACTCTTTTCACCTGATGAGGGGGTGCTTCTGCTCGAGGCAGATAGTTAGTTTGGCCAAACTGCAGTACCATTGTTGGGACTGTCCCAACAGTAGTTTGGATGGATGCCTCAGTAGTGGTGTAACAATATCATGTCTAATATTGTTCAGCTCAGCCCATGCCAGAAAAAAGAAAGACCAAAACAAACCTTGTACACCGGGAATTGGGATTACTTCCATCAGAACTTGCATCTGATCGTTACCACATGATTTTTATTTGCTTTCTCAGAAAGTGTGACGTTCTCAACCGTGGCTTTTCTGGCTACAACACCTCCTGGGCCAGATTCATCCTTCGACAATGCTTCCCCGGGGAGATGCTGACGGGAGTTGCCTTGGTTACCCTATTCTTTGGAGCCAACGATGCGAGCCTCAAGGAAGTAAACCGCATCCAGCATGTGACATTGGATGATTACAGAACAAACATGAAGGTAGAGTTCTCACTCTGTGGTAACTGAAGAGATGGGCCAGCGTGATGCTATAAAAAGATTGCACAAAGAAAATTCTGTATTCATTCAGTATATCCACCAAAGGCTGGAGAACTGAGAACTGTTGGGGTTAATATTCTTGAAATTTTGCACCAGACAGTGAAGCCAAGTGGTTTCAGTATGGAGCACATCATAACTGTGTGAAAAGATGGACCACTCCATACTTTTAAGGGGATAGGTACATCATTTTTATTAATGTAATATTATAATTGGATTTGTTTTACTCGTATTACAGTTATAATGTAGCAGTAAAAAAGCTACTGCATCGTGCATTTGTGTTACGCGAGTCACATTTTCTTCTGGCCATTTCTCACAACAAGAGAGACTTGGCACAATGTCACCCATGCATGGATTAGGTCAGAGTAGTAAGTTTTAAGCTCAGTAAAAATTTGCTTTAGCACACTTGTAGATTCATTGGAAATGCTTTTAGAATCAAGGGATATGAAAAATGCCCTTTTCTATCCTATCACGCGAGTCACGTCAAAGAAATTGTGATAAAGAAAACAATAAACATTTTAAAGTGATCAAATAAAAACTAAGAGATACATTCAAAATGCTTTGTGTTCATTATATGGTAATTTGAGTTGAATAAGTGCCATGTTAGCAACAGTAATGCATTAAAACTCAACATTTTATTCAAATGTCACGCGAGTCACCATGGGTAACTTTTACCACCTGTCATGACTTGTAGAGTAGTGTAGGTCATTTACTCTTTAAAAATAACACACACCTCTGTATTCAGCCTTGTAAGATGTATAATTTGGAATCCACATGCAGGGATATAGCTGTTCATTTTAACGGAACCCACGTAACAATGGACACCGTCACAAATTGTGGAATGACCCCACTACGAGTATACTCGTAGAAAATGAAAGGCTTTTGTAATGTAAATTGATACACGTACACTAGCATCACCGAAGAACACAACAAGATACACCGTTGGCTGCGGAGATGTATCCGTACAATGCTCATATTCAAATAGACACCTGAAAAGTGCCTATTAAATATGTGCGCGCATACATACAATGCTTGACAAATGGGAATGCCTCGTGAAATCGTGCACGGCAGTCAACGTGTTAACACACCTGTCATACTTAACCAAACCTTTTCCTTAACCGTACCAGGCTATCTTGCAGTACTTCATTGACGGAGGTCTTCAGGCCAACCAGGTAATACTAATTACACCCCCACCGCTGGGCGAAGAGAAATGGGCCGTGGCTTGCATGGAGAAGTATGGTTAGGCTTTCATATCTTCAGCCCTGTCTTATAAGACAAAAGAAGTTGTTTACTGAACTTTGAAGCTCTAAACTTGATGCAATGATTCTCTTTTTCCGGGGGGGGGGGGCAAAGTGGGAAGATCTGATTTGATATCATTAAAATTCATCGTTTGCAAGAAAAGCTTAGATATTCAGCCACGCATGGAGTGCATAGGCTGGTAGAGGGTGATCACACAGACACCCTTTTCTACCCACTTGAGGAAAAATTGTTGAAAACACACACAGGTAGTGTTCTGATCAATCCAGTAGGTTGGGCGAAAAGTAAGAACAAAAGGGGTGAGGAAAGGGGTGGTCCGACTTACACAGAGTTTGTTTGCCAACTGAGACCCATTCTATTAAATTGAGTCAGGATTCAGCAGTGCCATTTTGGAGTTTTATTTGGTGTTGGAAAGAGGAAACTCGGCTCTATGTTTTGATGCATCACTCAGTTTGGCATCTTGATGAATTCATGGTCATCATGATGATGAAAATGTTGAGGATTCCTAATGCTTTACATTGTGCAAAATTCTTTACTCAAAAGTGGCTCAGCTAGGAGACTTGGGGCTCACAAGTTTCACAGAGCTGGTCATAAGTGAGCTTGAAATTTGCTGTATGTGGTTTATTCCGTTTACAATTGTTTTGCTATTACTGTTCTATTTCGTTTGTGTGTCAAAAATTGTATGTCGTGACAGTGACCCGATTTGCTGGCTACACAAAAACTGCATTTTCTGTAATTTCCAGTATCAAAGTGGGGCTGCCAGGGAACACGTGTCCGGAGTTGAGAAAACCGAGACACACCATCTAGAGCATAGTTGGTTCCACTTGACAGACTGAAGTGGTACACTGCATGTACATGTAGCTGTCTCCAACAAGGCTTGGTTTGATTGATTTGGCAGGAAGTCCAATAAACCGGTCCAATGCCAACACTGGCCTGTATGCCAAGGCATGCTGCTCCGTCGCTCAGGAGTTTGGGACAGGGCTCCTGGACCTCTGGACCTCGATGCAGGAGGACAAAGTGAGTTTATATGACCATCAGGGAGGGAGGAATCCAGGGAAGGAGGAATCCAGGGGAGGGGGTATCAACAGGGACTATGCCCCCAGGGACCATGCACCCCCTCATGTCCAACCCTTAATCACAGTGTAGCATGGTAATCAGAAAGCTAGTTGGGCTATCTTTGGCCGTTTCAAAATCAAGTGGCTGCGGCTAACGGTTACACAGGAATCCAAGGGAAGTGGCTGCAGTGCTAACTAGTTGACTCCATATGGCCGCATGTACATTGTTTGTAGCCACAGCTGAGTAGTCTGGACAGACTCGGTTAGTGTAACACTGATTTGGTATCCAGATGTCACACATTCAAATACCTCTGGAAGAAAAGTTTGTTGTTCACCAGAACCTTTTCCTTTTCAAGAGTTATCTTGTCATTTGTTTAATGGTTTGTTTGATCGATCAAATATTCCATGAACTTCCTCTCTTTGTGTGCAGCACTGGCTGAGGTTTTTCAACGATGGACTCCACCTCTCTCAAGATGGCTCCACGTTTGTGGCCGAGCGCCTAGTGAAGATAGTCAAGGAAAGGACAAGTACTTGCCCACGATGCTTCCGGACTGGAAGGACATTGACGTTACCTGCCCAGAAAAGAGCCTCCTGTAGTGAAACATTTATGGGTGAACGTCTGGGGATGATTCCTTCAAAGGTGGTTGCCTGTTCCACAAAGTGACCACCTAGGTACTGGGATTTTTGTTTTCACGGAAGTACACTTTACAGCACGGCAGGCTTTTGCTCTGGTGAAGTGCCTTCAGCAACCCGTCTTCATTACGTTTGGAAGACACAGTGATCATTTTTACAAGAGAATCCTAGAATGTGCTTTTGTAATAACAGAAATAACAGAGGAATTGTTTTCTTACTGTGCATTATTTGTTGTTCATTTCTCTGAGAGAAAAAATTGCAACTTTGTTATTCTACATGTATGTCTTTTTGATGATGACCTAGATTTTCGGGACAGGTTTTGTTCAAGACAGTTTTGGTTAAAGTTAGGATGATTTTAAATCAGAGGAAGTGTGAAGCTGGGAACGCTGTGAGTGAATACTTGGAGAGAGACTAGTATTTTTACCCACAAGGTTCTTCTGCAGATACGTCACCGAAGTTGACACTAGCAACTGTACACACTAAGCATCACTGCTAACCAGTGTTCTAGCTAGGACCATTTTAGTGCTGGGTAAATTTTTGGATTACAAAGCATAGTGAGCGCAGTTCTTAATGCTTTCTGATGCTTGAAATACGATCGAATTGGTACATTTAAATTTTCAGTAATATTTCGGTTCATTTTTTGGAAAATCCGGGCTGGGTGGCACAGCCAATTTCAACCCTGAGTGCCGGGCGGAAATTTGCAGTACCGGGTGGTGCCACCCAGTGCCGCCCACTGCGGCTAGAACCCTGCTGCTAACTACTGACCACCCCGTTTTCTGTGTAGCTATGACAGTATACATTTGCTGATTGGACAAGATGGATCAACAAAAGAGGGAGAGTTGATCACATACATAAGTGAAACCAGCAAACACCTGCTAACACTGTTCACCACATAAGAAAGTGTCAGACTGGGGAATTGCTTTACATGCAGAAGATCGGCTGTAGAAAACATATCTTGCTTTTATTTTGGTAAAGCATCGATCAAACCCATAGGCTCACAAAATGTAATGAAACTGACAAAGGGTACATCGTGCATCGTGCCGTTTTGTTTTATTCCCAATGCTGTTTTCCTCATAGAGTTGGTATACACTATAGTTTTGTACTGTTTACAGGGAGAAAAAGCGTATAATCCAGTGCAACCAATACTAGAACTGTATGCATCTGATTCTGCATTCCTCAGTTGCTTATCTCATGTGGTTTTACACGCAGGGCTTATCTCAGCCCAAACTGGGATGTTTTCTTGAAATGACAATCAAAATGGAGGGCCGGCTTTCAACTGCTTAAAGCCAAACCCCCAAATGTAGCACTTCTATAGATCTTGATGCAGCTCGCATGAAATTATCATGTCAAGCACACATGTACATGTATGTGAGATCGGTAGTATAACAAATCTTTGAGTGAAGCACGTCAAAAGCAATATAAAAAAACTGATACTTCATGAACAGTGTGTAGATAATGGACAAACCGCTATCTGAGAAAAACAAGTGGTACATCAACATCTTCCAGCTGAGTTTTTTGGGAAAAACCAGTGAATTTAGCTGTTGTAACCCATTATCTCCCATACTGCCCCCAACATCCCTGCCTGTACCCCCCCACTGCCCAAACCAGCATGCCCTATTTGTTTTTAGATAGATTCATCAGGTAATAAACAGAGATGTGCTGGTTGACTGCACGTGAACACAACTGTACCCTATGGAATAACTTATCATTTGAAAGCTGCAACCTTTTTTTTTTCAATTCTAGCAATCTACAGGTAAATTGATGGTTGCGTCTTCCCTCTTTGTTTTCAACTCGTTTTCTTCCTGTGTATAAAAAAACCAGCACAACTTGCACTCATGTCGTGCAGAAATGTGATGCGACAGCTAACTGTTCAGACAACCCCCCTCATCTGCAACACTGCTCAAAGATTTGGGACATACAAATATACTGCGACCAGACCTGATGAAATAAAGAAACGTACTTGCTGATGGGCTAACAGATTAATTCTTCCTGTACTTGTGAAAAAAAAATAGGTTTTTTCCGTCCTAAACAAGTCTTCGCAATAAATGAGTAATTTCTTAGTTGTAAGACGGTGAAAGGAGAAAGTTTCAATTTTTTTGGGTGATGTTTCGTGAAGCTGAAGCTCAACCTACATCAGCAGATTTTTGTCCGATCTGGTCACAATTTAATTAGACTGTAAACAATGTCACTACAACACGGTGAAGGCTTTGAGGCAGTGCCCAAGACGAGACGGGGTTGAGGATTACGTGGCTCATCTTACACTGCCTGGAATGAGCTGCATCATTCATAACCCCTGTGTAGAAAAGAAAAGGCAAGATATTAGCAATCACCACTCCGTGTGCTAGGTCTCACATTAATGCATTAGCCCCGTTTGAAGCATGCTGGACACAACAGACTGATTGCGCAAGCTAAGTCACATGACCTAGAGTGGGTATCAAATATCAGCAAACATAGCATCCTCCCATAGCACTGTGTGTCACATTAGTGTCATTTTAATACCAAAAATATAGCCAACAGTCGGTAAAGCACTCAGACTTCTTATGTGCTGAGCACTGTACCAAAAATGCCATGTTTGTTGACGTTGATATCCACTATAGGGCACACGTGACTTAGCTGGCGCAGTAGGAGTGCACTATTTGAAGTGGGTAGATTTTGAGCAAAAGACTTTACCCAAAGCAAGTAGCACGCTCCTATTGTGTTTGCCATACTTTACAAAAGCTGATGCAAGATCTTGAACTCTGATGTTACTTGAACTAAAAGTATCAAGACAGCAGTTCATACAGGGATAGTATCACAGCCACAGCAGAGGAATTATGAATCTTATGATACTGGGACTCACTAAAGACCATGAATACTGTGTCCTGTTTCAAACGGCCATGGCACCAGAAATGCTGCAGAAATGCTAAATTTTGATGGAAGTGCAAAAGCAAACACTGGCCTAGCACCGTCATGAACATGTCCATTGTCGAGATAAGTAGAATTTTGCCAAAATCCAACTTCAATGGAATGACAATCCCTAGGCATAAACTAGTTACTGTACCATTTCAAATGATCCATCTCTCAAAACCCGGAAAACGAGATAAGCAACACTTATATCGTGGAGACAAACATAACTGCCATTTCACTGTGCATTGGCAAAGATCTTTCTACAACTGCTCCGGGGCATTATTACTCGTGAAGTCCAGAGTGCCAGAACATCACAGGATTTACTTACTCCACCATGTGTGCAAAGTCCCAGTTTGTTTCTGATGACACTGGGGGCTCTATCTTCACTCCTTCAGAAGTGATTACCGCATACTCGTACTACAAAAGACAAAAAACAAAGAATGAAAAGTCAAAGACGGCAGCTCAGCCGGAGTATCACAGAAAATCTAGACAAAGGTCAAATAACAAAAGAAAAACTGTGCATCCTGTCCCAAGTACTATGAAATAGGACAAATTGTCATTGGACACACAAGAGACTATTCATATAGTAACAAAGGTTGATACACAAAGGAACTGACATATTAACTAGTCAGTGGACAAGCTTCTGTCCAATCCAATGCTTACCACAAGAAGCATTTTTAACGGGGAAGGGGCCCCCTTCACTAGAGTTATGACTTCATCAGGACTAAATTACCTCGGGAAATACTGGGGAAAAATATTGGGGGTAATATCACAAATGTCCAAAACAGTTGGTAACTTTACAGAATATTTTTGCAATTTAAAAATTTCAGGAGGCATAACCAAAATCTCCATTAGAGGGGGGCAAACAGGGCTCCTTTTTTTCCAGCAGCTGAGAACTATACTCAAGATTTCCATTTTATCAGTCTTTTTCGGGGGTTCACTGCTAATGGGACCAAGAATTCTTAGAGAGTGATTACCTTGTTAAATGACCTTGCATCCCTATAGAACAACACCTTCATGCATCTGTCTAGCAGGGCTCTTGCTTCTGACTCCGACATGTCGCTATTCTTTTCATACGCATCTCTCATTAATGGCTAAGAAACAAAATGACCAAGAAGATATTGTCCAAAACGAAGCAACAGGGATTGAAAGATATGAGCTGGACTGTTCCCAATAGAACCCCAAAGCCAAAATAGGCCTTTCTAAGAAAATAAGACGTGCTTTAGGTATGGAAGGTGGAAGACATGTACATTTACATCTTTGAAATCCACTAGGTGTAGAATCTTAAACTATCACAACTATCCTGAGGCTCGATATCCCTTGGATTGTACATAGATAAGTACAGTCAAACCTTGTTACACTCTAATGTGATGCAGTCTATTTGCTTTATTTGAGTATTTTTTGTTACAAAAAATGCTAATTATACAACATTCTGCTTATTGCAAGGAAAATTTGAGGTCCCAATTCTGTGTTCTCTATTGTTTCCCGTCCTAATAATACAATGTTCATCTTAAGACAAGGTAACTTCAGTCTGAAGGACCTCGTTAATGAGGTTCAACTGTAAACGGCATGAACCCTTAGTTTCACGCACAATAGAGGAATGAACGATTCAAAAGGATTCTAAGGAAGTACATGCATGACACATGACTTGCATGTAGGGTTACACTGGCCTAACTAGCAAAGTGGGTGGGGGGGGGAAGTGATACACCTGTAAACTATTCGAGAGAGAAGTTGATATTGTAACAACTCATGCGATGTAGAAGGAAGACAGGATTGCTCTTACCAATGCAATATAGGCACCAAATCCAGATGCTACTGTGGGAGATTCGAAAGCTGTTCCAATCTTGTCGATATAGCCAAGGAATCTTGGTGATAAGAATACAAGATATATTTAACCACTTTCTGCCGGGGAGCCCGGTACTGGAGACATGGTGCCAAGTTTCATGGCCGTGGTGCCCAAAATCGGAATTCAGGAACTGGGCCTTGTTAAAAAGAGACCGAACTCGTAAGAAAAGACTGGGGCTTGCCAATCAAGGGTCATATGCTGTCAGCACAGAGTGCTGGCATGAGCGGAAGTACAATGTAATCTGTCATCGTTTCGAAACAGTACCACTGTTTGGGGCTGCCAGCGCCAGCGGATTATCAACAGGGACAAAAGCCCTCCAGCCCTCCAGCAACATTGAGTGATACAATACCGCTGCACGCTCCTGCAATCTGGATGCCATAGTAAAGACAACACTGCCATCCAGCAGTGCACTGGGCCAATTTTCGGAAAAATATATTATGCAACACCGCACAATGGGGCTCTTTACTGGGCAGCATGCGTGGCTGCAATAATCGGGCGTAAATGGAGGTTGCCTGTCAGATCAGACGAGCCACCAGACAGTCATTTGTGTGGGTGTACACGTCCAGTAAATGAAGTTATAATTTGTTGAAGAATTTTGAAAACGGCAGATCATGAAATATCACCCAAGAGCGCATCCTACAAGCCCAAACTCCAGCTGGCATGGCAAGAATTGGTTGAAACAGAATTTAAATACAATAGATATGAAACAAAATACTAAGAGATATTTCTATTCTAAATAAAACAACGTCTTTTATATCTGTACATATAGGAGATGAATAAACCAAAACTGGTTTGCACCTTGCTCAGCAATATACAATTTATACGCGAGACTAAATATCTGTATTTGGAGAATACTGCAAAAAAGCTTACGACAAGCATAACTCTAAAATGCCATAACGTAAGCAGGATTAATGGACCCAAATCACAAACTGCTCAAGACAGGTGGCTCCTGTTACCCTTGAACACATATGACCTTAAACCCAGGGCTGCTGGCACAGTCTTTCCTGACCAGCCGCTTCAATGATCTTTGGATGCACGTGCATTTTGCCTAAATGGAAAAAGAGAAAAAACTGAAGTACATGTACTCACGGTTCTCCCTTGTGTACGCCGCCCACAACAAAGACATTCCAGAGAGGGTTGAACCTAGAGCGTCTGTTGTACATGACTCGGGTCAGCCAGGAAAAGATTGACTTGGGTGTGTACTCGTGGCCATCAGCAAGGCACTCGTCGTCGATACTGTCATCACAAACACACAAAAGAAATCTAAGTGACTTCTCCCAGGTCACAGTATGTAACCAGTAGCTGGATTTGAACCTGTGGGGTTCGAGAACGCTTGAGGAAATAATGTGGATTGAGAAACAACTAATAAAACCCCTACCCTCATTAGCATTAATGCTGGAAACTTCCCAAAATCCTCCAAAACCCTTCATCCTGTAGGAAAGCAGTGCTAAATTTACTTTCAGCAGTGAAAGATGGGGTGCTTTCAAAAAGTAAAGCAAAGTGCTAGAGGCTTGGCTCAGCCTTCTTCAATCTCACAAAATATTGTCACCAGATTCCTGTACAACTGAGTGCCTGAGGGTCAAGGGTTAACCCTAACTCCAGAGGCCTTTTTGCTAGGATGCAACCTCAGTCCTGCGAAATCCTCCAACAGCCTCCGTGTAAGACTGCCGATGCATGACTGAGCATGAGCAAAACAGGTTCCAGCCGAAGACCTTGACAGAAGTTTGTGCAAAGTTCAAAACAATCTTCTGAAATCCTCCACCTACCGGTGCATGTGTATGCAAGAAGGGTTTCAAAGGATTTTGGAGGATATGGGAAGGTTGGGGTTAATGTTAAGTGTCCCTTCCAGTACTTATCACTGAGGGGAAACTCCAAACTCACATCCTCTGCTCTAGCACTTCTTGCAGAAACTGGAAGTCAGCATAGTCCCCGGCCCCAGCGATGGCTGTGTTGCTGTTGACATTCATGATGCGAGATATATTACGGTACCTCGCCATGGAGCCGTACGAGCCCAGCATGTCTGCAGCCAGCAAGACTCCACCGTTGAACTTGATACCAAGGACAGATGTTCCAGTTACCATGGGGCTTCTGAAATGGAGGAACAACTATTTTCTAAGTTAATGTTTCAATATTTTTCCTGCTAAATTTGACTCTTGTGGACTTGCTATCACTTTCTGATGGCTGATTTACCATTGTGGGGAAAAAATTAGTGATGTCAGTAAACACAAATCTTCCTGAAGCCACACATGGTGTAACTTGTAACGAATAACCAGCACAAAAACTTTAGTTTAGGTTCATCCATGATTCTTGGTCCTGTGCCCTACACCCTACATGGAACAAACTGTGGAAAAACTGACATGTATGGAAAGCCCCATTTTCTACAAAAACCGTCAATTTGAGCCTCAGGTTTCCTCGTAGCTTCACATACTAAAGCACACACTTTATGCACAAAACTGCAATTTGCAGGTATCCACATATATGTACATGTACATGTAGTTCACCTTGTTGAAGAAACAAGTTTCATCTTCACATGTTCTTTATGTCCTTATCTTTCCGTCTGGGGGGTTAAGGAATTTCAGAACAAACCACGGATGGCACAATCAATAATGTTAAAGTTTTTCACGGTTGTACATGTAGACGTAATTCATCCGTTCTTGAGTTGCAAAGCACACACACATACACCCACATCCGAGCTGTCTGCACACACTGTGCATGTGCGATTTCCAGTCAAGGTTCGTTGCACGCCTGCCACACAGAGGCCGTGACTGGTACCCCGCTATAACCCACCAGCCGAAATCAAAATTGCAGTTCCATTTGTTGTCGGGTCGGGGGGCTTCCCAAGTTTTGGAAGAGCCCATTGGTACATGTATTATCATAAAGCTCAGTCCATGTATTAGATATGTCTTGACATGGAACAGCCGTCGAGAAGATTAGGGTTCAAGTGACGTAATGTTCAACAACCTTTTAAACAACCATTTCAAAGATGGCGACTGTGAGAGCGAGGCCGTTAGATTGAATGGGTAAAGGCAAAAAGAGTGGAAAATACCTGAATAACGTGAGTGAAATCATTCAATAAATGTTTTTTAGAAAGCGGAGAGGTCAAGGATCATTTCGGTGTGCAAAAGAAATTGCGCCCACGATGATAAGTGGGTGCGCCGAAAGTTTTCAGTACGCCGACACGAAATTGCGTATACGGATGTGTGGCTAAGGATGGAGCAGGAGTGAAAGTCCGTGTCACACTAGTAGTGGGGCTATAATGCAGTTGTTTCGAGTCAACTCGGACCCAAACCAACTCGGACCCATGCCAACTCGGACCCATGCCAACTTGGACCCACGACCAACTCGGACCCGAGTCAACTCGGACCCAACCACAGGAGCGTGATTAAGTTGTTGAAAATTGATTTTGTCCACTTTTACATTTTAGCATTTGGTAAATGACACTTTTGCACTGCATGCAGCCAAGATGTAACATCCTCTTGAATGAACGTAATGCAGGGAAACAGTGGCACAGGCTTCCCAGAATTTCTCAGTTTTCGAGTTTGAACAGGCATGGTGGTTGAAAACCGTACAGGACTAGATTTGATATCAGTGATGTCTTGAAACAAGTGATAAAGTAACCGACAAGCGTCGTATTTTTATGGAGGCACATTTCCTTTGATGTCTTATTTGCCGCTTGTAATCTGGAATCTTAATCGGTTAGCTTCCGAGGTATCGGCGTGATTGACCACAAAGACTGATTTTGTCACCTTCCATTCTTGAAACCCTATAATTGGGGAGTGGGAGCTTGGGACAAAAAATGGGAGCAGCTTTTGGAGAGTGATTGACAGTACCAAATCATTGACGCCCTTTCTCCGTATTTCTTTTGGCACTCCAGATCAACAGAAGAAATCAAATGAACTTTCACCAAACAGCCCCCAAAGTCTTTGTGGCAATAAAAAGCCACAGATTGGCCTTTTGATGTACATAAGAGATGTTGCATGCGTACAACACATACTGCAGATATACATCAATATCACGACCATTGACCTTTCATAGTGTCTCATGGTGCTATCCCCCGCCTCACTTTTCAATTTTTTTTGGCCTGGCAAGTCTTACACCTCCACCTTGCCCCATTCCCCCCCCCCCGAATACCTATTTCCTTTTGTCTTAAACTTGGAGATGGTTTTGAAGCGTTGTCTGCTCGCGAGCACATTACTAAGATGATCCTACTTTTTGTTTACAATAAGACATGCCATAAGTTACCACAAGGGATCATAGAATTATTTATATAAAACCTGAATTTGGGAGTTTCCGGTTCAGAGTATTTCTTTCACAAAAAGCCCCACATTGCGGGGCCTATTTTCGATAGAGGCAGGCGGCTACATTTAGAGCTGAGCGCATAGTTTTACTACTAGTAGGGGGGTATCTTTGGGAAAAGGCGGATAAAAAAATTCATAAAATTTAAACAAAAAGTGATCGATCTGGCCATAATTTGAATTTCCAGCAAAAAAAATAATCTTGAATTTCCCAGCGAAAAAAATGAAGGCCAACCTCTTTGCAAGGTTCAAGAGTCGGCGCTATTTCGGTCTACGGGCACGTATTTGGTGTAGTGCAACCATGGCATAAGACTCAGTGGCAGTGGGTCCGACTCCGAGTTGACTCGAGGTGGGTCCGAGTTGACTCGAGGTGGGTCCGAGTTGGCGTGGGTCCGAATTGGTTGTGGGTCCGAGATGGTCGTGGGTCCGAGTTAGTATTGGGTCCGAGTTGGCGTGGGTCCGAATTGGTCCTGGGTCCGAGTTGACCTGATCCCACTACTACAGTGCCCTTCTTTACAAAATAATTACTAGGTCCTAGGCCTATCTACAAGAATACAAACAAATCTTTGTGATCATCTTACAGTGTATGTTTGGCCGGTTCGCAGGACGATAACGATCTATTCCCAGGAAGGCTGTAAAAAGCTCCAGGACGGGGCCCATTTTGCCAAATATTTTCTGTGATGTGAGACGCCATGATGATTTTGAGAAATGGTAGAGGCATGGCGGTATCACAACTGGAAAGGTGCACATATGATAATTTATAATGGCTGATCATATGGCGTCACAGTGAAATATGAATAATGCAGTTTCTTCGGGGCACTTTTGCACTTTTGCGCATGCGCATAAATGGCATGTAGACGCAAAGCTTGATGGGCTGCCCGGCCCATTGAGAGCGTACAGGGCACAAATTTCACACCTTTTTCACTCCCGGTTTCTGAAAACACTCCGACTGTCTGAGGTATTTATTAATCCTAGTTCCCTACTGGAAATAGGCCATTTTTAATCAAAACAGGAGAAGCTTGACATGTACATGTACTGCGCATGCGGCCCGTCGTGAGGTGAGGGGGGGGGCTAGTGGGAAGCTGGCCCCCAGTGGTAACAAGCATGACGGTGCCCAAAATGCGATCGTTTGAATACCCTTTTTATTCAACTATTTATCAATAAAAAGTGAAATGCAATAGGAGAGTAGTTTTGACCCTCAATGCCTCCCCAAGGCGGGATAATGGCCTCCCCGACTCCCAAACAAAAGTATACAGAACGTGATTTTTATTTAAACTACACCATGTATGTTCATTTCTGAGCGAGATTACATTTATCACCTGCCAGTAATCTGCCTGAGTTTTTCCCAGTTGCCCTTGAAAATAAAAGGAGCCCACACTAGGTATCACAATGTACATGTAATGGGTACTTGAATATATGTGTTACGGAATGTTTGGACTTGGTAGGTTTGTGTGTATTCGTGGGTGGCTGTGCTGGATATCGATATTCGGGGCTGAGTGCGCTCGGTTGGCCAGCGGGGGGGGGGGGGGGTCAACCCATTTTGTGCTTCCCCCCTCCCACCCCCACATCACTATAATGCTTTATAAGACATTCTATGCACTTGTATTGTTTGATGACAGGTCTTTTCTTTGGGTGTAATAAGCTTGCCTTTNGGGGGGGGGTCAACCCATTTTGTGCTTCCACCCTCACACCCCCACATCACTATAATGCATTATAAGACATTCTATGCACTTGTATTGATTGATGACAGGTCATTTCTTTGAGTGTAATAAGCTTGCCTTTGGCTCATTTATTGTCATGCATACAACAATGTGTCACTTTGTATTAGGAGCCTAATTCAGACTGCCCGCCCGAATGTTATAGGTGGCCCACAGGGCCCAGACCATTGTCTGGCTTTTGACCTTGAACCTGCGTGCCTCCCTCATCTTGCCCTGGATCCAAGTCCCAGCCCATGCAGCACAACCTCCGGACCCCCCTACCCGTGGTCCATCCAGTGACACATCACCACATCATTCCCCTCCCCACAAATAGGCGGCCTCCACATACAAATAGGTAGGCTAAATCAAATGTCCACAGGATGGGTCAAATATACACAAGGCAAAAGCAAACTTCCACTGTGGAAATCAAATGTTACATGGTGATTTCAAATGAGCGGGTGTTTGAAATGATGATCTGAGATGGAACTTTCTCCCGAACATCTTGGTAAATATTTTTAAAAAAACCCAATTGTTACTGAGGCCTATTTCTTATCTTTACACCAGTCTATGAAATCGTTTCCAAATAAGGTAATAACTGTCCATTTAAAAAATTATTCCGAACTTCTTTTTAAATACGATTTTATTTAGCCTTAACACTTCAACATACATGTAGTTCTCGCCACGGTTATAGCATCGTCAAGTCACTGCTCTCGTCAGCTTCGGGAATCTTCTGGTACGGCATATTGTGCTTAAAACTTCCAGAGTCTTCAACACGATAGCTACCCAACATTTTCTCGGGAAATCTGAATCACCAGTTCTGCACTTGATGTATCTATCAGCGAAGTTACGCACCAGGGGTCACTTAGTTACATAACAATTTTCTTTATGATTTCCCTCTTAGCGTTTGTATCGTCCATTGTGATATTGACATGGCTAGGCGGACATTTGGTTGGCCTATTGACATTTGAAATACCCAATTTTACATTTAGCCAAATACTGTAGATATTTGACCCGAGAAACCTATATAAACATAAGAAACAAGCTTCGAGTTCCATATATGGCTATCATTGATTTGCCCTTGCAGTGATGTATTAGTCATTACAAAATGATTGCATGTCCTAAAAGTCAATGTTAGAAAGAAAATTATTGAAGAATTAAAAAAAATAAAAACTAAGATTTTTTTCTGACCTAAAGTATGATGACTGTCATAACAGTTCATTTGTGCTGAGTTGGCATTAAATAAATAACACTGTACGAATTAAGGTAGTAAAAATGTGTACATAGCCTATGAGAATATACCTATTACTGCAATTCACTGTTATAGAAATAGAAACAGAGAAAATATAGACTTTCATGTGGTAAAAATATCATTTTCACACTCGCATAATGATGCCATATGTTAACTTATGTTTCATGTAAATGCATCAACTTTTAAAACACACCCATTAATACAGGTATAAGGCAAACATATTTCAATTCAAACGTGTTACAAGATGAAATTAAAAATTTAAAAAGCCGGAAAGTTTTACTTTTAAAGCTCATGGATGGGGATTCTGGATGTCAACAAGAATGTATTTCATAATCCTGGGAGTGATAAAAATACTTCGTTACTGAATTTGATGATTGTGCAACAAAGAACGACTTTCAGCGCAAACCAAACTGAACGATTTAAAAATCATCCAAATACTACTACAACATAATATGTAAAATAACACATAATGTTCAAGAGACACATTTTACATCTCATCACTCTCTGGGATGTCGGTAAATGACCCATTTATGACAGTCTGATGCTAAATGCCACAACTACTGTAGCCTTTGATCAAGGCGCCCGCGGCGAAATGGATAGTCGCTCAAGAGCGAGGAGCTGGGGGAGACTAGTTTAAGCCCCAAACAACGCAGGAAGAAAGACTACACGACGAACCGCACGCCCCGAACGCGCACAGTCGAGTCCTCGACACACACAGCTCGGCCACTTAGTGCAGCGCTTGCGTGCAGTTCGTCGTGTGGTCTTGACTATCCATTTCGCCGCGGGCGCCTTGATAAAAGGCTACAACTACTGTAAATGACGTCTCTGGGCAAGGCGGCGTGTGCAGGTGATGCAAAGTCAGATTGGCCTTTGGTACGGTAAAATGGTGGCCGGGTTCGATCGGGGGGCCTCCAAGTATCGTGCAGGAGCGGCAGTTGCACTTTGGCCAGGAGCGGCTGGGATGGAATGCACCTGAAGAGGAAGTGGTGTACATGGTATCTCGACTTTGGTTCGGAAGGGATGTCTTTGAGGAAGGTGGCTTGTAGGATTGTTTCCTTTGTCCAAAGTAAGCCATCAGACGTCACTGGTTTACTCGTTACACTTCATGTTCTTGTGCTGTATCAGAATGTAAAATCATTAAAATTTTAAAATGTCCACTGAAAACAAAAACATTGAGAGGCTACGCCCCTTGCCTTCCTCGTAATTAAACAGTGTGCCACCTTGTAATCAATATGCAGTTTGTGAGGTGCACAATCTGCATTTTTATACTGAGACGATGAGACAATTTGTCTGCCATTGTTCAGCCATCCACAGGGATAATACAGATTTATGCCACAGGAACTGCACTGGAACTTGGTGCTCTCCAATGAGAAATGATACATCCAGCCAACTCAAGCAAAAACAAGAAAAGAATTCGCGGCATATCAAAGCAACAAGGGCAAAAGATTACTACTGCAAGCACAAACCGACGAACACGAGCACAATGGACAACATTTCACAGTTACGAATAAATGAGGGACACTGGAGTTAGCATGTCTCACCTCTACTTCATCTGGTTAGTAGCAAATCCATTCAGGCAATCATACAGTCAATAAACTGCAGGCACAAAACGGTCCAGAGGGTATACCGCATTTAGCCCGACAGTCAAATGTTGAAATCATTCGACAATCTGAAGATCAGACAGTCGCACGTCAGACAGATCCAGTCAGTATCTGCATGCAAACACAAAGACTAAAACGAGAGTTAGTGATGTGCAAAGACTAAAAGAATTTCGAAAATTAATGACAGATAAATCAAGTACACACACTAACGAGTAATAAAACGCAGACAACAGGTGATTCGACAAATGTGATCTAGCAAAGGCAGGGCCGATCACCTCCTGATTGTAGCAAGAGCTACCCCTGCTACCCAAAAAGCAAACAAAAATAACCAACTTTCACATCTGGCAGTCGCACATCCAGTCAGCAAGGCAGTCGCACATCCAGTCATTATCTGTATGCAAACACAAAGACTAAAACAAAAGTTAGTGACATGGCAAGACAATAGAATTTCGAAAATAAAAGGCAAAAAAAGCACACACTAATGAATAACAAAACGCAGACAACAAATAACAGGACAAACGTGATCTCGCAAAGGCAGGGTCGATCACCTCCTGAGGGTAGCAAGAGCTACCCCTGCTACCCAAAAAGCAAACAAAAATAACCAACTTTCACATCTGGCAGTCCGCACATCCAGTCAGCAAGGCAGTCGCACATCCAGTCATTATCTGTGTGCAAACACAAAGACTAAAACATGCCAAGACAAAACAATTTCGAAAATGAATGGCAAAAAAAGCACACACACTAATGAATAACAAAACGCAGACAACAAATAACAGGACAAACGTGATCTCACAAAGGCAGGGTCGATCACCTCCTGAGGGTAGCAAGAGCTACCCCTGCTACCCAAAAAGCAAACAAAAA